TCTTTCTTTTTTTCTCTCTTTTTTTGATTTCCGCTGCTAAAATTTTATTAATAATTCTTAGGCATAAATTAGCCCCTATTTCAGGCAGCGTTGATCCAGATGACTCCAATCCCCTCGCCACGACGCTCCGAGAGATCAAGGAGGAGACGTCGCTAGAGCTCGGTCGTGACATTGAGCTCATGCGCAAGGGCAAGCCGTATTCATTTGCGGATCATGACATTGGTCGCGAATGGACCGTCAACCCGTTTGCTTTCCGTCTCAAGTCCGTCGAGGAGGGCGGCAGAGGTGAACCCGGGATCACGATTGACTGGGAACACGATGGCTGGGAATGGCACGATCCCCTCAACGTGAACGATTCGGAGGAGTTTGGTGGTGTGCCCAGACTAGTGGATAGTCTTCGCAGGGTCTGGCCCGAAATTGATCTAGGTGCAGCGGCTGGTGTAGCATTGACAGACGGTCTTAAGGCGCTTCAAAATGACCACGAGAGCGGTGCTCGAGTTCTGGCCGCAAGTGCTGTACGCATCTTGAGAGACGTCATTTATAAACTGCCGCCGCCAGGCCAGTCAGATGATAGCGCCAAAGTCATTCGCATGGCAGCATGGCATCTGTGCTACAACGGCCGGGAGAGCATGGGCGCTGCCATTACCAGTTCGATTGTCACGGTCCTGGACAAGATAGAAGAGGTTCTAAAGAAGGTCAAGACCAACCCCGAGGGACAGAAAGACGAAGTCCTTTCAGAGATTGACAAGTTCTTGGAGCAAAGAGATTCGGCAGTCGATCGCCTGCGTGGCTTTTTTGTCGAGCATATCATTGCAAACACTTTCGACAACCGAAACCCACAGGATACACTCTCCGTCCTCACAATGTCATACAGCTCAACCATCTCTGGCTCACTTCTGGCAGCTGCAAGGAGTCTAAATGTGGCATTGGATCTCCGAATCCTAGAGTCCAGGCCCTTATGCGAAGGTGTAACACTAGCCTCCAAACTACTTGAAGAGGCAACTCCGGAAGACAATGTTAATGTGACGCTCTACTCTGATGCATCCGCTGCCATTGCTGCGCAAGGAGTGGATGCCTTTCTGCTTGGTGCCGATCGAATCAGCGCGGAAGGAGACGTGAGCAACAAGACGGGAACGCTTCCCACCGCGTTAAGCACTCGTTACGTCTCGCCCAATGCAAAGATTATTGTTCTTAGCGAAGTAGAAAAGATTGCTGGGCCAGGCCCAATCAACGAGCACGGTGTGGAAGAGAATGATCCCGCAGAGCTATGGCGAAGCTGGAATAATACAGTCAAAGGAGCCAGTATCCTTGTACAATACACGGGAAAATCACACGAAAACACCAGTCACTCGACAGCCTCGGTGAAGAACATCTATTTCGAATGGCTCCCAGCAAGTTTTGTCAACACTTACATTACTGATGAGGGTTCCTGGTCTTTGAAGGATATCAGGGCGAAATCTTCCGAAATCGGAAAACAGACAACACGGTTCTTTTCCGGCTTATAAAGTCATTAGATACAAGGTTCCCTTCCTTCCTGCCATCGAAGATTCATTCTCGTTATCGCAGTGGGTAGCTCCTGTAGTCCTGCGCCCCGTCAAACGCAGTCCAAGAGGCTAACTGACTAATAAGGACGTCGCTTGTTGAAGACAGCATTGGATTTGTCGGAGCATTACTCGGATTCAAGATGAAGCCCACGTGGTATGATGTGTTGGCCAATGACTGGGTGTCTATTGGAGGAACCGAAGAAGTACGACTGCCATTCCATGACGACTCACTCGACTTATGATTGCGCAAACTTTCAACAAGAGCTTGCAAGTTTCGGAGCAGCTGTACGGGATTCTGCTGGCATGGGTTGTTTACCCGGTCCTCGGTGTCGAAACACTCGATAGCGAATGCGATTTCTGCCCAATGACTTGTGCTCTGGGTGCGAATGTCGAGTACTTGGTCGAGAATCAGGATCACAGCCGCGTCGAATATATGATGCAGCATTTGCAGTGACGGCTGTGGACATTGACACATATCGCGAATGTCTTTTGCCAACTTCAAAGTCTGACATGCGGCTTGACTGCAAATTCTGATGAAATCTATGCGACATTCGTCATTTGGGTTCGATGGCTCGTCTCCGAATTGTTGTCGGACAGCTCTTTTGACTGCTTCAAAGAGGACCGGTCGCACCGTTAACATCAACAACTTGTCTCTTGTCAGTCTTGGCGATCCCATGGATTCATGCATCATACCTGATTGTACTCCATATGTAGTTGGTAGCAGGCTCTATCATGGCACAAGCTACCATCTATCTGCAACTCAGCCGGCAGCCTATTTTTCCAGTTCGAAAGCAGGCCCAGTGTCTTCTCAACTCGAGCTTCATTGCTCGTCGTGCAATGATCCCATGGTGATACTTGGTAAGTGTTACAGACTATGTAGCCAGCGATTCTCGCAAGCTCAATATGGGCTCTAAGGCCCATCGCGGGTGGAAGACCACTGATTGTGATTAGTCTCGGCGTCAATATATTGGTTCCGACAAATAGAACTTACGAGACATCAAGAGGAGGCAAAAGCTGGATTGCATCATCCGATATCGACGGTGGCCTCCCGTCAAGCACGCTGAGACATCGATCAAGCACATAGAGAGTCCAGAACGAGCGCTTGCAAGATTCATCGTTGACCCAGCCTCTGTGCACACCATACATGACGGCAATTTGTAATCCTACACTCACGTACATGTATGCAGTGTCTCTTCGACCAATCTCGATCAAGTACATTACCATCATTGACAAAATGGGTATGTCCAAGATATTGCGAAGTGTCGTGTTCAAAGGATTACCCAAAAGCATTCGAGCTCTGGCGAAGAAGGTCTCGCTGCGCCGCACACTATTTCTTCTGTCGCCGGTGGGAGAGTCCAGAAGAGTGGCCATGGCGAACGCGGCGTGCAAAAGCGAGAGCTCTCGTATAGACTGCGCATCATTCGAAATCTCTGTTTTCTTCTTGTTGAAGAATGTCACGTCAAGGTCATTCCAGTAATAGATGCCTCCCGACGCAAAATCACCGCATCCGTCCTGAAAAGTATATTGCAGCCGCGCCAACATCAGAGTCATGTCCGTCTTCGATGGATGCCAGAATGGATCAACGTTCTGGACGTTGGGTGCACATGTATCTTGCATGCCACATCTTCCCTGTGGACCTGAAGAGATCATGCTCGAGGTATCCATCGAAAATGGAATGAAGGCGGGCAAAGTAATCGCAAAGAATCTTTTGAGAGAGTCCAAGAATAGTGTGCTGGATATCGGACCAAAATACCTCAACGCACCGTCCGCATCTTGCAGCAAACGTCCACCCTCTTCCTCATCCAGGTTGTCTCTCGCCTCTGGGCTTGCTGCGTTATCTGCCCCCGTGTCCGCGGGGCTTTGTGTCACTTGGGTCAGGAGATACCGCCGCTTGTTCTCGTCGGGGACGGCGTTTTCCAGGCATGCCTCCAGTTGTATGCACTTGGACTTGAGCTGTTCCAGCTCTGCCCTGGGTACAGAAATTTTCTCAATGGAAATCGGATATCGACATTCCCGGGACGCATTCCGGCATTGCAGGCACGGCCGTTCACCCGAGCATTTGATTCTTCTCACATTGCAGCTGTTGCATCTAGTCCAGTCTTGTTAGTGCTTGAACATGTATGTCCCGCCAAAGCTGAATGAACATGGGAGGTCGAAAGCTTACGCCGTCGCTACACGCTTTCTATTTTCTGGTAGGACCTTTCGCCGCCTTTGATTCACGGGCAAACGATGCTGCGATGATGTCGATGATGTTATCGAGCTTCTCGGCATCGTGAACACGCCGAGTAGGACATGAGAAATCCCATCAGTAATCAGTACACGCTTGCAAGAGTTACTACTGATAACATTCAGTGAGAAAGTCATTCATCGCCGCCCATCCATACTCCTAAGTACTAAAAAGCAGGGTATGCGCCAAGCCCATGGCCAACGGTCGAGATCGCCCCCAAAACCTGATACAGCCCTGCGGGGAAGGATAGTCAGTTATAACGAAGGTTCCACGATCCTGGAAAGATGCCACTCACATGGCTGGGCCCTGCGGGCCGTCCGAAAATAGCTGGGCCACACAGACAGGGTCTCCTGGAGCTGAAAAAAAGAAGATTTAATCATATGCCCCATCCATGTTCGCGCCAGGCAGAAAGGCCTAGTAATCCGTTCAGAGTATTGACTACCGGCATGGCTAATAACGTCGACTGCTACCCCCTAATGACCCTGACCGAGGGCATATAGTCATCAGTATGATCATATTTGAAGTACGTTCAAACCTAGTGACTTTGCTCTTGGCTTGCAGCGGGAAATCCATGGCATTTCTTTCTATAGGCTCATCGCGATCATGTTTGGTGTGCTGGCAGCCACAATAGATGGGCTAGTCGGGGAAACTTTGAGGTGATGACATTACAATAGTCCTATAGGACATTTCGATACTCCGAAACCTTGTTGTTTGTCGAGGCACATGGGGGTGCAGTCAGAGCTGATAAGTCATCGCGATGCCAAGGTTTCGGCAGCAAGCCAAGAATGGTACTTTTTTTGTCCCTTTGGTAGGCCCGCTAGGTTGGTTTAGCCGTCCCCTGTCCCCAAACTACATAAGTTAGTACTTTGAAGGAGTGTGTGTGTGTGTATGTGTTGTCCAAAAGTGCCTGCATATACCCGACAGGGTATCACTTACTTTTAATTCACAGTCGTTGCGACAAGCGATATCACATCGCTAATGAGCACATGAGGTAGTGGCGTTGATTGCGCTTCTAGCAGCTATTTTCCTATCACATCAATCGTTATTCTGTGGTATAGTGTCATGGTGAGTAAGTAATCATCGCACGGTTGTGGAAAACATTTGGGATTGATAACATTTGTCTAAATTTTACTTGCACGGCAGTCTAGAAGTAAAACTTGGCTGTATTCGCCTTGATCAACAGTATAGACTTTCTTCGGTAGGCTCTTTTGGGAGCCGCCATGTGTGGCGTTTATATCATTTACGCCCATGGCACTGTTGTGCTCATGGTCTGCATTAATGGGAGGCTGAGTTCATCGATGCAAGATGTCAATGATAACTGCAAAGTGACGCTCTGGCGCCAAGCAGCTGAATCGTGGGCGGAATTGTGCGAGTAACCAAGCACAGAAATAGTGCGGAAACAGGCCGTCTCTCAAGATTCTAAAAGAATTGGCCCTTTGATTTCGCATTGAAACGTTCCTGAGTTATGAGTATCCTCTCTTTCTCCAAAATCTGCTAATTTTGCTGCTGGGTGGTATTGGTTCACCGACAGGCTGTTTCAAGATTGATCGGTTGAGAGACGTGACCGAGAAATGCACTCCCACACCCTTTGTTGGTCAGATTCCCATATGACTCAATGAACTTCAAGTCTTGGCAGTATTCCCCCTTGGTTCTGAATTTCTGCCTCTAGATCGTATCCCAGTAGGCTTCAATCGCTCTCAAAGTCTCCGACGTCCACATGGATGGCTCGTCAGACTGGCATCCCTCGGCGGTGCCGACTATCCAAGCTCTGCCCGTTCTCTCGCGACCGCTCGCAGAACTTGTGGCGGCGGCGGCGACTCCCGCTCCTCCCTCGATGACGGGAGGGAACTTTTGTCTCCTTTTCGTCTTGAGGCGCCTCGTCAGGCGAGGACTAATGGACTCGACGATGAAGATCTCCATCTCCTTGGCCGCTGACATGGAAGAAGCTGGTTGCGCGGCAAAGACTTGTATATAGGCATGAATCATTTCATGCACAAGTAGATTGAGTAAGTCTGTCCGCTGAATGCCTCCCCTCTGAGCACGAAAGTGAATGGTTCTCGTCACATGATCGTAATAGGAAATTGTACTATTGGCATTGCTGCTCCGCGCATCGAGAATGATGAGGGGCCGGCTTCTCTTGTGATTCGGAAAGAGTCGGTGGTGTGGTGGCGATATGGGCAGTGGATGCCGGGTCAAGCTGCCATAGAAGAATAGTTGGTCCAGACTGGAAAATAATAGTTGCGTCGTGTCGTGCATTGATTTCAAAGATATCCTCTGGCGGCTGCTGGCCAAGGGCTCAATCAGACCGGTGCTCGAGTCCAGGTTGTAACGCCAACATTCCTTTACAATCTGCACCAGCGATATATCGGGGAGTGACCCTTCTCCCAGCCATATGAGTGGCTTTTGTTGCGGCAATGTGTGATTCTTTGCCAACAGCAGACCACCACTTGCCGGTGTTGGCGGAGTAATCCTGGGCTTTCCGAATAACGGCATCGTGTGAACGAATGGTTTGCCTGCTGATTATACTGTTATATTGATGAGTTACCCTATCTAGGAGCTGGTAGACCTATATGTGCCTCGACGACATTTTATTGTGCCTGATATCCACACAAGAGACTTCGCGTCGACGCGTGCAATTGTATGAAACTTAAGGTTCGGGGTTGGGACGGTTGGCGTACGCTTGCTCGGCCTGCTCTTCTTCACCCTTGAGATGCAAGAAAACCCGTCCCTTGGTCCTTCTTCTACTCTTCTGAGGTCTGTAACTTCATTGAGCGGATATGATAAACTCATACTGCATGAAAGCCTGGAATGAAGTTTGGGGGTTTACGCCGACTATGCAAATCTCTTGCCAAACAGCCAAGGAGCCTATGTACTCTGCTTGATCAGTCGTCAAGTTTTGACGACACAACATTAGTGATGATGAACCGTACCTCTGTTTCCAGACGGGTTATGGCCAGCCTTAAAGTTCAACGGGAGTTCGTTGGTACCTACTCTAACTTGCCTTTTTGATTCAGCAAACCGCAGATGGCCAAGTTCTTGTTTATCGGCGGTCATTAGTGACATGACCGGAATAATGCCGACCTGGCCTCTTGCACGCTATCTAAGCAAATAAGCATCGCGGCATCTTGCCATCTTGACTCCACGGCTCGGTGCATTCGGGCGTGGTCATGTAGTAATGCTAGTGATGCTGCATAACTTAGATTTGTGCATGTCCGATGCTGGCGCCCGTTTGGGGAATCCCGCTTCCATGTTTTCAGCCATGCCACTCACTTCAAGTGAGTGTGCAAAAGCAATTTTTGTTCAATGTCTTGGGTATATGGGTCTTTTATGATTATCAGCAATCATACACATAGGTAGGTATCTATATTTACAGAGGCGTCCTATTCTCATTTTGCACCAAAGTAGATTTTGTGGTCTAAATCATTATAGCGCGCGGCATTGAGGTATACGTCAAGAGCATTGGCGTTGCAATAATGGAAGTCATTGAAGAAAATCGACAAAGAATAGCACATTCATATCAATTATATCTGGTCATGTACCTGCATGGCCAAATAAGAGAAGTATTTGATGTGTTTATTGATACTGCTACGGTCGCGTGGTTTCTTATCACTACTAAGGCGCACTGCGCTATATGTCAAGGCCCGGCAAAGACCAGCGGCTCTCTAAAACACTAGTAGAAAACGAAGACTTTCCTAATTCGGACAATCATTCGGACTTGCTAGGGAAGACGCCCGCCAACTTACTTGCGCAAGAGGTACCTAATGTGAATGGACACACGAACACCTCACCCAAGTGGGCAAGCAAATTCGCAACGCCCGGATGCTGTCATCCACCTTGTTAGTTGCGCGTAGCAGTCGGGCATGCTGGTGGACATTTCCTATTGAGACTTTGTGAGGTACCGCAGTCATGCCAGACCCGCGTTGCCTTCATCGCAGCACATGGAAGAAGATCATTACTCACTTGAAGAAAGCGACACGATCCTACGAGATATGTAACAGAAGCAAAGCCTCGAGTGGTCATGACATTATCTTGTCACGATGATGGTCAAGATGGATGCCTAGCAGTGCCATGAGTGCCCAGGCAATCCCACTGATTCTCGGCGCTGACATTAGAGACTCGGCAGTGCGCAGAGGCCGCGCTAGGAGGCGGTTTTTTACTGGGCAATCTTGTTCATCTTGCACTGAACCTCGCTTAGGTGGCAAGCGTCCACTTATAAATTCCCACTTACCAAGACCACTACCGCCCATGACTAACGGATCACGGTGCAAATACTGCCCGATCCGTTGGCCAAAGCCAAGTCCATCCTTCTGGAGACTACGTATTCGATTCTGATAGTTGTCGCTGCACTGCCTTTGTTTGGCCGAGCGTTGGTTATTGGCGAACTTTACGAATAATACCGCCTTTTTTTTTTCTTCTTTCTCTCTTCTTCTTCTCGCTGCTGCTGTTGTTCTTGTGCATATTAATGACGGCGTCATCTTTATTTTGGCTAAGAACCTCCAGCAGTCTACATCGCCATTCGGGCCGCTTGCACTAGGATTAAGATTTGCGACACATTGAGTATCGGATTCGCAGCAAGGACACCAACGCTCAAAGCTTACATTTCGTTTCCTGCATCTCATCATCTGTTGCGCTGCGAGAAATTGAAAAAAAAAACGACTGCAGCAATAAGCTTTCGGACGCAATGGCGCGAATGGTCTGTCTTCCCTAAAGATTCGTCCCTGCATACCAACTGCTGCCCGCCCGGACCGTCTTTGCTTCTCGTTCGGACTTTGCCAACGACGCGGAAACCCCGTCTGCGAAGTAGTACTCTGTACTAGCTAGGGCTCTTTCGGCGTTGTATGGTTTGACAAGGTCGCCACGAGGCATCACCTCTCTTTACCATGGCCTTTCTCAGTCAGACTTGGACCTTGACGGCCAAAAACTTGAAGATTGTGTTGCTGCGACATAGTTTCGCCACATTTATTCGAGCCTTTTTGCTCCCTATCGTTTTGGGCGCATTCCTGAGCTTTGCCCGGAACCTGCTGGGAACCCCGGCCGTCTACGGCATCGGCGATGCGCGACCTATCCGGTCCCTTCAATCTGCACTTGATATTGCCACAGACTCGGGGCGCGATACTGTAGTCTTTGTGAACAACGGATACACCGGCGGCGATATAGATCGCGTCATTGACCAGGTCTCGAGTACGATCACCAACGGACACGTGCAAAAGTTGACCTCGGTCACTGAGCTGCGTACCGTCTGTCGTACCTCGCTGCGAGGTGTGTCGTCTTGTTATGGAGCCGTCGTCTTCAACTCCTCACCTAATGAGGGCAATGGAGGGTTGTGGAACTATACACTCCGAGCCGACGGAGCTCTGGGCACAAAGATTGATGTCACCAAAAGCACCAATGATGGAGAAGTCTACACGCTTCCATTGCAGAGGGCAGTCGACTCAACCATAGCCAGCCTCAACTCAACTAGTCCTTTCCCAAGCACAACAGAAGAATACCCCTTTACCAGTTTGACCGAGGAGGAACGAGCGCAAAGAGTACGCCAACGGTATCAGTCTGCCCTTTCCAATTGGCTGGCCGTGGCCTTTCTCCTGACCATCATCGGTGTCTGCTACCACATGACTGGCTTAATGGCCACAGAACGAGAGATTGGCATGTCACAGCTGATCGATGCAATGATGCCCACCAAATTTCGATGGCAAGCTCAGGCTGCACGCCTCCTGTCCTATCACATTGCCTTTACCATGATATATATCCCCGGCTGGGTCATCTCATCGTTAATCATTGCTCGTGGAGTCTTTGCATCATCAAATGTGGGCATCATTCTCATATATTTCATCTTGTGTGGCCTTAGTTTGACTTCACTGTCCATATTGGGCGCCGCCTTCTTCAAAAAATCCCAGCTCTCTGGCGTCAGTTCAACGATAGTGTATTGCGTTCTAGGTATCTTGGCTCAATCGCTTACGTCGCCAAATAACGCAACAGTCGCCATCTTGAGCTTGTTGTTTGCTCCATGCAATTTTGTCTACTTCCTGACATTTGTGGCTCGCTTTGAAAAGCATTCATATCCTACAAATCTCGTGCAGAGTGGACCTGAAAGTCCTTGGACCTTTCCTGGAATCGTCTTGTGGGTTTTTCTGATCATTCAGATATTTGCCTATCCTCTGATTGGTGCTTTCTTGGAGCGCAAGTTTCACGGATCAACAACCAAGGGTCGGACTATTGTTCGCCATGGTGAGAATGGGGCGCCGCAAGCTGCAGTCCGCCTGGAAGGCTTTACCAAGATCTACAAGCCCAGTGCTCTGCGCCGAATCTTCTCCTTTATATCTCGTCCAAGAGAGCCCGTGGTGGCGGTCGACAATTTGACCTTGGAGGCCGGTCGAGGTCAGATCTTGGCTCTGCTCGGAGCCAACGGATCCGGAAAAAGCACGACTCTTGACTCGATTGGTGGCATCAGCGAGCCCACCGGCGGCAATATCACCATAGATGGAACCGGCGGATTGGGCATAGCACCACAGAAAAACGTTCTCTGGGACGAGTTGACGGTGTTTGAACACATTCGAATTTTCAACCGCTTGAAATCTCCCAAAGCCCCATCTTCCAAGTTGGAAATCACCGAACTTGTAAAATCTGTCGATCTGGGCCCAAAGATCAAGGCGCGCTCTGGAACCTTGTCTGGGGGGCAGAAGAGGAAGTTGCAGCTCGGCATGATGCTGACTGGTGGGAGCGCAGTCTGCTGTGTGGATGAGGTCTCCTCCGGCATTGATCCACTCTCACGGCGAAAAGTGTGGGATATTCTCTTGGCTGAGAGAAATACTCGCACGATACTTTTGACAACGCATTTCCTTGACGAGGCCGACCTCCTCGCTGACCAGATCGCTATTCTTTCAAAGGGAACATTGCGGGCTGTTGGATCTCCTCTCGAGCTCAAGGACCGGCTAGGTGCCGGATACAGGATCCACGTGTTCAATGCCCGGGATATCAAAGATGCTCCAGAAGTAGATGGCGTCACTCGCAAAGTATCCTTTGATGTCATTAGCTATATTGCCAAAACCTCCGCTGCGGCTGCTGAAGTGATTCGTTCACTTGAGGCGGCCGGCATCCACGACTACAAATATTCTGGTCCGACTATAGAGGATGTATTTCTGCAGGTGGCTGAAGAAGTCAACGGAGAAGCGATATCAAAGATCGAACGAGACGACTTGCCGACCAGCGAATCAACCGATAAGCAGGCCAGCTCGGATTCCGTCCTCGCTGTTGACGGGGATCTGAAACTGCAGTCGGGCAAGCCAATCGGTTTTGTGAGACAGTTTTCAGTCATGTTCCTCAAGCGATGTACAGTCTTGAAGACAAATTGGTTCCCGTACCTGTTGGCCTTGGCGATTCCCATAATCGCGGCTGGTCTAACAAGCTTGTTTATAATGGGTCAATCACCTCCATCTTGTACGCCTACGGATGCGAATTCAGGAGGGTCAACCTCGGACTACGACGCCATTCTCGAGGATGCTTTTCTCGCAGCCGGACCTGCATCACAGTTCAGCACGGATACGCTGTTGCGTTTATTTACGCCAGTCTATGGATCGTCAGTCACTGGTGGAGACGCAACAGGCGCAGCAGGGGCAGCAGCGTCACTATTCAGCCAAATTCAGCTGCTGGATACTCTGGATGACTTCAACAACTTCATTATTCAGGGCAGAAAGAATATTACTCCAGCTGGTTGGTGGTTGGGAGACACAAACACTGATCCCACGCTGGCGTACAGAGCCGATGCTGGCGATGTCCTCACGTCAATCTTTGGACAGAATGCGCTGGACATCATGCTTTCCAACATTAGTATCGCCACGTCTTATAGCCCATTTGATACCCCCTGGGTAGCCGACACGGGCAATTCGCTTCAGTTACTCATCTACATTGGCTTGGCGCTATCGGCATATCCCGCGTTCTTCGGCTTGTATCCCAACATTGAAAGGCGCCGGCAAGTTCGAGGTCTCCAGTATTCCAATGGAGTACGCTCATTTCCTCTATGGACCGCATATACCGCTTTTGATTTTGCCATCGTTCTTGTCTCAACTGCCGTTGTCACCATTTTATATGCAACCTTGTCCAGCGTCTGGTATCACGTGGGATACATGTTCCTGATTTTCCTCCTGTACGGGCTGGCAGCAACACTGATGGCCTACGTGATCTCGCTCTTTTGCAAGACACAACTATCCACCTATGCTTTCGCTGCAGCTGGATCTGCCGTAGGCCTACTCGTGTGGTTGATATGCTATTTGGTCATTGTTACATACGCACCTGTCAACAGGATTGATCAGGATATCCTACTTGGTCATTACATCATCTCCGCCTTCTTCCCAATTGGGTCAGTCGTTCGGGCGCTGTTCATTGCTCTTAATTTGTTCTCTACGACGTGCGATGGAAATGCGATAGCATCTAACCCAGCGGCTATAAACGTGTATGGGGCACCCATCTTGTACTTGATTCTGCAGAGCTTGCTCCTCTTTGGTGTCCTCTTATGGTATGATAGTGGAGCTGGGTTCAACTTGTTCCGCCGCTTCACGCAAAAGTCGATTGACTCAAAAGAGAATGAGGCGATCCTGGACGAAGAGGTTGCCAATGAGCTCACTCGTGTCACAAGCACACCTCAAGAGTCGGACGGGCTGCGCGTTTTGCACCTTACAAAGACATTCAAGAAGAATACGGCGGTTGATAACGTTACTTTTGGCGTCAAGCACGGTGAGGTGTTTGCTTTACTCGGTCCCAATGGTGCGGGAAAAAGCACAACGATATCCCTTATACGCGGTGACATCCAGCCAAGCCGCAACGGTGGTGATGTACTGGTTGAGAATACCTCTGTCAGCAAGCGTCGTGCCGCCGCGAGAAGTCACCTGGGCGTATGCCCACAGTTCGACGCTATTGACTCAATGACTGTCGAGGAACACCTTAAATTCTACGCAAAAGTCCGAGGCATTTCGGACGTGAATCGCAACGTCCATGCTATCCTCCACGCTGTGGGCCTCGCGGCCTTTTCCAAACGCATGGCATTTGCCCTATCTGGTGGAAACAAGCGCAAGTTGTCACTCGGCATCGCCCTGATGGGCAACCCCTCCGTCGTTTTGCTCGACGAGCCGTCCTCCGGCCTCGATGCCGCTGCCAAGCGTATCATGTGGAAGACGCTGGGCCACATTGTCCCCGGAAGATCCATCTTGCTCACGACGCACTCAATGGAGGAAGCCGACGCGCTCGCGAACCGCGCCGGCATCCTCGCCAAGCGCATGCTGGCCATGGGCACCGTGGACAACCTGCGGGAACGGTTTGGGGACGCACTACACGTCCACCTCGTGAGCAAGTCGGCACCCCACTCGACGCCCGAGGAGATGGAGCGCGTACGTCGGTGGGTCGTAGAAGCCTTCCCTGGCGCACAGGTGGAAGAAAAGACATATCATGGCCAAATGCGCTTTTCTGTGCCGGCAAGCGAGGTGATCCAAGGATCCGAAACTCCCAACGACCTCGTAAGGCCAGACAGGAGCGGTGATTTACAGCGGGAGCGAAGTGCCATTGGCCAGCTGATCATACTGCTGGAGCAGCAGAAAGAGGCATTGGGCATTGAGCATTACAGCGTCACACCGACGACGCTGGATCAGGTATTCTTGACCATTGTCGGGCAACACAATGTCAAGGAGGAGAATTACGATGAAAAGGCCAAGAGATCTTGGTGGAGACGTAAATAAATCAACTAGAATTTAGATACATATACACAAATCCAACAATTTCATATATCGCCTGCTACTTATTCGTGGTTTCATTCTCTAATTCTTTTTCTTGATTGTGGTAATAAATGTTTGTATGTATAACTTGGTTTGTTCTTTGTTTTGTTTTCCTGTTTGTTTTCCTGTCTGTTTTCCTGTCTGTTTTCCTGTCTGTTTTCCTGTCTGTTTTCCTGTCTGTTTTCCTGTCTGTTTTCCTGTCTGTTTTCCTGTCTGTTTTCCTGTCTGTTTTCCTGTCTGTTTTCCTGTCTGTTTTCCTGTCTGTTAGCTTGTTTCATCTTCTATAAGAGGAGGAAGAATTTCAGATCAAGGACGGAGAACTTTACCTCCTTTTTTTTTTTAACCATCTCATGTCTACACATGAGCAAGTCCCTTCTGTATACTTGCCCTCACCCTCATCATGGTCATCCGCTCGACTGGAAGTCGGCCCCAAAACCGAACGCAGCTTATCCGACCTGCGTAGATCTTGCTTTTCTTTATTTCTTTGAAGCAACCTCCTCTTCACTGATAATGATGAGAAATGATGTATACCTTGATTCCGTAGACGAGGAGTCTTCCGACCGTGACAGCGGTCCTGACGATTACGTCAACCTATAGCTAGTTGAAGACTTGGCAGCAGCTTCAAGCTCACGTCTACGGAAGATGTACGACGATATTTCATCAATGGAACCCCTTTCGGAAAGAGGAGAGTTTCTCGCACGCCGGCTTGACGGCAATACGATACCGCCATTGCCTTGAACGCTTGAAACAACCCAATCAAGCTTATAGCAATTGTACCTGGTTGGATTCCTTATGACTAGCGCCGTCCAGGATTTGGGCGAGTCCCGTATGATCCAGATTTACGAAGCCCTCCCAGTCGTGATTCCAATCCCCAACAGACGTCACAACCGTCTGTGGGAGGCATGCCACCACAAACAACAGCAGATCTGGAGGCACGTCTTCATGCATTTAGGTCCGAAGATTCTCATGCTCAGGAAGCTCTCCAGCAAGCTCAGCGACAACTAGAGGCTGCCCAAGAAGCCTACAATTCTATTCGTGAGACTCGTGAGCGTTATGAGGCAGTCTATGCAGCTGTGGTCGACAGTGAAGCTCAGCGCTCCCAGTTGGAGCAACGCATTCGTGACGCATATGCATCACTTTCGGTCTCGGGCAACCCTAGCACCTCTCTTACTCCCAGCAGCTTATCACCAGCTCCATCTGGTGGTCAACCTGAAGGACGGGTCCTCCCTCCGCACACTTCAACAACCACTCAATCCCATAGCCAACTCGAGGCCAGTTGCACCCGCACTCACGACAAGACCGCTCTGGATAGCGACCCGAGCATCGTGCAAGGGCTGAGAGGCGTGACAGACTCAGTCTTAGATTGGCAATGGAGGCGCGTGAAGGAGAGAGAAGAGAGTAAGCTATATACATGACTTGGTGGATGGTCTCTGAGCAATAATCTGAATAGGAGAACTCGTGGATTGGCATGATAGTTGCAATCGAGGCATGGCCAGGTGCATTAGTTGTATGATTTGAAGAACGGGGGAGGAGGACTTCCTTAATACATCCATCTTTACAACACTACATTGACCCCATAGGGCACCATATCAACTTGTAAGACTTTGCTAAGGTAAGGGGCGAATATAAGACAAGTTTTTCTCTTCTTTTCTTCTTTTCTTTTTTCTCTTTCTTTTTTCTTCTTTCTTTTTCTCTTTCTTTTTTCTCTTTCTTTTTTCTCCTTTTATTTTTTTCTCTTTTTCTCTTTTCTATTTTTTTTCCTATTTTTTTTGCTCTTTATTTTTCACGGGAGCTCGATGCTTCTCGAGACACTTTTTAGCTACCGTACCATTATTCCTCCATTATGAGTTTCATCACGCCATCTTTAATGGACAAATACTTTATATGGGCATGTTGCTGCTTCATGGCATCGCAATGCTTGATAGAGACTGGCAAGTGTAGTAGATTTTCGTGCTTAGGACTGTCTGTCAACGCTTGGTCGCATACATGTATCGCTTAGGATCGATAAGGAAGTCTAGGCCTATCTAGAAACCGCCTGGCCCATAATCTGCGTCCTCGTCAATGACAAAACCGCCGGCGAGCACCTCGTCACCGCTGCTCAGCTCCCCAACTTCGTCATCAACATCTGGAGAGACAACTTCTTGGGGTTGCTCAATTGCGGCCTCCCGTTCTCGCTCGTCGTCCTCGTCCACATTCGCCCAGATCCTCTGGCGGATTCTTAGATTCATCATCAACTTCTTCCACATCCTCAGCACCTCGCGGGTTCTGCGCTCGCGCTCAAACTCAGCCTCCTGATCTTGCAATCCCTCAATGACGGCCCTCACTGCCTCTTCATGCTCGGCAGCGATGACCGCGCCATGCAAGACCGCAGTTCCTTTGCGTCCTTTGAACTGGAAACCCGTCAGGGCAGGAGCATAATCAATACCCAAGGTAAAGGCTGCTTGCGCTCCAAATTCATGTGCTACATAAGCGCCACCTTCTGGTATCATGGTAGGCACATAAACGTCGAGATTGCCAAATCTGTTCTTTGGTATAACTCCGTCCACTATGGGAGGCGGCTTGAACAGGACTGTCTGTTCCTCAGTGAAAATGGGTGTTCCTGCAGCATCTTCTTCATTTTCTTCGCCCTCTTCGTCACTGCCAAAGAGTCCAGTTCCCCTTTTCGCTCGTTTTGGGAGAAACTTGACAGGAATCTCATTTGGAAGGACTTCACGGCCCATCCGATACCACTTTTCCTTTGTCCGGGCAACTCGAACATCTTTTCTGCGATATATACGTTCCAAGGGGCCTTTACTACCGGCACCGATTGTTCCAGCCGTATTTGCGCCAGGTATTAATACTTCGTGTCGCCGTAGGTGCCGCTGCAGAGCATAGATGGGGTGATCCTTAAAGTCTGCTACGTTTCGAGGCATTGGTTCCCTAGATTCTGTCGCGTTCAATTCATTGTTCTCGATCTGGTCCAAGTCCGTCTCGAATCCACGCTTGTACGCTTTCAGCGCCTTCTTCCACCATCTTTCGCCATTAGCTGCGACGCTTTCGATGCGCATTTTCCTAGTCTTGGCATTATATGCCTTTGCATAGCGCCTCGTGACGTCCTTTGCTGTGCCATCTGCTTCGAATCCGACGACATAAGTCATGCAATTGTCGCGTTCGCTCGCTGGCGGCTCGAGCACCTTGGGTTTCCAGAATGAGACGGTCACAAGAGGGTCTACAGGTTGCCATTTCTGATGGCCAACATCAAGCACCTCTACCCAATACACCGGGAAAGGGCACTCCCTGATCTTCTTTGGGGGCCCGGACGACGGAACCGGAGCAATAGGTGCAGTTACTGGAGGCATGTTGAATGCAGTGGCGTTAGGATGGCCGATCCGCCGGCGGATGGCGGATGCTGCAGGGGACGCTGCCTTTACACCTGGGCTATCAAAGCTAGTATCATATTTGGGACGCTTTGCATACTGTTCTTCAAGAGATAATCTCTGCTTCTTCGGTGGCTTGCTCATGGTAGGGCCACCAGAAGCAAAAGACAGCGGTTGCAGTGAGCAGACAAGACGGGCTTCGACGCCAGCGCTCCGCAGTAGCGCGCAGTATAATTGCGCACCAACATCCCTTGACCCCTTGAGGGAAGCTGCAGCTTCGCGAAAGTCGGACCTCTCCATCGGGGTTTCAACATCGTCTGGTAATCGATACTAGGAGTAGAATTAGATTTGTATACGGGAAAACAAAGTAAGAGCCGCGCATTACCTCCTTCAGATGCTCTTCCTTATCAGCCCACAAAGCACGCCGTAAGCCTCTTTCAGTTACTTCATACTTTGTCCTGAATATTGTCTCTAGCTTCTCCAGACCAGTCTTGAGAGAATTGGTCTGTCCAAACTGTGTGAGATCAGGCCCTGGGGTCAAGTATTTTCTGAGATCCTTGTTCAACATGGACCGGCGGAGGGTGCGCTGGACTTCGGAATCGTTACACCAGCGATTTCTCTGCGCTACATGTGATAACAGACACAAGAGATGTGTCTTGTGTATGTCAATGCGACGTTCCTTTTCTGACCTGTTGATCGGCTTTCTCCTATTCACGGCTCTTTTGGCGGCTTCGCTAGCCTCGGCTCGTTTCGAAAGGTCTAATTGTATTTCCTGTGGCTTTTCTTCTTTGGTTTCTGTGCCAAGGTTCAGCTCCGGGAAGGAGAAATCTATATCCTCGAATTGGAGCTGCTCTTCATCGTCATCCTCCTCTCCTTCGTCCTCTTCCTCGTCCGAGTCTCGATAGATTGTTTGCATTTTTGGCGCGGGAATCCCCACATCTTCAAATTGGACGTCTTCATCTTCATCGTCGTCCTCGAGCTCAGCCGTGGTTGGTGGTTGCTGGACCGTGGTCTTGGGCTTCGTGGGTGTGCGAGCAGGAGCGGTTCTTTCGCCGGGGCGACGACGCTTTCGTGGTGGTTCTGCAGTTTCGGTGCTGGCAGTAGCTTGCACATCTACATTTTCAAGCATTTCCCGATATATGTCTGCCGGAGCATTGCGAGAAGTCGATGCGCGCGTCGTCCGCCTCGGAGCGCTGGCTATCGGCCGCTTCTTACCCGCCATGGTGCTGTGATGTCATACACTCAACCAGAGCATGAATATCGTGACAAGATGCTGCCAATTTGTGCAAATTGCGAATCGCCGTAACGCATATATTTTGGTCACATTCTTGAGAATTTGTGCCCAGTCATTTCTCCGCTGACGAGAAGTTGATGGAATTCACGGCGCCCAAGATATGGTAGGCAGTAAGTTCACAGCTGGGTAATAGTGGGTGCAAGCTTTGGACGCGCTAGAGCTAGAGGTCGGCAGGCTCAATGTAGGTACGCTGCTAGGCAAGAATTACCAGCGCCGCGAAGAGGGGTAGACACGCCGTTGAATGTTGGTAATACCTACAGATTAGTAGAACTGCCGCGTCTTCACGTGACCATCTTTAATTGCCCGATTCCAACACTTGAGTTGCTCGTCATACAACGCCATTATGTACTCCATTAGACGATTTGGTAGCTTTTGAAGCTCGAATTGGTTATGAGAATATGCTGCTCTTCTTTCAGTCCTATCATGACAATTTTCGGCATGACTCTTGGTAAAATGATGAGCAATACGATTCTTCTGTTGAAATGGCAATGATGAAGAACAAGATTTGTGCGCTTTCTTTTTGGTATGACGAGGACTTGGTAATTATCAAGTTCATCTATAAGAAATAGCCGCGAAATATGTAGACCTTCATGATTGCTATCATTGCTATGGCCACGAGAATCTACTGCCGATCCCGCGGTGTGACTGATTAGCTTCATGCAAAGTAAACTCTCGAACCCACACCAAAATTTGTACTAAAGCTCCCGCATCACAATTATTCTTTGGCATCAACACCCGGCAATTGCATCCCACTCAATCCACTTTTGCATAAACGCCTGCCAATATTAAAAATGAAGGACTCATACACCTTGCCCGCGGCGGCAGATTTCCATGTACACTTGCGTGATGGAGCCATGGCCGAGGCCGTGACGCCCACCATCCGCCAAGGAGGTGTCGACGTAGTATACGTGATGCCCAACCTCGTACCACCAGTGACCACAGTTGCTGCTGCTTTGGCGTACAAGGAGCGACTCCAGAAGATTGACTCCAGCATCACCTACATGATGACTCTCTACTTGCACGAGAGCATCACGCCCGATGTTGTCCGTGAGGCCAAAAAAGCCGGCATTGCGGGCATTAAAGTAAGAGGGTTCTTCCTACATGGTCTATAATTTTCCATGGAACGACATGGCTAATGGCTTCACTTAGTCTTACCCGGCAGGAGTCACCACCAACTCCTCGTCTGGTGTCATTTCATACGAGCCCTTCTTCCCCGTCTTCAAGGCAATGGAAGAAGAGGGCCTGGTGCTGAATCTTCACGGCGAGGTGCCCAGTGACCGCAAGGACATTACCGTCATGAACGCCGAGGCAAGCTTCCTGCCCACATTGCAGGACCTGCACCGACGCTTCCCAAAACTCAGAATCGTCCTAGGTGCGTACTATATTACCATTTTCCCAACGCTGCCTCATGGGTCAGCCACATGACGGCTATCCCCACTAACCAATGACACAGAGCACTGCACGACGGCAGATGCCGTCAAGGCTGTTCGTTCATGCGGCGACACCGTCGTGGGCACCATTACGGCCCACCATCTGTCCCTGCTCGTCGATGACTGGGCAGGCAACGCCTTTTGCTTCTGCAAGCCCGTCGCCAAGACCCCTGCCGACCGCAGAGGCCTTTTGGAGGCAGCCGTAAACAGCAACGGCAGATTCTTCCTGGGCACTGACTCGGCGCCGCACGACGTTGCAGCCAAGAAGAACGGCAAAGCTGCCGCTGGTGTCTTTACCCAGCCGTACGCGGTCCAGTACGTCATGAACGCCCTCGAGGACGCCGTGGAAAGGGGCGACATCAAGGACGAGCAGGTGACGGAAGAGTTCCTCACCGGCTTCCTTGGAGAATGGGGTCGCAAGTTCTACGGCATTGAGCAGAGCAGCAAGAAGATTGTGGTGAAAAAGGGAGACGAGGTCATTACATCATCGATCAAGGGAGCGGGCGTTGAGGTCGTACCGTTCCGCTCAGGGGAAGCTACATGGAGCGTGGAATGGCAGTAATTACATATGACCAGGGGTAGTTTGACTGTTGCCTGGTTGTAATGTTTGTTGATTGTAGAATGCCCACGAGGCTATCCATATAATCGACAAATGGTATATACAGCGCCTTGAACGAGGCAGTGCTCGACCCTTGCTCGTGAAACCCAAGTCTGTGAAACAACTGCTGCATCCTGGGATAACCTTAATGGTATAGCTGGACATAAGCTTCTATCACACAGTAAACCCCGTCATTTGCGCCATTGGCACAACTTAGACAACAAGGAAACAAGCTTATATCTGTCTAGGCACCAAGATAAAACCATGACGGGACACGATAATGTAACCTGGAGCTGACGTTCTAGATTTCGATCTCTGGCCGCCTATTGTACGGCAGCAAATAAGGCCGGCTGAAATCAGACCATTTCGCGTAATTATCAGTGGCTGAGCATCCTTTCTGGAGATAGCAATTCATTTGGTCAGACTCGGCCAAACCCCATTGAGTTTATCTCAGTATGGGTAATTGGCAGGATGATCTGCCCTTGGATCTGCAAGAGCAATGTGCCAAACAGCAAACACGCATTTGTCAGTTCGGGTATGTGCCCGTCCCAGTCACGGCCATGCAGTGAGACGGGGATCTGAAAGCGCAGGTCCGGCGCTGGTCAAAGCAAGCCTTACCTACCGGCCCGGGGTTGATTGCTTGCACACCGGTACCCGATAATAACTGTTTTTCTGGGAATCAAGAGGCGGGGCGCTAAGAAGCTTTGGTGTTGATAGCCTAGCGTTGCGCTCAACAGAAAACAAAAAGAGCCGGACTCGATTCCAGTCGACGGCGTCGAATAACTCCAGATGAATCGAACTTGAACTAAAAACGCTCCCAAGATCAAATCTCGATATCCCTCAAGTTCTCAAACCTCAGTCATGATTACTCACAGCGTCACAGCTCGGTTCGGAGTTACCTTGCGGGCAGCCCCGTCACGGACGCTTGGTCAAGATTGGAATCGCGGTTCACAAACAACGTTCCTGAAATCGGCCTTGGGAGTTCCATAGCACCCTTGATTCGATGGGGCAACGTCAATCAAGTTTTGATCTGATAAGTTTTCACATACTGTGTACAAGCCAAAGGGTTTGCGAATGTATAGTGGGGTTCAATAATGTCTTTATGGCGCGATAAGCCAAAAACCGGCCAGGGGTTTGAGAGATTAGTAGCCAGATTGTGGGAGCCTTGGCGGGTTAGAATCGCAGAGGAACTTCAAAGTCATGAAAGTTGCAGCCTTCACGGGCAAACCCAGGCCGGATGCGCAACCCCCCAATTCTCGCTGCGCATACTCCCCGATCCTTTGTACATGCCGTGCTTACACAAATACCATGCCCGGACTTTTCTGTATACCAAGGTAACATGGAGGGCAGATAGCAGGATTGAGGGGTACAAGTATTCGGTCTGGCAAACCAGCCAGTCTGGATGAAGAACCAGGCGCCGTTTTCCCTCTCTTTTCCAATGGTCCTTTGAGAACCAATGCCCGCCAGTCAAGAAGTTTACCCGCCAGTTTGAGATCCACTACTGGGTACCCAAGGAAGAGCCCGGCTCAGCGTCTAGGTACCTTGGGTACTGACGGGGGCCCTGTGTAAATGTACGCACGGTGGTGTTGGCAAAAGCTCCTCTGCTACATTGCCTACACACCACAGACTATCATGGTAATCCATGGGAGATCAGTCCACGACCGAGGGACGGATCTATTTACATAATAATACCGATCTATGTATGAGAAGAGTGGAAGGCCGTGGTAGGTTGCTGAGGTGTTGTCCCTCCTAGGCGAGAATCCCCTTTCCCCCTCCATAGGTGGAATATATAATATAGTACTCTGGGACTGCACTTCTGTTCAAAAAGCCTCTTTTCTCCTCCTCTGTCGACATACTCGTGGCCCTTTTTTTTTTCTTTCGAAAATTCAAAGAAATTTCTTCCGGAGACAAGGCAAACACTCTCCTTTATCAGCACATGTAAGTGTCAGCTTATTCTTCGGATTGATTCTTGCGTCTCCTGTGTGATCGGAGTGCCCTCGGTAGTACACCCCGTCCTCAGCATGCATGAGGGAACAAGACAAGATCAGCAAGTCCAGCAGGCCCAGCAGGCCCAGCAAGCAAGATCCCAAGCACAAACAAGCCCCTCCTCCATCCGTATTATCTCATCCCCACCAAATATGCCAGCTCAAGAGGAACCGTTGTTGGTCGTCTTGCAGCCGCTTTGTGGTCGGTCACCGGGGTCGGGAAACTCCAGCGTCCATCCCTCTCAACTCGGAGACCGCCAGAAAACGGCCGCCACCAAACCAAGAGGCTCCTCCTGCAAGCAGTCCAGTCCCAAGTCTCCTCCGAGTCTGTCTGCATCGGGATTGGATTAATTGGCGGTGAAAGTGGTTCAAATAACCTGCTTGACCCTCTCTTTGCGAACCCTGTCACTAACATAACTCCGGTCCCCCTTTAGACTCGACTTCTTTAAATTTTTGACTTTCCCACGCATCCTCGACCCTTCTCAAACACTCTACGCTTTCGTCGAAGGAAGAAAAAGAAAAAGAAGTCAGAAACCATGGCCGCCCGCCCCCAGAACATCGGCATCAAGGCCATTGAACTCTATACTCCTAGCCAGGTGAGTGACCATTTCCCCCCCGCCGCCGCCGCCGCCAACTCTGCGTGTTTTGTGCAATTCACGCGCGCGTCGTGTCTCTGGGGCACAAGGACCCCTTTTTTGGGCAATCCTGTTCCTGCGACCTGCTTTTCCTCCCAACGCCGCCCCTCATTCTCCGAAAATCGCAACTGGACCCTGAAAATTAACATTGCGGTGCCCCGCCATCTAGTATATTGAGCAGACTGAGCTCGAGAAGCACGACAATGTCGGTACCGGCAAGTACACAATTGGTCTCGGCCAAACCAAGATGACCTTCTGTGATGACAGAGAGGGTACGTAATAATTCCTCTCCTAGATCCCTCTGCCCAACTGCAGCGGCAGCTCGCTTCTCAATGCGCGGCCCCTCGACTGACACAATTGCATAATCACAGATATCTACTCGTTTGCCTTGACCGCTGTGTCCCAGCTGATCAAGAAATACAACATCGATGTCAACAACATTGGTCGTCTCGAGGTCGGTACCGAGACCATTCTCGACAAGTCCAAGTCGGTCAAGTCCGTCTTGATGCAGCTCTTTGGCGAGAACACAAACATTGAGGGTGTCGATACTATCAACGCCTGCTACGGTGGTACAAATGCCATGTTCAACACCATCAACTGGGTCGAGTCGTCGGGCTGGGACGGCAGAGATGCCATTGTTGTGGCTGGCGACATTGCCCTCTACGCCAAGGGCAACGCCAGACCCACTGGTGGTGCTGGCTGCGTTGCCATGCTCATCGGACCCAACGCCCCGCTCGTCGTCGAGCCCGGTCTGCGTGGAACTTATATGGAGCACGTCTACGACTTCTACAAGCCCGACCTGACCAGCGAGTACCCCTACGTCGACGGTCACTACTCGCTCACCTGCTACACCAGGGCTCTCGATGCCGCCTACCGGGCCTACAACAACCGTGAGGCCGTCCTGGCCAAGGCTGCCAACGGTCACGCCAACGGCAACGGTGCCGCCACCGAGTCCAGCAAGACCCCTCTTGACCGTTTCGACTACATGGCTTTCCACTCCCCTACCTGCAAGGTCGTCCAGAAGTCGTACGCTCGTCTTTTGTACCACGACTACCTCGCTGACCCCGAGAACGCTGTTTTCGCCGAGGTCCCCGCCGAGGTTCGCGACATGCCCTACGACAAGTCTTTGACCGACAAGGTCGTCGAGAAGGCCTTCATGACCTTGACCAAGAAGCGCTTCGCCGAGCGTGTGCAGCCTGCCATCCAGGTCTCCACCAACGTCGGCAACATGTACTGTGCCAGTGTCTGGGGTGGTCTTTCTTCCCTGGTTTCCCACGTCGACAGCGCAAACCTTCAGGGCAAGCGCATCGGTCTCTTCAGCTACGGCTCCGGTTTGGCAGCATCCTTCTTGTCGCTGCGCGTCAACGGCAGCACCGAGGAGATTGCCAAGGCTCTGGACATCCCTAACAAGCTGGCTGCCCGCCGTGCCCTCAGCCCCGAGACCTACGAGGCTGTAAGTTGCAAAGACACCAACCTGCTATTTATGTATATCCTGGCTCCTTTTACTGATACTTGACGAATCTAGTTCTGCGAACTCCGCCACAAGGCTCACCTCCAGAAGGACTTTGTCCCCAAGGGTGACGTTTCGACCATTCTTCCTGGCACCTACTACCTCGAGAAGGTCGACGACATGTTCAAGCGATTCTACGCCATCAAGCAATAGATATCAAAGGACAGCCAGCTGTTCTTTCCACGACCATGAATAAGGACCACCAATGTGGACCAGGGTCTAGTGGGAGGCGTATAGATTTCTCCCAAGCTATGACCGTCATGAAATGTTTGAACGAATTTACCCTTTGCGCGCGCCCAACGCGAATACCCCCTTTACAGCGGAGCACAGCAACAAAAGGCAATGCAATAGATGAGCACAAAAAAAAAGCTCACATCATAGTAACCGGGCTACAGCTAGAGCGACATGATTTGGCTTGTATATAGCAGGCTCTATAAGAGGCATTTGTTCTCTTTTTAATAAGACGATAGAATTTTACCATGTAAAATTTCTGCAAACGTGGATTGTGCGTCGTTATATGCATGAGTAAATGAATAAATCGTCCACTCGCTCTACTTTGATGCTCGAGTGGTGGTAGTGACAAGACAGACTGATGCGCGAATCATTATAGTGTATTCCATCCGAAATGTAACGGTTCAACGGCCTCTCTGGCATCCCTATTCATGCTAAATACTAGGCTGATGAGCATCCGGGGGTGCGCAACCTTGGTAGTTATATATTCCGTATGCAAGGTTCAAATAAAAATAGACAAGCAAAGAGTGCGATGTGTTTTCACGAAATGCACTGGACACGTGCTCAGTGCCTGAATAGTACCTAATGTAGGTGACTATGTAGCTCCAGGTATGCGCTAGATACCCCAGATAAGTACATATGTGACGGGAAAGGCTCTCTCTACTTGATCACATGTGCATCATGTATGTCTCTCTGCGCTCAATGTCTCCATGGTGCATCAAAACGGCTACAGATTGCACATACGTACCTGGATTCCAACCGGTCTGGCAAGGTCTCTATTGTACTACATGCATCGATTATACCAAGGGTCCCTGACCGAGCAGTGGTCTAAGCGCTCGCAACCCCAGACTCGGCTAAACCTGAAATGTATTTCGGAATGTGTAGCGAGTAACTGGGCACCGGACAGGCACAGGCACAGGCACAGGCACAAGCTTGCAAGCCTGTGACAGTGACAAGCCTCGAAGCCTGGGCAAGGAAAGAAGGGCCCTTGGGGAGGCCCGCCACAGCCCCAGCATGCCCGAATGGCAGATGCTTGAGTTGACTTGACAGAAGATAGGACCAAGGACTTTGGGAGAGAGACAGAGGCACCACCCACCCGAGCCCACATCCCATCCACCCACCGGACCACACCCCCAAAGATCGACGCCGCCCCCGACCCAGCTGCTGGAGTCTCGGTCTGTGTTGATGACGAATGGGTAGCAAGCTCGGTCTTTTTTTTCCCTTGTGCTCTTGTTGTTTCTCTCTCTCTCTGTCTGTTGGTGTCTATGTGCCACTAACAATGTACTACTGATTTTGGTGAATGAGAAAAGAAGGTTCAGCTCAATATTCTCGCCGTTCTCCTGTCTTGTCTCTCTATATTTCTGCATCAGCCTTTTTTTTTTAATTCCCTCTACCTTGATACAGAAACCTTGTTTCTTTCTGTTCGTGTCGTCAGGTACATCAATCACCTATCAATCACTATAAAGATACATAGGCACTACACAGCAATAACATCAACAACAACAACAAGTCCTGGGGGTTTCATCCCTGCCGGCCTGGAACGCTGCAAGCCTTCTTGCCCGTCGTTGATCCAAGGAGGGAAGAGAGAGAGAGAGACGAGGGAGGAGGAAGAAAAATAATTAGCTGCTCTGCCGCTCACTGCGCGCAACAACTGCAACTTTGACCACGGTTCGGCTCGCCTACCACCAGTACACTGCATAGGTATTGCAGCAAATCCTCGATTTCCCCGCCGCCGCCTTTAACTGCTTTCTTATATTCTGCCCGATCGCACCCACGGCGGCAAACGGGACAGACAATTCATTCTCGTTTCACCCAAAAGGCTCCCGTTCACCTCCAGCCGAAGTGTGATTGATTGGGTCTTTACTTTTTTTTCCTTTTCTTTTTTTCCTATTCTTTTCCATCTCTTTTTGCTGGCGGTTTTCTGAAATCTGCATCGTTGGGGATTGGGAATTGGATTTCCCTAAGCCAGCGTCATTGCACCCAGCCCTGTGGAGCTTCGCCCATACCTAGGTCTTAATTGATCGCGACATTATTTTCCCATCCTCGCCTCGGTTCCCCATCCTCAGCCCGGCCGCCGCAAGCTTCAATTCGATCCTGTCCATCAGTTTCGACGAGCAATATGACTGAGGTGTCGGCTACGCGTCTCTACTTGGGCAATTTGCCCAAGGGAGGTAAGCTATTCTCTCTCTTTTTGTGTTCCTCCATTGCCCATCCAGAGCTTGCGCGAGCTCTTCTGCTGTCCTCGAAGGTCTTCTCTGTCTGTGCCGCTCAGCGCGACCAGGAAGCTCCAGCAGCTACCAATGCTCGCGTTCCAGTATTCCCTACCTACCCTGTCGACAGCTCGTGATTTCATTGCCCCGCCGTACTGACTTGCGAAACCCAGTCACCAAGACCGATGTCGAGGCTCACTTTGCGACCCATGGAACCGGCGAGATTACTGAGATCAAGCTCATGAATGGCTTCGGCTTCATCGAATACAAAGATGCAATGGATGCCCGCGACGTTGTTCCTGGTATGTACTCCCTCTCTGGCTTTCCCGCTGACCACCACCACCATCCAGAAATCCAAACATGCGTTGCTCCTTGGATTCAATGGACTTGTGCTAACATGATGCTTCTTCTCTGCAGCCTTCCGTACGTCATGGACTCTTTCTGGCCACCGCAAACCCTGACCCTCCCCGTTGTTCCCCCGGCTAATACAGCGTTACTCGCAAAGATGGATCCGATTTCATGGGCGAACGATTGACCGTCCAATTCGCTCGTGGCTCTCGCAACCGAGAGGGCTTTGGCACCCATGAGAGAGCACCTCCTCGCCCGAGACGCACCCCTTACCGGATGCAGATCACTGGACTTCCCAATGATACCAGCTGGCAGGTCTGTTACTACTCCCGTCTACTATCACCTTCTGTATCTCGCCCCTGGACCTTCCCCGTGGTTCTCTAGGATATCAGAGCTTAGCGCAGTCGTGGGTCAAGCCATCCATACACGAGGTTCGGCTGAAAGCTCAGGATATCACCTTTCATCTTGAGTCCTTGCAGCCCCCTGGTCCGGATGGCTCAACCGGTAGAACGGGTCCGATCTGGACAAGGCGCCCGATAGGACCCTCCTACGATGGATTTACTGCTGGTTTAGGACCTCTGGATTGGTGCTTCTGGGCCTCACTCGGTCCTTTGCTGTTATTACTGGAGAAGAAATCACCGGCAACGCGCCACCACCAATCGCAAATCCATTCCGCTCCTGGGACTACCACTTACTTGGATTCTGGATCTAGGACTTGAAAGACTTTGCCCGTCAATCCAGCCTCGACGTCGTCTACTCGGAGACCGGCCGCGATGGCAAGGGCAGCGGGTGTGTACACTGTAATATGAGCTTGATGCGATCAGTTGTTAATCGTTGCGCAGGAGCTTTGTCGAGTTTGAGACGGAAGCCGATCTCAGAACTGCCGTGGAGAAGCTTGACCAGCGCGAATTCAAGGGTCAGCGAGTGACCTGCTTGGCCGATGTTTGTTTGCCTCAGTATGATTTTTATACTCCCAGCTTGTAAGACTAATAATCTGCACAGATTCAATCCGGCCCCCCTCCCGGTCGCGACCGTTTCCGCTCTCGATCGCCACGAGGCCGTGGTGGCCCGTACAATGGCGGCCCACCCAACGATTACGAAAGACGCGGACCCCCTCGCGGCTATAGTCCCCGCCGTGAGGATTACCGAGGTGGCTACCGTGATCGAAGTCCTCGAGGCCCCCGAGATCCTTACTACGACGACCGCGGATATGGACGATCGCCACCCCGACGTGGCCCGCCTATGGAGGATTATGGTGCGCCCCGCGGCCGAGGAGGATACGATGACCCCTACCGACGAGATTATGGACCTCCCGAGCCATACCCTAATGGTGGAGGCCGACCTCCGTATGAGCGCCCTCCGTACGATGGACCTCCACGTGATTACCCGCCACGCGATCGCGGCTTTGGTCCACGCGACGGTGGTTACCCTCGTGGCGGCGAAGATTACCGCAGAGGCGGCGGCGGCGGCGGCGGCGGCGGAGGTGGTGGAGGATACTGGTAATTCTTTCCACTTCCCTTTGAGGGGTCATCCCTTACTTTGTCTAGATCAATCGCCGCCTCAAATTATTTTTTATTTTTCGACATCAGGGCGAAAAAAAAATCAGCAACAACAAAACTGAACATTCGAACGTGGGCACTGACAAAGTTCTACGTCACCCGTACCAAGGCAAACTGACGACAATTGAATGAGATGCTTTTCTTTCTTTCTTTTTTTTCTATCTGTATTCTTTTCTTCGTGAGGCAAAAATGGAATAGGGATTCTGTTTCAACATTTTATGGTTTGCAGGGACACAGCACGATTTTTTGGACCTTGAAAAGTTTCAGCTTGGTATTTTTCTTCTTTCAAACGAGGTCGACTGTATAATGGAATCATACTTCACTGCTTCTGTACGCTTGATGCCGTGTATAACGAGAATGAAAAATACTTTGGAAAATAACGTTAAAAGTCATGATTATGCAGTGCGTTTTCTTGCCAGTGCTCTAGACAAATCGCGACTTTAGCTGACGCACGTGTCCAATGTCTCCCTCGTCTAAAAGTGTTTGGGGAAAGGGGTAAAACTGATTAATTATAATATCTCTTCTATACTCCCTCCATCCACTTGATTGACTGCCTGCCTGCTTGTTATATGGGTACTCGAGCAAAAGCAATACAAATTTCGAACCTCTTTTTTCCATTGGCTTCAAAGATTACCACTTGAAGAAAACGCCATTGCTATGCAGGATAGATAAAGGAAACCCAACCCCCCCCCCTGTTTCTGATGATGCAAAAAGGACTCTTGACTCGTCGCTCTCTTTCGTCACTTCGTCCCACGTATCGGTATTCTAGGCCGGTGCTCGGAATTCTTCATGTTTGATTCAAGAATCACTTGCGAGGAATTGCCTGGGAGTTATTCCAAATATAACATCTACTAGCTCATCAAGAAGGGTATATACCAGATGCGTGCTGAGGAAAACATTAGCACAAAGGGGTCCCGTGTCTATGCAGCGCGGGAACAGGAGCAATCAACTTACTTTAGTCTTTCATTATTGAGGGTAGCAAAGAGCCTCCGACTTGCGGCTTGAGCATTCAGCCGTCCCACGACACTACCCGCCAGGTCGGGGATGAGCGTGGCCAGCATCAAGCCCGCCTCGCGCCTCGTCTTGGCCTTTTCCGCATTTGTACGGAAGGCTTTGTTTTTCTTCATCTCGCCGTCGGGCCACATGCTGTCCTTGAGCAGGCCAATGTATTTGAGAATGGCGTCTTCCTGCACAAGGACTTTGATATTGTCACGTACTTTGCGCTCCACTGTGCCGCCGAGCAACTGGTGGAGCACGACCACCACGGCGCGGCCACGCAGCCAATTGTTGCCTCGGTTCAGCTCAAAGATTTCCAGGAATATGTCACAGATGGGTTTGATAAAAGGCTCAAGCTCCTTGTTCTCGAAAGCATTTAGTTCAGCTTCCGCCTCGGCTGCCGTAAGAGCATCTTCGCCCACGTTGAGTGGCAATGGCACCATGTGTGTGTTCAGCTGGCTGGTTGCGGCTGCAATCAGATTCTGGCCGGCCACCGAGAGTTGATCGAGAACTGGTATGTTGCCAAGTATGTCCTCCATTCCGTCCGTTACCGAGTCATAGAATCTGGTCATCATGTCCTTCTTGTCTTCGCGCGAGATAAGATCCTCGCCCTCCTTAATGACACTTTGCGACAAGAAAGCACGCAGGTCGCGAGAGCGGCAAACTTCAGGAAGCCGTAAAAGTTGCTGCAGATACTGCTCGAGCGCTTGCTGGCGTTTACGCAGAAACTCGCTCTGCAGCTTCATCATGACCCGTCTCCGTGGAAAGTCCAAGTCTCGGACCGAGGGATATCTATGCCGAAGCTTTTGGTGCAGCTCGTGGAACTCGCTATAACGCCTCGTGACAATCCATGTGGCGGCCGGCATCTTCTCGCCGGCCACACGCTGGACCTCTATCACGTATAGCGCAAACTCCTTGCCGTCATCTTCTCGTCCCACCTGGATCGCTTTGATGCTAATGGACGAACGACCATAAAGACTGTTGTCGCTCTCCTGAACGACGTATTGCTGCCTTTGTAACTCCTTCCGCCTGAGCTCTCTTTGAAGACTCCCTTTTGATTTCCTCAGGATGCGCAATTCGGCCGTATTGTTGGTCAGCTCCGCCTTCTTCATCAGCGAGTCGAGCACAGCTTCCTGCGCGACAAGTCGGTCAATAGCGTTTGTAAGTACAGTGATTGCTTCAGCTAGGCCTAAATCGCCTGGTGCCGCTTCGTGTACTTCATCCTCAGGGTTTCCTGTTTCTTCAGAAGGGTCGTCTCCATCCTCGGCCAGGAACTTATCCTCGTCGCCAAACAAGTCGTTATCTTCAAAGACGCCAATTCGAGACGCTGCGCTCACAAGACCCAATGATGACAGACTGGGCTTGCCCACCTCCTTTCCAGACGAAGAAGGACCGGATCGTTGCAGGTCCACAGATCCACGCGCCGAATCGTTGTCGTTGCCAGGGAAGAGACTGGCTGACCCATCCTCATCACCAAACAATGACTCACGAAGATCCTCGGCCGTCCGAGGTCTTTCAGTTTCCATGATGTTGTTCAGCGCCTCTTCCATAGCCTGCACCACCCGATTATCGGGAGCAGGATTTGTAGGATCCTGATCCAGGCTTTGAATCGAGTCACCCATGGGGTCATGCTCCAAATCATCATCGTCGAATAGGGGCGCACCGGCAGGCTCATCAAGAGAGCGCCGACCCATGAGCCGATCAGGACTATGGCTACCATTAACAGCCTGCCGCAAATCTGTAGCCGACAGGCCACGCCTTGCTTGTGCATTCAGTCGAGGGTTCAGCCTGGCGACAGAGGTTGGTGCAGGTTTAATTGGTTGGTATGATGTAGATGCTCTGGCCAAAGGGGGGCTGGCTGGCCTAGGCGGCAGTGGTGGTGGAAGCAAGGAGACGGTTTTCTTTGATGCTTCTTCAGATGCCAAACATTTATACCATAGATCGGATTTTTTGAATGGTTGAAAATATTTTGATTGCATCTCCTCGAGCACGACACTTTGCGCCCGCAAAACTGCACGTCTCGCTCTGAAGTACTGTTCAGGGGTAGCACCTTTGCCAGCCTCCAAGAAGTTTCGAATCGCCTTTCTTGATGATTCCGGCACTTTGAGCTCAGGTTTTGACATGTATGCCTGTTCTATCTGGGCGAGGTCGAGGCGGTCAGAGTATGTCCAAGGCGGGAGTGTTGATGGTAATTGCTCATTTTCTGGTCCATCGTCTTCGAGGGGATTGCGGAATCCATCGACAACCAACCAAAATTGTACCAGAGGCATCATTTTTTGTCTATCCATGTACTCCATGAAGTATGACAAGCCTGAAGTGTCTCGCAGCAGATCGGCCAAGCGGGCATGCTCTAGACGAGAGCTCTCTGAAGGCGGAGAGTTATTCGCGAAATTGGGCATGGGTCTTCGATCGCCTCCTGCAGCAAGTTGATGAACTCTCTGGTCCAGTAATCTTTTGCCCATCTCTAGTCGCCTCATATATACTTGATCTTGCCCCTCCTGCTCAGAGTCTTTTCTCAACTGGCTTGCGACCTCACTCCTAAATCTCCTGGCATCAGAGAGATTGTTCACTCTCCTGATGTTCCTGATCCACTTTTCGAACCTCCTCTCACCGTCCCCGGGCGAGAGCTTTGGAAATGTCAAGGCCGCTTTGCTACGGCTTTTGGGATTGGGGCTTGCATGAGTATCCAGCGCCGCTCTCAGCTTCTTGACAGTAGACCGATCCTGCAGCATGGTCCGTCCATAATTCTCCATGATCTGGTTCCAAGTATCCGGTTGGCTCAGCATGGTTATGACGGGATGAAGCACTGCACAGCCCACAATCTCGCGCACGATGCTTGAAACTGCTCGGCTGTTAAGAGTGCTCTGTGGCAACACTTTGGGGAGTATGCCGGCAACAATCTTGCGCAAGTGTTCCTGCTGCATCATCTTTGGGTCTGAATAGGCCAGGCTGGCGGCCGCATGCAGTTTGCCCTCCTTGTACTTTGCAGCGATGGCGAGGTCCAGCTCTTCCGTCTCGGTCACGGACTTGTTCAGCTTCCTGCCTCTCACTGCCCGTTCCGCATCGTTGAAGTCCCGAAAGTGCGCCGTCAAGATGGGCACGATCCGGCTCGTAATCACATCCACCAGATCAACGTCCAGCAGGCGATTGCGAATATTGGCCAGCGCGATCCTCACAACCTTGTCGACCTCGTTGGCAAAAACCGGGTTGCTGCTAATGTGTGCGTACCAAGACTTGACAAAGTCCCGGAGAATCATGCGGAGCAGTTCGTCGAGGGCGTGCGAGATGCGCCGCGAATCCGGATACAGGGGCGCGGGCTCGTAGATTTGGCGGACTCGGAGCGAGCTCGTCTCCCTCCGCCAGGCAAGGGGCCCCACGAACTCGACGGCCCGCGGCCTCGCAGATCGATTTCGCCGAACATGGTTGTTGTAGTAGGCGGCACCCCCGCGCGACGTGAGCAATATGAGGGCAAACACGGAGACGATGGTCAGGAGACAGCCGGCAACAAAGGCGTAGCCAGCCCACCGGAGGGCCGGGAGCCAGGCGATGGCGTAGCCCCAGGCTACGAAGCAGACGAGCCCGGCGGCGGCGACGTCTCTGCCCTGGAGGACCATGGTATGCCGGTCGTCATCTGGCACTGGGCGTCATGGGGAAGTAGCAGCAAGCCTGGAAGATGTCTTGAAGAAGCAGAAGCAAGAAATCGGGTGTGTTTTGTTTGTTGTGTCATTGTCTCGGAGACTAAACTACAGCTGCCGGTCGTCGTCACACTACATGCATTTACCTGTATTAACCTGACCTGCCTTATGCCCAGGGAGCTTAGGTCGCAGCTTGGCTTATCGGCCGGGTGACTTACAGCGGCTGGGGCGCTATCTGTTGTGCAATAGTGGGGCCTTAGGAGGTCACTTTACCCATCATAGAGGAAGAGGGTCGCGTAGCGGTGAATCAAATGTGGAATTCTCTTCTACACTACATACCTAGAGGAGGGGCACCCAGTACCTTTTCCGTGAGTCGACAGAACCAAACAAAGAAGATGGCAGGGTTGTTTCTTTCAAAGGCACGTGTATATGTAGTCTGAATATGGCAATATCTACAGCGGGAATGCCCAACTTGGAATCATTGCAGTCCTGGCTGCAATATCATACAAGGATAACGTCTAGCGTTTACTTAACCCACCCGCAGTGGTTGATATTACGCTCGGCAACACCCTTTTACCTGGGAAGAAAATTCATCATGACTGAGACCGATTCCTTGAAGCTAACAAATAGCCATGTCTAAATTTCAACGCGGCCACCATCAGTCTCATACAAGGCGGTGACGGACTCTTGCTGCACATTCTTGGTAGCGGCTCTATTAATAGCTGTTGGGGGGTGGTAAAGCACGTCTGAATGTATAGACATGGCCGAGTCAAGGTGGGATATATACATGTGCAATCACGATCAGAGATAAGTTATATAGATGTGGGGTATCATTGCTTTTATTCATTTGCTCACTGATCGCTCGAGGACTTTACTGTGTATTCGCTCGCAGCGTCAGGAGGGGGTATATGTTTGTTCTTTTCCATCAACGTGTTAGAAAACCGACCTCCATCAGATGTTGACCTGTGTAAGTTCCAAAAGACGTCCTTCCTCATGCGTGGGTGCCAACTCGAGACAACGACCACCAGTATCGATTCCATCCCCATCACTCGGCGTACCTTTGAGATCAGTGACACGCCCAAGATCATATCACAAGTGAACCCATCATCACTTCACATATCGATGATCACGCGCAAAGCATCACACCCATGTATCACCCGCGCATCCATTCACTTCTTCATGACATCACTCACACGAGGAGCAACTCGGATAACACATCACGGCACCACTCACACAAGGCGCAATCAAGTCGGCGGGCCCTTGTAGTGCTTGCGGCCCCAGGCAACGTACCAGATGATGGAAATGGCCGTAAACGCAACGAACACGACCGAGGCGTAGTTCATGGTTGCAGCATCTACCGGAATGTAGGATGGCATGCAAAAGAGCGGGATGGCGAGAAGAGACCAACCTAACATATGTCAGCACACGGGAGACTGGTGAGGACACGAATACGTACATAGTGAGATAATGTTGCAAACCAATCCAAACTTGCCCATGTAGAAGCTGCCAGTCTTGATAGTCTCGCGGCGGTCAATCAGACTGACAGCAATGGGAACAGCATAGGCAGTTGTCAAGGCAATGACACCAACACCCGAAAAGGCATTGAAAGCGGCAGACGATCCAAAGTAGATGACGCCAAGGATAATTTGGACAACCATGCTCAGCATCATTGCGTTCACGGGAACATCGAGCTTGGGGTGGACCACCTTCCACAGACCAGATCCAGGAATGGCACCATCGCGTGCAAAGGCCCAGATGCAGCGGGACGCAGCAGTGGTGCAGCCAATACCGCAGATAAGTGCCAAAATAATGAGTGGGATCAAGAGAGCAAACGTGCCTCCAGGTGAACCAACCGCACTCTTAATGATGGTGGGAACCGGTTGGCCAGAGGCCAGCGCAACGAGCTCGCTAATATCGGGAAGGACGAAGACGAGGGGGATCATAAACATGAAGCCGGCAATCGTGTTGAGGCAGACGGTGAGGACCATGGCCTTGGGGACTTGGGTAGCAGGTGCTCGTACTTCTTCACACATCCTGAGTTATCAAGGTTAGCCAATCGAGTTCTTCGCAGCGATAGAATATCGGATCACTGTTAGCTTACGAGATGATCATGCCAGTGGATGAAGTAGCATATGCTGCTTGCAAAAGACCAATCATGAAAGACCATCCAGGAATCCATCCAGAACTGACTTCGAAGTGTGTGAAAACGAATTCGGCAGATCGGTAGCCATTCTTTGCTATGGCGAGAACGCAGACCATGATGGCAATAACACCAGCTAGGGTCCAGAAGATGGCAAAAGTCTGGTTTTGTACTTGTCAGATGCTAGACAGGATCGCATAGGCACTGAGTTGACTTACATCAAGAAGGGGGAGCCACTTGTTGCAGAGAGAAGACACTGCATTACACAGCAATGTGATTCCCAAGAAGATGAGGAAGACTTGGTAGGCCTCTCCGGCAAAGACTGGTTCTCCTTCGGATGTTTCGAAAACGTTGATACACGCGACGAGGAACGTGGCAGTACCAAAATTGACAGCCAAAGTGATGGTGACATTGCCGACGACGTAGAGCCAGCCACAAATCCAAGCAGCGAGATTACGCCAGGCCGGTGGTGCCAGCATCCACGTCTGATAATAGACGCCTCCAGCTGTCGGGTATACAGAGGTAATTTCTCCAAGCGAAACGGCCACGCAGATGATGATGAGGGAGACGCCCAGCCAACCCCAGATAATGTCGACGGGACCACCACCATTGAGAGGATAGTACATGGTTGTTGCCAGTCCATAAGGAATTGCAGCAAGCACAAACGACATGAAAGCAACCTGGAGTGTCGATCGGTTTCGTGAAAGTTCTGGTGTGTAGCCTAGAGTTCCCAGCAACTCATCGGCTGAGCCAAATTCGCTCTCCTCGCCGGAACGAGCCATGTCGGCAGAGTTGACTTGTTCCTGCTTGAGACCCATGATTAACGACTGTATTTAGTATACCTCGTGGTTGTCGTCAATGTTCTTGAGGGCGAGGTCGGATTCCACCATGGAAATTCAAAAGGGATGGATTTCAGCAGAAAATTAGGAGGAGGGAATGAGGGTATAAAAGGAATGCTGGGCAAGTACGAGCCGACAGGGAGATAGATACAGAAACGAGGCCTCACATCGGGGAAACCAACAAGTCCCAGACTACTTATCGTACTAAAATTGCCAAGTCAGGCAATATGGAGACAATCGTGGAGAGAAGTTTTCAAGGGGACGGGTATTCAGTGGACCCTACGTCATCGTTCCTGGGTGAAGAGAAGCTTGTGTCATGGAGAGTTCCACTTGCTCAGTATAATGAGCCTGTGAGATGATCAGGAAGTCGGACCTTCGATAATCAACTCACTTCTTGCAGTCTGTCACGCGACATTTTTTGTTCTCCCATGGAGTCCTGCCCTGCATCGAGACGATGCAACAGGGTGATATGCAAGTCTACACTTACACGAGGTTTAGCGGACGACTTGAGCAAACCTAACCACTCTGGCCTGATCCAAGCCGGACGTCATGAATAGAGCGGTTAGTGCAAGAGGCTTTTTGTTGGTGCCCGTTTCAGTAGAATACTAAGGAGCCGAAGAATTCTCTCAGACGAGACCTCAAATTAAGAGAATGCGGCTGTTGAACCAATCGCGGATCGCGTCCGGCGGCCAAGGAAGGCCTGCTGGGATAAAACTCTGAATCGTAATCCCAGGGCCCCCCTTGTCGTCGACATGGCGTAGCCCAAACGGTCGTAGCTGTGGTTGCTGCTGCGAGGCGGAAGACATCCAATGACTATTACTAACTGGAACTGATTTGTAGCGGGTATCGGCATAATCTTCGGTGGTGCCGCCTGCGGAGGAATGCCGAGAAACGCTAGTCTGTAGTGCGGAGCGGGCAGGGAGCTACTCCCACCTTTCAGCCCGAGGCCCCGACACTCTCCCGAGAATAGCCAGTCGTCTAGAGAAACAAGGACATACGCGTTTTAACAGATTGGCACGGCTCAAATTGGGTGTTGGCGTCTGTATCTCATCCCATTGCATGAGTAAGTCATCCCCCAGGAAGACGAGTCTGGAGTGTGCTATATTCAGCCAGGAACCATCGACGCCAAGTCTGGACGCCATCCCAAAATCGTCCGGCAGTTTCCACTAGTCGTTTCTACTACTTTGATTTCCACCTTCAAACGATCTAGGCCAGGTTGTTTCGTCGGTGGCCAAGATAGATAGGTATATGCCGCCTGCTATCGCATTGATGAGAGATAACGCGGCCTCTTTCAGCCAAGGTGACATGCCGAATATCAGAGTGCATGGATTCGACCCCTATTCCAGGACGGATGATTTGGATCGATACCGGTCAGGTGATCTCGCTTGACTGATGGACGGTAAATGTTGGCCGTATCAAAGTATCATCAGACTTGTTCGTAGCCTTATCGCATGGCTCCTCGGGCTGATCATGGTGATCAAACCGTGAAGACTCGAGATAATCACCACGAAGGATCAGGCAAGCGGCGGAACAAGGCAACAAACTTTTGGCCCTTGTTCCTCTCCACCTTCTTGCCCTCTTCGGTTGCAGTCTTCATGATGCTTACGCACTCGTCAGCCTCCTGCTCTTCCTCGGTTACCCTCTCGAACGCCGGGTGGGCATCTAGATGGTGGACCATCCAGTTGTGAAGATCTTCGACATCAGTAATGGTGTAGATAATGCCGCCTGGCCGAAGGACAAATGCATATTCGGAGTTGAGGGTTGTCGACACAATTCTCGCCTTGTGCTTCTTGGCCTTGAAATGCGGGTCCGGAAAGCAAATGAAGATCTTCGACAGCTGAGCTTTTCTGAAGAAATTGGGCAAAAACTTCATGGTGTTTGCTCGAAAACAGCCAATATTTTGGTATTTTCCTGACTCGGCTTCTTGAGCACGAAGGGCTCGTATCCTTTCCTGGACATACTCGGTAACTTGAGTGCGAATTTCGAGGCCCAACATGAGAGACTTTGGCACAGCAGGACCCATGGCAACAAGCAGCCCTCCAAAGCCGCAACCAATGTCTATGATCTCGACATCCTGCTTAAGTCTCTTGGGGGCTGTCAGAAGTTGTCCGTTCTCCTCGGCGTGAGCACTGGCATCAGGTAAATCTTCAGAGTCGGCCACATAGGCCGGGAAATACGGCGACCAATCCATTTCTGCAGGACTTGCAGGGCTACTTCATCTCAGCTGGGCAGTTCTGCGGACTCAGAATGAAGAGGCTTACTATTCCAGTTGGTGATCCGAAAAGGGATTCGCATGAGCTCGTTGACGGTAAAATTTCTTCTTTGGCAGCTCAATAGCACCATTATCCTGCTGGCGAGCTGTGCGGTAATCTGCCCGCTTCTGGGGCTTTGGCGCTCGAGGCATCGTGCTTGTGCTGAATGACTAAGCTGAATATTCGCAATGGTACTGATGAAGTGGTTGCGGTATGATTGGTGAGCTTGAGTGCCTCTTTGTCGTTGATCTGATCCTGATCGTATTGCATGCAGCTCTCACCAGCGCCAATGTGAAGACTCATCAGCTAGAAACCAAAAATTTTAGTGGGGTCCTCCACAGCGCGCCTGCTCAGCAGCTCAGCGTGGTTCCCCCACCAATGGACATCGGGCAACCAGCGACCGTTGCGCCGATTAGTATTCTGTAATCTGTAGTATGGGATCCGTGCTTCTAGGTAGCTGTCACCCTCGCTTTTTTACACAAACATACCAGGTAGTAGGCACAGCAATATTGAGACATGTTCTTCACCAAAGGATGCGCCGGTATATTTGTTTCTCTGGAAAGATGTTTAGCAGGTTGAAAGAGTTCAAGCTTCATCTATTGTGTGTAATGTATTGAAACTTGACAAACTGCATGTAATGTTTAGATTGCTGCAGGCATGTAAGCACATGGCCAGGGCCTCCTACCTAACGCAGCTCGTAGCACGCAGGCACGGGATGCTGCGCTGTCGGGTATTTGAGCCTCGGCTGAGCGACCGGCGCAAGTACCCCAGCCTTTGACGTTTTCCATGGTAGCCGCAACTCAGCGACCCCATATCATCCATCGCGCAACATCGAGCCAAATATCGCCAGACAACAGACCTGCAGACCACGTTCACATCTGCTTCTCTAGATGCAGCAATGAGATAATCCCGATCACAACCACGCTAGCACGATGACCATCCGAGAGGATATCGTGACCTCGGCGGTCAACTTCCTCCAAGACCCCAATGTCGCCTCGTCTTCTGTAGACAGCAAGGTGTCATTCCTTCAATCGAAGAACCTTACCCAAGAAGAGATTGACACAGCTCTCGCACGAGTCGGCTCGCCGGGTGTAGTGACGCAGGCAGTAGCTGCATCTGCTCGACCACAACCTCAGCAACCATACTATGGCCAATATCAACAACCACCTCCTTACGGCTGGCAGCCTCCGCCGCCAGCGCCTCCTAGACGAGACTGGCGTGACTGGTTCATCATGGCCACTGTGGTCGGTGGCGTGAGCTACGGGTTGTATTCAATCACCAAGGTATGCATGGACATTGAATAGTGAGAGCCGGCAAATGCGCTGACCAAGATCTAGCGCTACATCTACCCTCTGGTAGCTCCGCCTACTCCAGAGAAACTTGAGCAAGACAAGGCCACAGTCGATGAGCAATTCGAAAAGGCTTTTGCCACATTAGATCAGCTATCTAAAGATACCGAGTCTCTCAAGGCTTCCGAGGAAGACCGAACCGTGAAACTCGACAAAGTCATTTGGGAGCTCGAAGCCTTTATTCGCGACACCAAGTCGGCATCGAAAAGACAAGAAGATGAAACAGAAAGACTGCGTGACGAGATGAAATCTCTGAAGGAAATCGTTCCAAAGAATATGACTGCAAATAAGGACTTTACTGATGGTCGTCTGCGTGAGATCACGACCGAGGTCAAGAGTCTGAAAGCCCTCATTGCCCAGCGAATGACTGCGGCGTCTCCCGCCACGCCTTCGACAGCAACCTCGGGGAGTGGAAACTACCTCAAACCCTCGGTCGTGAATGTGGCGACTCCAGCCAGTCCCGCTGCTGTTCCTGCATCCCCAGCCGTGGATGCGGCGGCTCCAGCCAGTTCCGCCTCCGTTCCTGCATCCCCGGCTCCGGGAACACCTGGAAAGGAGACGGAGACGAACGGTGATGCAACAGCTCAGAGTTCAAAGCAGGATTACATTTCCTCTCTTGGTGGCAGGTCGAGTCCATTCGGAAGCGGCATGCCCATGGCGGGTAAACCAGCAATTCCAGCATGGCAGATGGCACTGGCCAACAAGAAATCCAATGCTGATGCCGGGAGCGGCTCTCAACAGGAGTCGAGTAGCAGCTCTGGAGCTGGCTCAAAGCCTCTTCAGTACTAAAATACATGGCATTATCAAGAATTGCCATTAGCATCGTGAAAACAATCGACCGAAGTCCTTTTTTTCCACCAGACTTTGATCGACATTCGGAAACCTATCGACACCACATTTGACATCCTTTGCCCTGCTTCACTCGGACGCTTGACTGTGGAGTAACATCCACAGTCGGACAAACTCGCAGTGGATGTTGGCATGACGAGCATCAGCCGTCCTTTAAACGCGGCTATACGCGGGGCCGGAGTCAAAAAGCGTATGACTTTTATTTGTTGCTGGGTTTACGGATTGTATTCGTGTTAAGTTGGTGCTAGAGCTGCGGCCATCTCGGCCATTCATACGGACCGGAGGACAGTATGATTTGTGAGAGGTGACGGGCCGTCTCGAGGCAGACTCCTAAGACTGGGGCTTCAACGACGACAGTCGGATCCGTTTATATTGAACCCTGCAACTGGTAGTAATAATTTCGGGTCCATCACAACGGTCTTGCAACTGGGGCAGTGGATCAAGTACGTAGACCGCAACATGCCAGGTACATTGTAATTTTTCCGTCCCTTGAAACAGCAGGCTAGTATAGGACTCAACGACAGTTATTGAGCGATGGTCTTCTGTTCCCGGTACAATGATCGAGAAGCGTGGAAGGAGCTCCCAGAACAAGTACCCTACATTGATATTGAATTGATTCGACCGGAGTGAATCTGTAATCCAGACTACGATATAGATGGTAGATGATTCATCGCCTTTGGGCTGCACTGATAGAGAGTCGTAGCTACCCATCGAACCCATCGACATCTGATCGATGAATGTTTCTCCTAGCGGCATTTTCTTGGCCCCAACAACACTGCTTAGTCGCAAGGTCATTATATTGCGGTGGGACACTTTGTCAGTGGTCACGGCAATGATCCGGAAACATCATTCATTTCAACATGATCCGTTTACCAGTAACCAGGGGGTAATCCCAATGATCTATGTACAGAGTAGATACGTAGTAAGAAAGATGTTAAATGAGCATGATGGCTGCCGCCAACTTCAGAATTGTACCATGTCAATGGACATTGATCGACGCATGCATTTGCCCGCCAAATGCAACAGCCGCGGCTTGTGATTCATGTGCACGTAGCCCACGCCGACGAAACACGCCTGTACATGCCTAGCCTACATGCTTCCCGCCCCAGAAGCCCCAGACAGACAGGCAAGACAGGCAGACCCTCCCTGCCGAAGCGAGGTTCCCCGCGATGATTACCTTTTTCAGCACAAAATTGCGAGTCTTGTTAAAGGAATCGATTTGGTCCGTTCTCAACAAAGTGTTCATCCAATGGACAGACTCCAGTGACAGCAAACAGCTCTCTCCCAATTATTGTTTCTTGGACCTTTCTAGAGGCCGGGCTATCCTGGACTTTTGGCTGATGAATTGCCATATTCAGATTGAGAACCGGCCAAATGCCAACCGCCTCCAGCGAGTGAGCCATGGTAGACTTTACTCTCAGTCTTGTCAGTGTATCGCATGCGGATGGTGTGCAACAGATGCACGAAACAAATTCGCCATGGCTGGACAGCAAAACGTTTCATCGTTACATTGGACCTCTTTTTTTTGGTTACCACCCTGCCATATGTCAGATGTCTGTCATCTTTTTTTTTTCTTTTTTCCCTCCTGCTGCGAACTGTTCCACCTCAAAATTGTCCGACGGCTCCGGGATACGATGCCTAGGTACGAATAGGTAGGCAGGTAGGTGATGTGAGGTATGTACCTAGGTAAGCTTAATTCTAGTGATGCCCCCCTCTCTTTTCTTTCATGGTTTCATGGAATTCTACAGACTACCAATTTAGAATAAGAATAAATAATCATAATATCTTTCCTTGACCCCTTTTCTGCTTCTTTTCGATTCGGGGATTCGACATTTTTCCCCTACTTGTTCTTGTTCAACAGACGGGCAACCAACTCATCCCTCCCAGCTCTTTGGTTGTATTACCGAGGTGGCGATATACGTTAAACGCTTCTGTTACATCATCCAAAAGATCGCAACTATTTGGCTCGTCTTTTTGAAGAACAGCGACATGGCTCAAGCAGAGAGGAGCGCACTGAAGGCGCAGATCAAGAGCCAACTCGAAACGCTTCGAGTTGTACTCCCAAGAGTACCATTACTACTGAGAGTAGCATTGCTGCATATTCTACATCTCTCGGATGCGGCGAAATATTTGGACTTGAGAAGTGATTTGACAGTCGCTTTTCTAAGGCATCTGTTGACGGAATCCAAGCCGTCGCCCATGTCAAAGTTGCAGGCTACAACTCTCAAGGACCCAGGTGTACAAGGCAGGATATGGGTCAGTACCGTCTCGTCAGGAATCCCACCAGAGACGAGCATCAGGGATGCTGTAATGGCAGCCGTTGACGGCACCAAAAAGGATCTTGTCACGGCCGACGAGAAATGCAGGGTCCCGGAACTTGTGTCGGTCGAGGCAGAGTGGATGAGCTACCGAGCCGCAGCCACGTCGAATGCGAAACCGCCAAACATTTCCGAGCAAGACAAATATGTCGAAATGATGAAGGAGGTCAAGAGCAAGGTCACGGTCCTTCATCTCCATGGAGGCGCTTATTACGTGTTGGATCCAGCATCGTATCGCCCCTTGTGCAAGAAGCTAGCAAAGCTCACAAAAGGCCGTATCTACTCGGTACGATATAGACTTGCACCACAGCATCCATTCCCGTCTGCGATACTCGATGCACTGGTCTCCTACTTTACATTGTTATACCCTCCGCCAGGAGCAGTGCACCAACCCGTTCCCGCTTCCGATATTGTGATTAGTGGTGACAGGTCAGTATTTGTGATGATATTGCCCACTCGTGATGCATAGTTGACTGACAGATTCCCAAAGCGCCGGGGGCGGTCTCAGCTTGGCCCTCTTGCAGACAATACTCGAGATTCGGAGACAGGGCATCAAGATTACCTGGCATGGGCGAGAGAGAGAAGTACCGCTGCCGGCAGGCCTAGCTCTAATGTCTCCCTGGCTAGATGCAGTACAAAGTCTTCCATCCTGGATCACAAATGTCAAATGGGACTACCTGCCACCACCCAACCTCCTTTCTCTCAATGTACCAGCCGACTCCATCTGGCCAACTTCGCCGCCCAGAAGGCACATCTATATGGATGACGCCTACCTGCTGCACCCGTTGGCCAACTTGCAACTAGCAGACTCATGGGAGAGCTCGCCGCCAATCTACATTTGTACCGGCTGGGAGTGTCTGACGGATGAGGACAGATATCTGGTATCGAAGCTGACCAAGGACGGCGTCACGGTGGTATATGAAGAGTACGAAGCCATGCCTCACGTTTTCCCCTTCCTGCTGGGGCAAATTCCCGGATCAAGAAAGTGTCTCGATGCAATGGCCAAGTTTATGGCGGCAGCGGTTGAAGAATATACAAACGTGGCATCAAAGTACACTCTGATCAAAGCAAAGACATGCCAGGAATCAGATCTGGACATCAAGACACTCAGCCCTTTCACGATTGAGGAACTCAAGAAGCTCGCCTTGGAAGCGATTGAAGAGAAGCCGGAACCGTCGAAAATGGGACTCAAACTATGAGGTCCCAGGACTTCTCGTTGAATTTAAACTCGATTGACGATGAAATTTATACAGTGGACAGGACGGTGATATAAACCAGGAGTTAGGGGTTCGTGGGCTTTTGATACACGTAATGTTTATAACTGGGGCAAGACATATGGTGACCTCAAGACCGACTCCATTTCGTAAATGAACTTCAGTATACTCACATCAATCTGAAATATAATTGATTCCTAGACCAAAGAAAAAGAGAGAAGTCAACAAATGAATTGAACCTGTAAGTTGATGATGGCTACGGAAGGCGGATTGTTAGAGTGCAGTAGAAGGAGCGGGAGGGGTCCAAATAGCGTATTATACAGAGTAAGAACCGCTGCGAACTGTGAGGTCCCTCTTTTCTCCCCTACCACCAATACACCTACACCTCCAGATTTTGCTACGCCCCAAATTTTCATTAGCTCGCGCCTCAATCCATCTCAACCCGCCCACCTCTACACCAAACTCCGGAGCGCAAGGAAGGGCACTGCCAATCAGATGTGGCATGCGTAGAGGAAGGTGATATATACCAGTCAGGCTTCGTTCCACTTCACCAGTCCAACTCCTAGAGTAGATTTTCTACCACGATGGAGCGCCATAGGGCGGCCGTTCGGCTCATCTCTTCCACGATCCGGTCTTACTTTGATCGTTCTCTGCCCTACCGGATCAGCCATGGTTCCACCAACTCGACCCGGCCTGCTCACCTCAAGAAGTCTGCGCACTTGGTAGACATTTCGGCCTTGAATCATGTTCTCGAGGTGAACAAAGCCCGAAAGACCGCTCTGGTCGAGCCCAACGTTCCAATGGACGCGTTTGTGGCCGCGACGCTGCCGCATGGTCTCGTCCCGCCTGTCGTGATGGAATTCCCAGGTATCACGGCCGGTGGTGGCTTTGCTGGCACAGCGGGAGAGAGCTCAAGTTTCAGACACGGCTACTTTGACGAGACGGTCAAGAGCGCCGAAATGGTCCTGCCAGACGGCGAGGTCGTCAACATTACGCCCAACGACAAGGGCAAGAATGCCGACCTGTGGAAGGGCGCCGTGGCGAGCGTGGGCACACTAGGTGTCACGACCATGTTGGAGGTTGGTCTGGTGGAGGCCAAAAAGTTTGTGCGCACCACATATCGCCGGACGGGAAGCGTGGCCGAGGCGATCAAGGTAGTCAAGGAGGAGTGCGCCAAGCCGGAAAATGACTATGTCGATGGAATCCTCTTCTCAAAGGACCATGGCGTCATCATCAGTGGCGTCATGACAGACGAGGCCCCCAAGGCTGGAGAGGCCATTCAGACATTCAGTGGACCCTGGGACCCGTGGTTTTACCTCCATGTGCAGGATGTTACCAAAGCGCTGCCCTCGTCGGACGGTGCCACATCAAGCGAGGGCGCAGCCGTAACTGAACACATTCCCCTTGCCGAGTACTTGTTCCGCTACGATCGTGGCGGTTTCTGGGTCGGAGCTGCCGCCTTTGACTACTTCAAGCCCGTTCCATTCACCCGTTTCTTCCGTTGGTTCCTTGATGACTTTTTGCACACTCGTATGCTTTATCGTGCGCTTCACGCCAGTGGAGAGAGCGCCAAGTTCTTTGTACAAGATCTGGGACTGCCATATGAGACTGCAGAGGAGTTTATTGATTATACAACCGACTCTCTTAACATTTGGCCATTGTGGTTGTGTCCACTCAAGACGCCTAGTGGACCTACTTTCCATCCTCATCTCCGCGGCAAGGGCGCTGGTGAGATGCTCAACATTGGCGTCTGGGGCTGGGGACCAAAGGACAGACAAGAGTTTGTCAAGGTGAACCGTGCTCTGGAAGCTAAGGTTAATGAGCTCGGTGGCATGAAGTGGCTATACGCACACACCTACTACAGCGAGTCTGAATTCTGGGAGACATATGGCAACCGGGAGCACTATGAGGAATTGAGAAACAAGTACAAGGCCACTAGCCTTCCCAATGTGTACGACAAGGTCCGAGTCAAGGACGCCCCGCCGGAGCAAGGCTGGAAGGCATGGGTCAAGAGTGTCTGGCCTCTCGGAGGCTTGGTCGGCATTGTCAGAGGCATCCAGAGCAAAGACTACATGTTGCACCGCAACGCGCCATGGAAATGGAATGGCGAGGGCAAGGAGAAGACGGAATAGCCCACAACCTGTAAGATGAACGACGGTAAAAACATGATAGATAGAATCATAGACTTGCCTAGAGGCATGTATTCATAGAGTGTATTATTCAAGCCAAAAATCGCGGCCTCTTGAAAATAGCAGATGTAACCAACGACTTTGTGATTTAAGCACCCGTGATGAGCTTAAAAGACAGGTCCAGTCGCTCTTGTTTCTAATGTTAACTCGCATATTCCCTTATTATCCAGTGATAATCCCTTCTCATAATAGGGCGGATATACAGCCACATTACCTATAATGAGTTTTCACCCGGCAGCATGAGCCACGACTTTTCACAAAACATATAGCACAATGAGCAATACTGGAAAAGTTCTTGTTCAGCTGGACCACGACTTTCGCATTATACAACGCAATCGAGACCCGGAAATGGACAAAGAAAATCATTGTCGTAGTCATAAATCAGTCTCCAGTGCAGACCAAGTGGTATCAAGTCGGTAACAGCATCACCGCTCGTTGTGGGCCTCGACGCCTCTACCAGCCGGCGGTCACGATATCAAGCGGATTTGCCGACCTCGTCTCCCACCGCAATCATGTGTCACTTCGTGAGCATGGTCTGCATACAGAGATGTGCAAATGGGTCGACGATACTATAACAGTGCCTTTAGCGGCGCAGTCTTTCATCAATCACCGGGCGAATGGCTCAGTGGTAGAGCATCCGCTTTGCATTCAGCAAGGTTGCGGAAGGTCCAGGTTTCGATCACCTGTTCGTCCAGTTTTTTGTCTGTTTGGTATATGTATCTACATTTTTGAGAAATGGAATCCAAAAATATTACTGGTAAATGATTATTATCAAAGTTGTTACTTTTGCATTGTGAAATATAGGCGCGTTCACGAAATATGGCACCTGCTAATACCACGGCGGAAAATATAATATGAATATTATGCAGGTATGGATGGCTGGCTAACCTTTGCATTCGCGACAAGCTCAAGAGTCGCGGCTCGAAAAATTTAACCATCCAACAAACACCCCATCTCCTCTGTTTGCCAAACCATGAATACAAATCTGCCAAAAAATGCAAAAGAAAGGGTCTTGCCGTGGATCGAACACGGGGCCTCGCGCAAACAATGTTCAGGGTTTTCCCTAAGCGCGAATCATACCACTAGACCACAAGACCTTTTGATTTGTTGTTGAAGAATTGGTGCTTATGATTAACTAAGTCAATGTGGTGGATATAGTCCGGGGATATCGTGTGGTTTTGCTGGTGGCATGGGTGGGGATCTTGAGTGGCTAGTAGTAAAGTTGTGCTGGCTTTCAAGGGCGGCTGGCAGGAAGCTAAATATTCATACATGCATCTCGCGCCCGAGCCTTGAACTGCAATCTTGGAAATAATCACTCAAGGATGAGTTCAAATGGTGGCAAAGCTAGGGTTTGTATTGATGGCCGCATGCTTGATTCAGCTTTGTGTTTGACGAGATCTTCAGCTTGCTTTTTACAGCTCAAGCCTAGTCGACGGTGAATAGAACCCTTGTATTTCGTGGTCATTTGTATTACGAGGATGGCACCAAACTACCAATCTTTCTGGGTAATGTCTGAGGGTTCTCCTTGGACCACTATAATGCACCACTGGGTAAGATTGACGTATGTGTATGAGGATTCTACGTTCCAATCTGCATGTTTCAATCTTGTCCGTGTGTTAAATGTCTTGCCTAGAGGTGCCACGACAGCAAGTCCTCACCCTATCGCGTGCGGGTGAAGGCCTTTACAACTCCTGAGCACTCCATTCCTTCCAGCCCTTCTTTTCTCCAGGCAACCTGACACTTTCCCATTCCTCTCTCGTAATATTCTTCCAGTCATCCGGACTCAGCCAGCCAATGTAGGCACGGTCTCCGAACCCACCGACCCAGTAAATCTGCTGCACGACCAACCTCACGAATTCGGCCTCGTGAATGCGATTGCCAGGGAGCCAGTACTTGGCATCTGGGTGTGTATCTACAAAGCACTTGGAAAGACTGGCAGTCGTCGGGAGCTTCTCCAGATATCCAATAATGGAAAATCGGGGCAGGTTGGCAGCCGAGTACGGCACGGGTTCCTTGTCCTCTTCCTCATCATCGTCGTCACCATCCTCGGAGTGACATTTACCCAGAACGCGGTCCAGGAGACTGCAGGGAGGTGCCGACTGGATACGCTTCGCTGGCGGGTAAGGAGGCGTCCACTGCAGGGCAAGGCTAATATTTGAGCCGGCGGCGACATTCTTGAAAGAAGTTGCAATATTGATGGCGAGAATCGTTGGGTTGCCATCCTCCTCACAGTCGGCAATGTAGTCCATGAGACCCACGGGTAGGCCGCCCAAGCCAGAAGGACGCCTCTCTTGATCCGAAACTCCGTCATCGTCAGAGCTCATGTCCGACTTGGACGACCCGGGAAACACGGTGGATAGGACACCCAACGGCGTCCGATTCAGGATTCGCCGGCCTTGGACCGCAGACTCATACGACGTCGGTATTTTGTAGATGGATGCGGACGGGTCCTCTGGCATGGAAAATATATACTGGGGTTCTGTCAACGGTTCTGCCATACAGATGCCCATACAGGCGGCAAGCTGGAGCCCGCTCGATAGCTTCATGCTTGAGGTGTTTTTTTGCTTGGAAGCTTGAAATGTGTAGAGAAAAGGAGAAAGAAGTCACACTACACTATCATGGAATGTTATCAAAGATGAGATCACAAAAAGACGACAATCTTAAACGTGAGCCAATTATAGTTTCCAAGTGATATTTGAATTATCAGATTCCGGCCTCGGCTACCTTGGAACATCTCTCGTGATGTGACCCGCATCATGAGACGATTGCTATCCGAAAACAGTTTAGCGCTCATACGGGAAACTCCGTGGTAAACCCATAAATCCATGACCACGATACTTTTAAAGGCAAGGGTTTCTGCCTCGAGAGGCACCTGCCAGACGCTCTCACACAGAGTGACAACCTGGTTAATGTGCTAGATTCACATAGATGGATCTCTCTGCCTTTATCTCTCGACTATTAACATGATTGACTGTCTTGTTCTCGCTAGAGATGCTTCCAACGGCAAGAGCCATGTATCAGCTTGGAATCGGTCAAGTGAATATTTGACTGCCTGAGGCACGCAATTGGTGCTTTGAGTCACGCGGTAGAGGTGGCGATTGATTTATGCCACCTATGATCCCCGCTAGTCCATAGTCCTCGCTACAAATATGCAACAAAGCCGTTATTCTCACCTAGCGCTTTCTTTCCATGACTCCACTCCCACAATTCCACATTTCTCTGTGCCCGCGTCAAAAATCATTGAGCGCCTCGAATCCCACTCAGTCCGCCAACCCCGAGCACCTGCGACAACTTTTACATCGCAACACCCAGCTAATCGACAAATTTCCATCACTCGACAAGTCATCAGACATCATTCAAGATGGGTAAGGTTCACGGATCTCTCGCCCGTGCTGGGTAAGTCAAAGCCACCAGGAAACACCCCCTTTGCTCTCGGTCGCAGTTGCTGACAATTCCCACAGCAAGGTCAAGTCTCAGACCCCCAAGGTACGACCACGAAATTTTTCCCGAAACGCATCGAGCTCTTGAGTATTTGGTTATTTTTTCCGGAAGCAACGCATGGACGGACCTCTGGACGAAATGGAGTTTGATGGATAGGACGCCTCGACGACAGCAAGCATCTGCCCCGACTACGATTTCGCCACTCAGCTCGACGACGACACCAACTCCTCATCCATCAGTGCTCGCATCATCGCAGAACCCACGACGCCATCACATCCGAATAATTGATACCAAATACTCGGGAGCTTGATATCGGTCACGATCTGGACAGGCGACTAATCCCCATCTTTGTACAGGTTGAGAAGCAGGAGAAGGCCAAGACCCCCAAGGGCCGTGCCAAGAAGAGACTCACGTACACCCGCCGTTTCGTGAACGTCACCCTCACTGGTGGCAAGAGAAAGGTACGTCACTTATAATTCCTCCCGGGCCAGAAGTACAGTGAACTAACCACCCGCAGATGAACCCCAACCCCGGCGCATAAGCGGATCGATCTGATCAGGTTCGAAGAGGGCAGCCGACGCCATGTGTAGGGGAATGGAAGGCGATGGACGGGTTCGAGGTCTATCAACCTCTTGCCCTGAGCGTCCACCTCAGTCGCATATGACTGACCACTACTGCTTCTGCCCTAGTTACGTTTGGGAAATGAAGGGTTCATGAAATACGGAAAGGAATGGATGCTTTCTACGGAGTCTTTCGATGTCTTTCAGGCTTTAGTCATTTGCATCTTTCCGGCTTCTCGTCTGTACATCGCAGATAACCGCCCGGCATGGCGGAGGCAAAAAGTGCCAGGGAATAGAAATATGTCCTGGAAATACCGTACAACCATGTTCGACTCTCGTAGGAGTGAAAGGCTATAATGACTTTGTGAATGGCCGGCATCTGTAAACCACACGTCTTGCACCATGTAAGCCCGGGAACTACTTGTGCCATGGTACATGTTAGCCGGCGCCGTTGCAGCCTGTCCCATCCCTGAACTGTCTGCAATATTCCAAGGCATCATGGCATGTTGAGAGGCTGTATTTGTATATGTACTTATTTGACTTCTAACGATAACGGCAAGCTCACCGTGCAGCTTTTTAGATCATTCGCCACTCTAGAGGGGTCTTGGCTGCTGGAAAACAACAGAAGGGCTCGAGATGTGTCTCGTCTCCCGTAGCTACAGATGATCGCTGACAAACCCGAGAGCCTGTTAAAGGTAGACCTAATGCTGGCAACCCAGGAAATCGGTCTCCTTCCCATGATGGATTGTTAACCAGGACTCGGTCTTGACAAAGGGAATAATGTGACTACGCATGCTTCAGCTTTTCCAAGGCTGTCGATGGCGTTGTTGCTCCGACATGAACATATTGAAGAAGGACCCTGGCCAGCAGATCGAATAAACCTCGTCGATGGCCACCCATTGCCATTTATTTAGAACCATGAAGGAATATTTGAAGCCTGTCAACAGCTGTACAAGTATATGGGAGGCTATTATGCCCATCGGTTCTGAGCCTCCGTCGTGAATTGAACTCGGCGATAATATCCTCTACCAGCATGTCTGGCACGCTCAACGTCGAATCTACCATTTCAACAACCGGTTTGGGATCTTCAAGAATGCAGAATTTTTCACTCCATACAATGCCTTTGTCGAGAGACACGTTTGATGCTATTTGAGCGAACTTATCATCATGACATTATCATTGGAACAAGTAGATAGGTACAGTTTGTCTGTAAGCTGTTGAAAAATGGATTCGCAGAGGGCGAGGGATCTAATCGCCTATTGTCAAGTCGTAGGGATAATCGTCTGCCAACCGAGTTGAAGGTTTTGGATGCAGCAGAAGTGAATAGTTGAATATGTAAAAGTACGGCAATGCAATCGACCAAGACGAGATATCCCTGGTTCCATACTCGACACCACACATTCTCGCTGGTCATATGCTAATGTTCAGCAGCTTTGATGTTTCTGATACGAGTTGGATAGTCTTCTGTGCCCAATTACGACCCTTTGAGTCTTACATGCTGTTACACTATGAGAATAATCTGTGAAGTAAGACAGGTCGTAATCAAGATGCTTCAGATTACTTTAGGGATGACTTTCAAAAAGGGAAAGGGAAGAGATCCTCACTTGGAGTAGATGATTGAATGAACAGCGGCTGAAAAAGAACCAAGGACTCTACAGTAGAACTAATACAATTCCATGTTTTCCATACTCGTCGTTGGAAGCCTTACCACACGCTCCAAAAAGAAAAACGCAAAATTACTAGACACTGTCTCGTACTCCAGACCTGCGCCTTTATTTTTTTTATTTTTTATTTTTCCATCACACTGGTAACATTTATGAAATAAGCAGATTCGATAGCTCCACTGTGTTGACACTTGGCTCATGCCGGGTGAACTGAAGAGCCGAGTCACAAAAACCCAGCCTCGGTAAGGAAGATGATTTAATATTTACAATATTTCAAGCATCCTAGGTAATCCATGCTTGCCATCGGACATAATGAAACTATGGGAATAGTGTTGAACTCGTAAAGGATGGCAGGATTGCATACATTGATTTCAATCATCAAACAAGAGTTCTATTGTCATGCTATTATATTCAACGAACCAAGGACACAACGTGGAAATCAAAGCTCGACTCTCAAGCAAGGATACCTCATCTCCCCGCCCAATCCATTATCGTCGGACTCCCCAAGATACTGGACCCAACCGTCGAAGCCGAAGCCGGGCTCACTCCGTCCTCATTGACGTGCCGCTTCAGTGTATTGTCCTTCTCATTGCTGCTGCGGCTGTCCGGCGGCGAGGCGACAAAAGGCACACCGTGTCCCTGCATTGGCGGGCTCGGCAAGTCCTTCCAGACTCTCGAGTCAAAGTTGAACCTCTCTCCTGCCTCGAGAGGGGGGAGGATGGGGCTGTCAAAGTTCATGGTCTCGGGCCTCTGTACCAGCGGGAGTTTTGGCAGCGTTGGCTGCATGTCCTTGCGCGCGCCGACCATGTCTCGGGCACCCGTCAGACTCCTCCCACCTCGGCCGAGCTGGCTGGTCTGGACATTGAGACCAGGTCCCGCGCCCGGCCTCTGCAGCTTCAGCGGAGGCACCGGTCTCACGCCCTCGGTGCTCGTGCTGGTGAAGCTCATGGTCGAGGGGCTCTGCAGCGGAGTATCTCTTCCCACTTCAAAGGTCGCCACGCTACCACGACGCGGCGGCCTCTGAGGTGCTGCGCCTCCCCGTCCATACCCGGGACCTCTGCTCAGGAGATGGGGTGGACCAGGTGGCAGCGGTGCATTGGGCGGGCCGTATGGGGTCGACAAACGCCGGCGATGCCAGGCCCGGTCACCGAGTCCGTGGATACCAGCTGAAGGCGGCGGACTCGCGATTCGTGGCGACGAGGGGACACCGTTTGCGCTGTGGTCGATCGTGCGCCACTGCACCGCCGAGCTGTTGCCCTCTGTCGGGACTGCCAGCCCAGTATTTGTGTCGGACATGAGGGTGGTGTATAGGCTGTCTCTATCTTGGGCCGGATGTTCGCCTGTTGCAACCATGTGAGCTGGCTTGGGTGAAAGGTTTTGTTGCTTGGCGCCCTTCTCCAACGCTGGTGTCGTCGGTACCAAACCTTCCTTGATGGCCAAGTGGATGTCGTCGTGTACATTAGCATTGGTAGCCAATATCCCCAAAGGCTGCTTCTGCTTTACGGCAGTGGAGTCCTGATGCTTGGACAGCATGGCATCAACGTGAGCATTCTGCAAAGCCTTTTTCTTTCGCTGGAACCGGAGGCAGAAGAAGAGGATGGCCGCAAGGACTAGAATGCCTGATACCGAGCCTGCGACGGCACCGACTGGACTAGATGAGCCAGAGCCCTGATTATCTGGTGCTGCACTGGTGGGAGGAAGCCGGTTGGGTTTGGGTTCGTTGCTGTTGCTGGACTGCGTCGGGGTTGCGTCTGATGCCACGGCCTTCTTTGCGTCTGGAACGTAATTGTATATTGCAAGGTTTTCGCTTCCACCACACGAGAGCTTGGGATCTCCAGAGCATGGCCTCGTGCAGTTCTTGGCGTCGAGCTTTTCTGCGTCTGAAGCAATCGTCATACCACAATAGCATTCGCTTTTGCAATTCCACGTTAGCCACAGGTATAAACTGTGAATTATTATGGCATGACATAGACACACCTTCCATTCTTCATGCCGGCATATTTGAAATGATCCGCTGATGCTCCTTTCGGCGGCGAGAGCGCAAAGCATCCTTGAAGACACGAGTATACGGTGAGCTCCGTAGTGTTGACCGACGATGGCGATGCGAAATCCGACTCTTTTCCAAATGGATGACCTCCCGCGCCGTCTAGACCACTCTGACCATAACAGCCCAGCAATTCGTATTTTGCATCTCCTGGCACGAGTGTTGGCTTGTACGCAATCGTGACCGTTGTCGTCCTCGTCGTGGTGCTTCGGATTGTCGAGGTCGGTTCGTCCCTCTTGACCGGCTCATCCCTCTTCACCGGCGCGCCGACCACCGAGACCGTCCGCCTGGCAAGGCACGCCGTGAGCAGCAGGCCACCAACTAGCATTGCCCGGACATAGATGCGCTTCGTGTATAGTGTTTCGAATATGGGTAGCATTTTCCAACGTCGTCATGGTATCTTCCAAACATGAGGTGGCGTATTGCTATCCATCGTACCCGAGTGGCCCGCCCGTTCTTGTTTCCATTGGGGCCGCTCCATGGTTTTCCCATCTCTTGTCATTCATGGGAGCGCAGTTGGGACACAAAGCCAGTGCTCAGCCACCAACCCTCGAGGACAAAGGCATCTTTGTGTGGCATCTTTGTTTGCAGCCCCCAAGGACCCGAACTCGTTCAGACATTTTCGGCAATCGCGATTTCGAAAGGTGAGCCCGTCATCTCATCCATAACCCGATACCCAAATCGCCCTCCATATTCATCGTCCTCTGCCGCTGTCGTTCATATATAGCATGGCGATCTGGTTGCAAGCCGCATGGGGCAGAGTCGTTCTTTCGAGTCATACTGGGGAAAAGGACCAAAGGGAAAGAAGAAAAAGAAGAAGAAGAACTGCTAGGAAGGATCCTAGGCATTTGGATTTCCCAAATGATGTGCGAAACAAGAGGTACGCCATAGCCATGGCGTGAGATAAGCTAACAATGGCGACGACTCCGATAAGGTCCGCTTCAAGTGTTGGTCGTTATCCGACGAACCCCAGGATTGAACAGAAGGGAAAGCCTCACGAAATTTCATCAAAGGAACCTACCATTTTCAGCCCTAGGTATTAATCACTATCTATTACATTATCTTGGAGCAGGGAAGATAGCGATCGCGTGCTCATCTTTGGGGTGGGAGCCATCTGTGTTGGCAGAGCCTCACTGGGTCTTTTTTCTTCTTGGGAGGAGCTCCCACAAGACGATCTGATAAGAGAGTTTGGTTACTGATGAGCGGTAGAGCTCCATCCGCCTCCGAACGCTACGAGACGGACGTGACCGAATCATTTGGTTTCCCCCAGAGATCGATCATCTTGATAAATATAGCAGCCAACTCAGATTTCTATTTATTGTTTTGCAAGTTGGCACCACATCACCCTAGGCATCTAAACAAAGCCCGCCCCGGGTGTCGCGTGCCCGTACAATTGATACGGAACAGGCCAATAACGTCGGTTTCAGAAATCTATCTGAGCCGTCTTGTTCAATGGCTGGCCCAGACACTGCCTGCTGTGTTATCTTGCGATCGCCGCGACAGGCGCCAAGGTGACACCTGCCGCATTCATTCTGCAGTAGGCTGGGGTAAAACCTGCCCAGGCTGAGAGAAAGATACGATAGCAGATTGGCGACTCTCTATCGCTGGTACATAATAGTCACGATCTCCCCGACGGGTCGAGTTTTTAGAGCCTTTTACAATCACAATCCCAATAGCTCGACCTTGGAAATGCGAATCAAGACGACAGCGACGACGAAAACGGTAACCATGCAAGCGATGCCGGAGAACGTGGGCACGTGAGCACCATAGACGAGCCAACCATTCACTTCAATGCAACCAAAAGCGGCAGCGCAGCGGTGCCCTCAAAAAACAAAAAACTGAAAACGGCCATACCATCGAAGGTGGCTGATCATAAGTCATCGGGCCATGTCAACTGTGTCGAATTACCTACCAACCAAGGTTATACAAAACAGCTACCATCTTTGGGACCCCCAAAGGGAAAAAAAGCACTCGCGGCAAAGACTCGAGAGAATGACGGATGACCTCAGCCAGCAGGAAAACCATCGCCGCCACTCGTCCAGTCTTGATGAAGATCTGCTTGGTCGTGGAGGATCTCGCACACGACGTCCCAAGTGACCCAAAATGGATCCAGGATCACTTACCATTTACCACTCTCTTTCTCCCTCTCTCTCTGCCTGCCCCGAGACCTTGACCCATATACGCGAAAAGCGCCCCCCCGCACCCTCTGGCCTGACTTTTTGGCTGGGTAGATGACCACGGCCCACGGCCCACCCACCCACATACCCTGGCCCGTCTTCAACTCCCACATGCTGCTCCAAAGGTGACCCCCACATCCTGACGTTTCAACTCATAAGACATTGCCGTCTTAGTCGACAAGAACTAGTGCTGCTTTGGGAACTGACTCCGTGACCGTTTGTTGCCCAGTCGCATGGAATGGCCGGTGATCGCACATCTAATAATGCCTCGGGCTTCTTGTGCGGTCATTTTCCGACGGAGAGATTGAATGCGGCATGTATTCAGTCGCGCCTGATTGCTTGGCTGGAAGAATCAAAGAAAGAGCGAACAAAAAAGAAACGATCATGTCCGCCCGTAACTAGGTGCCAAAAGTCGTCGCGGCTTGCGTCCGTCCGTCCGTCTATTTTGCTGCTATATTCCGTACAACAGTTCCAGACTTTGAGTCTACCGCTACCAATTTCTCCGGCGCCGACTGTGCACTGTCGGTGACTAGAAGTGGTTGGAGGCATGACCTAGCCGAGTAATAAACCAGCCAACTCGCCTAGTGGCACGATTATAACCAACTGGCCCATCAGATTGCGCGTTACGACAAAATGGACTGGGCTTTTCAGCCGCCTGTATGATCCTCTGCCAATCTAGTAGGATTTAGTTAGACTGGCGGATATCGCGTGTGCAAGTCGCATCTTTGTTTGAGATGTCTACACGCCTTTGGCGGAGACCATTGGTAGGCTCGGGCTCTCTGCGGAATACTATGTACTAGAAACGCCTTCTAGCCGAGTTGACGGACCTGGGTTCTGGTTGGGCTTGGTGGTCGGTACTCTGTAGTAGTAATAGTAGTAGTCATGAATCGTTCTCGAGGCTTGGTAATACCTGCTACGACACGACACCAGCGTGCCCTGCGCATCGCCAAATTTAGCTGACATGACTCGATCAACTTACCCATCTCGTGCTACAAGCAACTACGAGAGAAATTCGGGCCGGGTATAAGAAAAAGCATGTCATGTTGGACGTCTTTCATCCATGTTCTTGACTCTGTGACAGGTCAGCAGGCGGGATTATAATCTAAACCATTGCCAAAATCATGCGAGATCCAAACTTTTGGTTTACATTACGAAGACAAAACTCCCCCAGAGACCCTGAATCACTAAACTGGAGAGAAGGCTGCTAGACTGTGACGCTTTTACGTAGCACATGGCGTTTGCCCAGAGTCGCAAAGACCAGTCCGTGGACTTTGCTGGGCGGTTTGCCAGGGTGTTCCTAAGCTTATTGCTGGTGGGCACGGTTGTCGCCCATGCTAGATTCAAAAAAGAAATGGCAGTGCTGGTGCGTTACAACACGGGAGCGATTTTCAGGGTCCTGGCGGTGTCTCCGTCTCGCCTGCTACCCGCTATAGTAAGGCTGCCCGTCGTCTCCAGATGCCAATTGCCGTTGTAGGTACCGTCCGTACGTCACTAGAGAAACAGAACGAGTTGGCGCATTCGAGAAGCCTGAAAATAAATAATAATCAACAGAAAACAAAGAATGGAATCTTTGGCTTTGACCTCGTCTTGGTGGTTTTAGGGTACCGAGGATATGGCCGTCGCTAGTCCAAGCTGATGCCGAATACAATGCAAGAAACAAACATGTGGCGCTCTCTTGTGCAGTAGTATAGCAATAATGGCTGAACGTTGTCGATTCCGAATGCAAATAGCTGAGCCGTGGCTGGTCGGCACTTGTGCTTGTCTTTCGATTCGATCGTTACGGAATTGTTACTAGATCCAAACTCGCGACTTGTCAAGTCTGAAGCATTGTGGCTTTCTTTCCTTCTCGTCAAGCACCTCTGGGTAACATTGTTTCTCCAGCGACGGGCAGACGTAGGGCATTCGCAAAGAGCATCTGTAAGTATCCAGATTTTCTACGGCATTTTCCCGTGGCAATGTGTTTCTCCATGCGCTTTGGTTCGGGTAATGGTCGTCACCGCAAAATTCATGGGCAAGAGGGCCCACAGTCATCTGGGGCACCAGGTTACACGAACGCCTCCATATTTGACTCACCGATGGCGGTTTAAACAGCGGCAACTCTGTATCGTAGCAAGCGAAGGGAGTATATTCTGCCGGCAGTTTAAAAAGATCGACGTTGGAAATGCTGTGTGCAGAGCCACGCGCAGAGCAAAGACTGGAGAACAAAAACCTTCTAGAACAGCATGCCTAGAAGCGCCGGTTGTCGAGTGAGGAAAATGACTTGCTGTTGGTCAATGAATACACTGTCCCTCTAAAAAAGAGCTCACGAGTCTCGAGCTCTGAAAACAGCGGTGCTTCGTCTGTCTGGTGGCCAGACGATGCCGCCCAATTGACTTTCAACATTCGGCAGCTAGGAACCCCGGAGGGCCCGTATTGCTTAGAGGCTTAAACCAAGAGCGGGTTAGAGCAGCCCACCGTCTTCTTTGCGCTGCACCAAACAAGCCCATTCTCAAGGAATTTACCGACTGCTGCTAAACAATGGCTTGTGATCCGTGAATCATAGTGCTGCTACAGGCGGTCTTTTGCTTGTCCTACGACGCAGGTCCTCGGGCTGCACAGAGTATTAGCATATGCTTGGCTCGTCACATAAACTAACTAGCAAGCCAAGTAAGTGCTGAGATCCCGATCATCGTGATTCTGAGATGGCTTCTTGAAGCTCTTTCTCCAATTGTCTGCTTCGACATGAAGCAGGATTCTAGTGCTCTGAATCCATGGCCTCGGACTGGATGTAGAAATGCAGTTGTGGTCGAGAGAGTGGGGGTTCACTCGAGTCTAGTCGTATTGAGCTCCATGCACGAGCAGGGGCAGCCCTTGAGCTTGTAATGACTTGCATGTAGAGATACTTTGAGGTACTGCAGAACCCAACGACGGGTGGTGAGTCTGGCTGGCTGCCATTCAACGACAGTTAATACTCAGATGTGGAACTCCCACCACGAACCCTTTGAAAGAGTATGTGGTGGCCTGGACCCATGCAGACGAGATCTGCTTGCCAGCATCATACTGTGTGTATGAACCGACCTCTTTCATCAGTTTCGGGAGCACTCGCCGACGCCGCAGCTGTTCTACCCCTCAAATTAATGAAGTCTACTCACTGCGCATCTTTGTAGGTATTGGATACCTCATTGGGCGCTTTTGATTGAATTGTCTGGCGGGCCAACGGTGAGTGAGTGAGTAAGGATTCTGGGTGTTTGTAAAATGTAGGTGGAGGAAAAAGTCACAGGTCGGTCCGTCGTCCGGCCAGGGTCTCTTCTCCTCCCGATTGCTGGGCGTCGGAGACGATGATGCTGTTGCGGCACAGCGAGACCATGTCTGGTTAGATGGAGCGGTCGCGTCGACTAGCCGTTGCTGAAGCCCCATTCATAAAAGGGACCCTCTTCTGCGTGGTTGTGTGCACTGTAGCGTGCTGCTGCTAGCTGTAGTGTAGTGGAAGGTAAATAATAAGTAAAGTAGGTAGGCTTGGTAGGGTAGTTGGGCAAGCTAGGTAGCGTTGCCGGGAGGTTGTTACTGTGGTGTACTTGGGTGACTGCCATTTCCTATGATCAGCGTCTGGTGGCTCCTTCACACGTTGCTGTTGAATGAACGGAAATTGTGCTCGGATATGCCAGTCCCACAGTTGCCACTGAACAAACTCGAGCGTCGGTTCATATCCTCTTTGGCGAGGCTGACGGGGCACTCCGGCAGCTTGCAACCAGCCCATATAATTGGCAAGCATTCAGGGCTTACCTTTTGCCATTTGCCAACCACGAATACTTGACTGGCAAACTGGGTGGTGGGTTCGGCAGGCAACCGGGGTGAGTGAGGAGAACGGAGGGGGAAAAAGAGAGGAGAAAACAGTTTGAGCATCCAGTCCATCACCGGGAACGGCAACAGACCTGCGGAGATCCCTCTTTGTTCGAGTATAGCTCTCGAAATGGGCGCGGAGCCCGTGCAGTTGAATAGTTCCCGTGTCTGAAGAGAGGGGAACGAGGTGCCGTAGTACGGAGTATGGACCACTCACACTGATGAAAGTGCCCGCTCGACTGCCTGTACATACCACAATGCCTATGTACGACTAACTACTGTTTACGACGACGATGGCAACCTCACAAGGAAGTTACAGTGGGGGTACCTATATGTGTTGCAAAGCAAGGCACGATGCACCGTCGCCCGTGCGGATTTCATGCTACCATACTGCTAGTATGCATTCTTGTAATTCCAGCACATGTGGCCATTGAAGCTGCCTGGGTAATGTGTGTGTGTATATACGGGAGCGTCCTTGATATTTTTGGCGTGTTTAGATGGCAGTGAAAGTTGTTGACATAAGACAGCGCAAGTACACAACCAAAATTACTCTCCGTGACACGGGCCTCTCTCAGCAATCGACGATGGCCATGAGACTATTCAGCGTTGTGATCTACGCACGACACGCAACGCAATTTGGCGAGCTGACGGAGGTGAATAACGAGTGGCACTCGCCAGAAGAAGAGTCCAACCAGGACTTACTTGCCATATCCCTTTGATGGGCGTGGGATGCCCAGGGATGAGAGACCAGGGGCCTTGCAAGCAGGGTAGGCCTCATCAGGGCTTCATTCTGCGCCGCAGCTGCGAGAAGGGCCTTCGTCGGCCCCGTGGGTCCACCCAGAAACGCAGTGTTGCATCTTGCAGCTTGCGCTGGCTTCAAACCGATCTGAGATTGCCCCAGCAGTCGAGACCTATCGAGCGACAGCATATGTCACGATTGAGCGCTTTATACTACTTTGTATGTCAGCAGCGTTTGTAACAGCTTTGGTCGTGAGTTGATATGGTTGCGTCAGGCCAGTCGGGTGCTGAGCTGACATGGAGAACCAAACAAAAAGAGCTAGGTAACAACATCCATAATAATTGCCTAGTTGTCTTGCCGAGGGCATATGGGCACCATGTTAACTCTATTGGGATTCCGCCAGACTTGTTACTGACCTCTGGGTTGACTTCAATAGATGAAAGAGACTTGACCGCATATGGTTTCAGTCGACCCGGTAGCTGAGTTCTTTTTTGGCTTCTATCGGGTGCATTGGCCTTTACTCACAGACGGAAGAGGAGAAAGAAGAATTGTCTCTCTTCTTGTCTTATTCCCGTGATGAATGCCCTGATGAGCACCTATATGGTCAATCGTAGACCTTGTGCAACGCAAGTGCCCAGTGGGCGACCTGGGTTGTTGAGAGGATTCGAGTGATGTTATTTACTATACCATCCCGCCCCGTCAGCCATGTAGATCACCATAGAGTCTCACCTTCATCTCGGGGGAGTCGCGTGCGTGCGTGGACCAGCCGAGGCAAGATTAAATCGAATCACTACTTTGGATTCCCACACTTCAGCCTGATGGATCTCTTGGGAGACAAGAAGTGGTCCATATTATGAACAGCTAGTCCAGCGGTTCGGATGCAAGTTCGTTCGCTTGTAAGTTGCTAGCAGCGTGGATGGGAACAATATGTTGGATACTACTACGGATACATTCTGGATACCCATCATACACATGGAGGAGACGTTCCAACCAAGACTCGACTGGGGGGGTAGAGCGATCGGCATGAGACCGGCGCTGTGTGCGGTCTAACATGCTGGCCGAGATACTGCCCTGGACTGTGGATTTTATGGACTTTGTTCGCAGCAGCAGTAATAGTAGTGGCTGCAAGCTTGGCACGAGTGCTTCCGGCCATATGGCTCACAGATCCACCCGCACTGGCCCTTCCCCGCTAGTCGACAACTACTGAACCACTTACAGGCATTATTGAGGCCGTCGACCAAGTCGCAAGCCATCCGCCCGGCACTCTCTCTACTCTGTTGCACGCGATCGGAGGAGCAAACGACCCTCATCTGGTTGGGATGCGATTTCTTTTTGGGCTGCTCGGGACGTCGTGCCTGGAGGGGTCGGGAGGACGCCATGGGCTGGGATGGAGACACTAACTACACAGTAGGTACCTATAGGGAGGGGACAGGTTCGGATGTAGTCGGGACGTAGGTGACAATATGGCCCTTCACCTCGCAGTAGCTGCTCCATTTTCGCGAACTTGCGGCCGGCGCAGGCATATGGATACGTATGTATGTACGTATGTGTGAATCTGGTTCTATTCTTTCACCTCAGTTCACCTCTCTGTTTGGAACGAGTACTCCTTGTTTCGTTCCATGCGCACACATGAACGATGCCTCCCTCTTCCACCTACGAGCCCCAACCCGAGGTTCGTTTGTGCAATGCCCATTCTTTGAAATGGTCTTGCTTGGACTTGACATTACTCGCGTCCAAGGAGCATACGAGCTGTAGCGAAAATAGAGTTTCCTGATTGAGATTGTCAAGAGAAATAAGGCTTGGGCATATTGCTTTACGCATGGGGGTCACAACATGTGGGAATTCCCAGATTGAGTTCTGTCCAAATCAAGGACCGCCCGACCTTTCAAAGAGGCTAGGTAGTAGACCATGCCTACCTAGACACATATACTACATCATACATGGACATCCATACTTGGTTTTCCCTATGCCCGTGTGAACGAGAGAGTCAACAATATTAATAAACATGGGCCCACGAAGGCAACGCTTCCCAAGTATGGATTATGATGCAGCAATAGCAGCAAAGCAGCAGTCATGGGTGTTAGGAATGGAGGCAAGGACTTGTAATACTCCGCGCCTAATCAAGAGATACCATGCTTCTTTTTGTCCCCCCACTGCAACTTTCCCACGCCCATTGCAGCAATTATACTATGTAATTTCGTGGGTAGATCCACAGGCAAAAGAGAAGAGTTTCGGTAAGTTTCTTGAGAATGAACGCAGGAGGGAGAGTCTACTTTGGACTCTTTTTTTTTTTTCCCCCCTCTACTATGAAGGGGGGAGGGACAAGGGAAGCTGTAAAGAGGCGCCGTGGGATTGGCCGACCTCCCACTCGGCCGTGGACAGGGACAGGGTGCCCAGCCGCTCAACCCACACCCACAAGCCGTTCGCGCGTCGAGGGTACGAACGAGTACATGAAAAAGGCTGGCAGGGGAGGGGGGAGACTAGTAGAAGAAGGGGACTGGAGTTCAGCCTGTTCTGGAGCAGCAACAGCAGTAACAGCAGCAACTTAGAGCCCAGGTACGTAGCATCAGAGCCGGAGAACAGCAGCGGCGAGACGAGACGAAAACGAGACGAGACGGGGCACATCAGCAGGTGGCCCTCATCATCCAGCGCAGCGCATGTACCGTTATAGCGTAGTGCGATGGACCAGCATCAAGGGAAACCCCACCACGATGCCCAACCCGAAATGCCTGATCAGCCATTGGAAGAGACCAGGACGCTTGTAGCCACGCTTGCTGGCGCTGCCCTCCACTCGGCGCCGGTGACCCAGATCCTACCTACATTACCTTGACCTACATCACCCTGCTCCATCCGATTCTCGCGCCGGTTTGGCAAAAGCGAAAAGCAATTGCTTTGCCTACTTACTACCTACACATGAAAATGGAACGGCTCTTGTTCTTTTCCTTAACGTAAACGCCAACCTGCAGTCACCAAGCCACTCAACTGCTCGTTCCATGTTGCCTCGTTGTTGTCGCAGAGCAGTCATGTTTTAAGCGACAGAGTGTGAAAATATACCCAACCCAACCTGCTGTGGCCCGCCCCCGGAGACGAGAGCAGAACTAAGATTTCAGTCCGAAATTGGCTATTGACAGCGGCACTGCACTGACTGAAGAAAAAAACGAAAGAGAAAGGCTTGAGAGTGACGTGGGGACCACCACTACCACGCCTACCTACTATACATTTACCTACATTACCTGGCCACACATACCCTGCCTCTCGCCTACCTACATTACCGACCTGCCGGCCTTCCTACCACTGAACAAGCTTGTTCCAGAGGGGGGATAGGAAGAGAAAAAAAATATTACATACCACACTCCTAATCCAGGTGTCGAAGCTCGCAGTAGTAGCAGCATCAAACGAAGCGACTGCGCGCAACCGCAACCGCACCCGCACCACAAACCTTCCGGTCACACACAACGAGGGGAGGTCCTGCTAAAAGTTGGGCCGTCTCAGTTCCCCCCCAAAAAACTTTACCACATGTACGACGCCGCAGCGAGCGAAGCTCCATCCTTCACAATTGCGTCTTCTACGACAGCAATGAATCCTTCTTCGACAGAACACGACTACCGCTTTCCGCGAAGGCCTGCGGTCGGGTCCGAGGCGGATCGCTCAGTATCGGCTTATAATAATTCTGGAATCAGCGGCTCGAATACCGCAACTGACAGCAGCCCCGGCGACCTGCGGTTACAGGAGCTCAACCTGGATTTGTCCAACAACAACAGCGGCGACATCGCGCACCGTGATCTGCTCGATTCCTCGGTATTTCCCAACTGGCCAGCGAGCGCTACTGTTTCCAAGAAGGACAACCTCGATCAGATGCAGCATGATGACCCTCTAGCGACACAGATTTGGCGATTCTTTAGCAAAACTAAGCAAAGCCTGCCTAGCCAGGAGCGCATGGAAAATCTCACCTGGCGCATGATGCATCTGAAACTACGAAGACAGCAGCAGAAGGAAGAAGAGGAGAGAGCAAAGGAAATGGCTCGGTATGTCTACCAATATCTTGTGTTTTTCTTTGCAACACCAACACCCTTGTGTCCAATCCACCAATCATTAATCCTTTTCTATAGACAAAAAGCTTCAAAGGAAGGCGCTGCAGGCAATACCCCAAGTGGCATTGCGCAACTTAGACAAAACTCGGACCAGAACATTGCCCAGTCGGATCCAATGAACCTCGATGACTTCATATTTAGTGAGAATATATCTACTCCGGCGGGCTTGCCTCTTGACCCTGCCTCCCCGGAGCTGCTCAAGCTATCCGAGGACAAGGCGGCTCATGCAACAGCTGCTGCGATCCCCATCAAATCCCGCAAGGTCTCGCCCCAACAGCACTTTGTTCCGCAGTCCGTCCCTGTGCCTCCACACCGCGGGCATGAGGACGAATTCGGCTATGTCAATCGCCATCACCGGAAAACAAGTATAGATGATCGACGCGTAAGTACACTTACAAGCCCGCCGCCCATCCCCTTGCTATCTACCTATCTACCTACATACCTACCGCACACCCCCCCAAAAAGCGTCTACCCAATCCATTATGCCCTGTACTGCTGCACCCTGCATACATATCTTGAGCTATCGTTGCACCGCGATACTATTTCAAGACACGACCGCCACCCTTCTACCATAGCGCCTTGATAACTTTAAAAAAAACTAATAACCCCCATCCAGACTCGCAATCTCAAGCGTCCTGCAAATTTCTCTCCTCAAGTCGGCAACCTGGCTTCAAATGATATAGATGTGGATGCGGATGTCCATGAATATTCTCTGGATCACTCACACCCATCTGGCGTTGCCAACGCCTCTCATCAACCCTTCTCCTTGGATAACTTCCAGATGGAGCATGATCCCATTATCACCTCGGCAGGGCCTTTCCAGCAGAACTTTTCATTCTCGCCCTCCACCTCACCAATGGTGACACATAACTCTTTTCAGAACATGTATACTCAATCTGGCCTGGCCCAGAACTCCATGAACGCTCATGACTTCTACTCTCCACCCGCATCCACTTATCAGTCCACCGCCACCACACCACACCCTATACCAGAGAACGATAACATGTTCTTTGGCTCCTTGGACATGCGACACCAGAACCAGCAGCAATTCCACCAAGGCCAAGGTCACAATGGAAACCACGTGATGCAGCAATTCATGTACCAAGGAAATGGCAACCACATGTTTCCTCAGAGTACTAACGCTCCAGATGCATCGTCTTCGTTTGCCCCGACCAACACTTTTGGTCACGTCGATCCGACCCAAGTGTTCCAGGAAGACCAGGCTCGCTCTCCCACCTCTGGCATGCTAGAACAGAACATGTTTAGTTTTGGTGCTGAGTCGGACAATGAAGAGGATGGCGGCTCGTTCCCAGATCGCAACCTCGGCATGCATCCCGCCTTCTCGCCTACCATGGAAGAATCGGGCATGGACATGAACGGCTCCAACACGCTTGGATGGGATGCATCTTTGCCTGGACAGTTCAGTACTCAGGCTGCACGTTATCCCGGAGGCCCTCCTCGCAAGCAAGTCACGATTGGCGGTGCCACTACAGATTACGTTGATGCCAACGGGGACTGGGACGGTCAGAGTAGTCTATCGCGGTCTCAGTCATTCAGGGCTGGAGACAGGCGGCAGAAAATCCCACGTAACGCTTCTACTTCCGGGCTTAGCACGGGTAGCCGCGGAAACCTCTTTGAGAGGTTGGCACAGTCAAACCCCAATTCACCTCCTACCGACACCGCTGGCAATGCTTCAGGTTTCTCTTCGGTAACTCCCAGTCGGCCTTCTTCGCCACTGGGATCGAAGCAGGGATCGACAACTAACCTGCAAGGTGCTGCGGGCAACCAAGCCGATGGCAATGCCCCAACTACGTGCACAAACTGCTTCACACAAACCACCCCACTGTGGCGCCGTAACCCCGAGGGCCAACCTCTTTGCAACGCCTGTGGCTTGTTCTTGAAGCTGCACGGTGTCGTTCGACCGTTGAGTTTGAAGACGGACGTTATCAAGAAGCGTAACCGAGGATCTGGAGCCAACCTTCCAGTTGGCGGAACAAGCACTAGATCCAAGAAGACGGGTGGAGCTTCTGGGCCTGCTTCTCGCAAGAACTCGACCTTGGGCATCTCCGTCACGAATAGCACGCCACAACAGGCCACCACTCCGCCTGCAACTGTTCGGGCCGGTAGCGCTAACGAAGGTGAAAGTCCGGCAAGTGGTGGTGCTGGTGCATCTGGTGGCAATACTGCTGGCAGCACGCCGACAAGCTATGCAGGGTCGACCACTGGAGCAGTGGGTGGCAAGGGTGTCATTCCTATTGCCGCTGCTCCTCCCAAGAACACGCCTGGGCCGGGAGCAGCTTCAGTGACACGCAATGTTGGCGCATCGGGCTCCTCCAAGCGACAACGGCGAAGCAGCAAGAGTGCGGGCACTAGTGAGTCCGCTGGAGGTATGGACATTGACAGCCCAGCCAATTCAACTGGCTCCAACGAGGCTGCACGATCGGTCAGTTCCGCAAGCGGATTCATGGCCGGAATGCCTAATCCTGGCAACGTTGCCTTGACCAACGGATTCGGTATGACACAGCGCCCGATGATGCCTCCAGGCATGATGGGAATGCCCGGAGTTCCACCAAATGGCATGATGACGCCTGGCGCTGGGGCTGGACCTCAAGAATGGGAATGGCTTACCATGAGTCTGTAAGCATTCTAGCTGGGACGCAAGCATGCCACTGGACCTTTTATCGACATTCATTTTGTCTGTTGTCCACGCATCGAGGTGTCTAGTTTTGGGATACCATGACCAGCTTTCCTTTGCACAGGATCTCCTGGTAATACGGACATTGGTGCTTCCTGTTCCGGGCTATGACATGGCCCGGATTGTGTTAACAACTTACTATTGTTTATGTTTACACTTTTGTGGGACCAACGACTTGGCGGGTTCTAATGGTTCATACGGCACTTGGCATGCCATGACATGTCTGACGACCAATCGATCTACCGCGTCGTCGTTGGGATGGGTTTCCAGCTTGAACGACTGATATGAGATGATATCACGAACATCTTGGGCAGCTATGTGCTGTACTATGGGATGGGTGGCACTTGTGATTTTTTTGTCGGGTGTTATTGCTTTTGGGAAGGCACACTGTAGACGGGATGTTTTTTTGATACCAACCTTGATTGTAGAGAGGATCGCTTTGCACATGCGGACCGGATGATGAGCATTGCCTGCTAATTTTATTTTTGCCGCCCTGTGTTTTCAGGTGCATTGGCAGGCTTTGGTCAATCGTGATACAGAGCCGGCGTGTTCTTATCAGAGATACCCTTACTGCGCCTTCACTTAGATATCGCAGAGAATGAACAATTTGACGATGATACCTCTATGCAATGATGTCCTCGGTGTGAAGTGAGGGGTTTTGTGGGCTCATTCTCCTTTGTCTCATGGTGTATGCACCTCTGGAAAACTTGAATAATCATGGTATTGACCTTGATAATGCCTAAGAGTTGGATACCAAGCACTGACTTGATGACATGCTTCAGGGAACCTATTGGCTAGGAAATGGTCATCATTGCGCCAAAGCATGCAGGGACTTGAAGCTCGGCTTGCCTTCCTTGAAAACCTGGACGTAATTCCACATCTTGTTACATTAAGCCTTATTAGTTGATGAAGAAAAGGTAAAATGTCTAGATGCATATTGCCCGGCTTTTATCATTAAAGGTATTTGACAACAAGCAATCTCGGTCCCAATCACAAAGAGGTGCTCTACTGTGAGAAAAGCTGTCCGGCACGGCAAAAGCCATTGCCAGTTGAGAAGACGATTTGAACAGGCATTTCTGGTGGTCGCTTTGGAATAAGTGCTACATTTGTGAATAGGAAAAGAGTTCCATCTTCTTGAATCGAGAAGCTGTGGCTTTCTCAACTCAACACATTCGAAAGGGGCCGTGACGCTCACCATCTAACATCAGTCATCAAAGCGTTCACTCCCTTGTCCTTGATACAACTAGCTACCTGAATCACACGGATATCCAAATACCCAAGTGAACTGCGCAACGGGTAATTGCAGCAAGAACCGAGACTGTAATGGATAGAGCCGTCTAGTCCAACGGCAGTAGTGTATGTGTGAAAGCGGTGTAAATATTTTTCTTTCCCCCTCCTTGTCTCGGGAAAATAGGTAGAGATATGCATTAGCTTTGGGGATGACTGTTTGCGCCCCGATCTAAGCAGAAAGACCTTGACGGATGACCTTATTGCCCAAAGTCTACAGCACGTCGGCGTGATGAATGTGATTATGGTAGAATTTCCTCAACGCCGAGGCAAAGACCCAGAGAGACGAATGGCTCAATGGGAAAAGCGGCACACATACCATTGTTGCTCTAGAGAAATGGTAACTCGCTCGCCTCCTAAGCGAGAGACTGTGGGTTCGAGTCCCACGAGTGACTTCTTCTTCTTTTTTGTCTTCTCTCATTTGCCTTTGCCTTTCTCTCTTCTGTGATCTTTGTCTTTTTCCTTTTAACCTTGAACCTAACCCCTCCACCGATCCAGATCAGACCACATAAACCAAGCTAACGTTTGATGCTCCCTTGATGACTCGCTTTTCTCTTTTGTCCTTTCCTTCTGCCCTGGAATGTCGATATTGTTATTACTCTTTCCAAGGAGGGAGAAAAGAAGAAATGCAACAACTCTCTTTACACAATTAGAAAGTCATGGCCAAGGTTCTTGAGCTGAATAAGCCAGTTCCGGTCTGTTGCATCCGTGGCGTGAAGTCCGTCCCGCAGTTGCCATATGTCCGTCAAGGTCTCCATGGCGGATTTCATCATTCCCCAAGGACACTCCTCCCACATGACTCTCAGCCGATTCAAAATCCAGGCCCGACTTTCAGGCGTTACGGCCTCGACACCAATCATGAAGACGGGCCACGTTGTGTAGCGAAAGAGTGGGTACCAGGAGGGGATGAGGGAGAGGTGATAATGTATCGTTGCGGCCAGGTCTTTGGTGGTGGGAATCGGTGGGAGGTATAAATCCACCTCCGGCATAGCGGCCTGGCGTTGGCCAACATATTCCTCAATTCCCGGCGCCGAGAGCAGCACGTACAGGGCCACGGCGGCCTGGTACGCCGAGGCGATGGCAGTTCGCATATTAATTTCCATCTCGTCGACGGCCCGGACGTGGGCGTTCGCCGCGCATACCCAATGCGCCCAGACTTTGATCTCGAATGCTTGCGCTTCGGCTAGGAACTCGAGGAACGTGTCCATCTCTTCGACTGTGGGCAGGGCGTTGTCGTTGGTGCTCACGCGCCGAGCTAGACGAGAAATGCGAAGGATCAAGAGCAGTAGCTGCGCCGGACAGCTGTGGTAGCTATTAGCTTCTGTCCTGTCGATAAAATGTCGGATCTCGTCGGCGTCAATGATGCTGGCTCTGCGGACACCTGTAGCCGAGTTTGAGAGCGAGTCCAGCGTAGTGCCCCATATATAATAGGCAACCGAATCCGAGGCCACGTAGTCGCGTATACCGATCGAGTTGCATGTATACCGCAGGGACTGTAGACTCTGCTGCGTGGCAGCCGTGTCGAGATACAGGTTTGGAATCACCAAAGCCGACGACGAGTCCTCGTCCGCATCGGCCATTCGTTCTGGATCGGGCTCCAGCTGTCTCGGCATCAAGGCAAAGTTGGACGCCTGAGCCGCAATCAGCTGCCGCGCCGCTCGCATATGAGATCGCCAGCCACCCTTCCCCGAGTCAATCAGGGCAAAGTTGATAAAGAAGAGCACTGTGGCCAACAAGGCCTCCTTTTCATCCGAGTGTCTCGCGTCGAATTTTTGTCGTTGAAGTACTGCTTGCAGTCCCTTGATGGCATCAGCCCGCGCCCGTAGAGCGTCGACGAGGGCATCCACGGAGGCTTTGGAGGCAGACACTCGCCGCATGATGTTGGCATAATGCATGGCGGATGATGCCACAAGAATGTCCTGCAAGAAGGGATACGACGTGGACATTGCAATGAGCTGCCGAAAGGGGTTCCCTTGTAGCTTGAGAGAATCATGGACAATCAACTCTTGACAGATCCGCTTTGAGTCTAAAACACATGGTTGGCAAGCCAAGTTCAGCCAGGGTGGGAAGGGGAATGAATACTGCGTTTCCTTTATTGGCCACTTACAGTAGTTGAGATAGAACCTCGCGGTCTTGTCCATGTGTTGGAATAGTGGATCCACGAGCCCGGCAACCATGTTCTCATCCACGTTGATTGCAGGGCAGGTGGGTGGAGTGCCATTCCGGCTTCCTCGCACGAGAGCCTTGGTCGTATTTTGGTGTCCATTGGTCGTTGGATTATGAGTGTCAAAGGAAGCCTTGCCAGCCAAACGGCCACGAGAGGCTACAGCATTGGTCCATTGGTAGATCTTATCATAGCCGAGACACTCCTGCCCTGCAGTACTGCACTTGTTACAAGTCGGCAGTGACCGGTCGCACCGAAGTCGACGCCGGCGGCAGTTGTGACAACTCTTGGTAGCCATGGGCCGGAGCCGGCTTGTCTGGTAAGTACCCTCTCGATTTCAAGGCAGCGGTATTAACCCATGTAACGGCGTCAGGTTATGATAAGCTGAGGAGGAAGAACAAGGGGCAGACGTTTAGCCAAAGTCTGCACAGTCGGCTACTAGGTAAGCGAATACAGGCATCACATTCGCAGTGAGCTCTCCGTGTCGTCGATGAGTCAATCTCTATTTCGACCGAGAGAAGCTTCTGGGATTTGTCATGAAAGACGTAGCAATTGAGGCTTGGCTTCCTATATGAGCCAAGATGAGGATGGACAGACAAAAGAAAGTTCCAATTATTTTCTTTTTACTAATAACCTGCCAGTCCCGCGTGCGAGCCGAGATCTAGTCCAGGCGAAATGGAGATGTTGAGTCGATCCCCAATGGACGGAACGGATATGCTCTTGTAGCGGCCTCGTGGGTTAGGTAATTAGCTCCAGCCCTTCAAGGTCAAAGTGCAACTGGCCATACCATAAATGGAAGCCAAGACGCAACTGTTGCATATCCAGACTGGGGACCCTTTTTTTCTGGCTCACGATTCTAGCGTCATCCCGGAGCAAAACCCGACCTTTTTGCGCCCTATGGTAACTTACGCCTACGTATTTCCAGTCCTCCACGGGTATTGGGCCCGAGAACCACTTCGCCACGAGCCGCAAGCACACACAACCACCCCCGTTCTTCTTCCCCAGGCTTCTAGATGATTTGATTTCATCGAGCGGTAGAAGACAAATTTATGGAACCATGTGTCATCCTTCTTGTTTAGCAAGCAGAGGGGGTCGTCCCGCCATGCGAATCCCAGCCCAGATCGCCCAACGGTCGGCAACAAGAGATGGACTTTTCTCCTTTCGGGCAGAGCGTTGCAAGTCGTGCATATCTAGATTCGTAGACGTGCAGTCTTTGTCAAAGCGGATCATGGTGAAATATTCCACATACACACATCATCCACTTTTTTTTTTATCGTCCCCTAGTCGATAATTACCAATCCCTTACAGCGAGCGGTCTGGATCTACGGTACCATGATAGTATAATAAGAGTTGGCCGGGCCCAAGACTTTTGACCATAATGGAGACTGCAAGAGAATACACACGTCTATCACAGACCTACAACTACCTCCTCTTGCCTGGCTATACTTGACTACTGTACACAACTCAGCAGCATGGCGTCCATGCTGGTGAACGGAGAGGGCGGTGTCCCTCCCGAAAGCGGAGTCTATGACGGCAGTGACTCGCCCGAAACCCTCACCAAGGCCGACATTGAGCGGCTCGGACGAGAGCGCCCGGCTGCCTTCACGCACTTGTCAACCGAGATTGCTTTTGTCTCGACCGTCGTCGTGTCCATGATGATGAGCGAGTACTTTGTCAGCGGCTTCAACATTGTGCTGCCCACCATTGCCAGCGAAATCGATATCCCCGACGCCCAACGGACCTGGCCCGCCGAGGTCATCAACCTGACCACGGCCGCATTGCTCCTCCCCTTTGCCCGGCTCTGCGACCGACACGGTGGACGTTCCATTTTTCTGCTCGGCCATGCTTGGCTCACCGTCTGGTCCCTCGTTGCCGGCTTCAGCCAGAACCCGACCATGTTGATCGTGTGCCGAGCCATGCAGGGCCTCGGAAGCAGCGCCTACCTCCCCGCCGGTATCTCCCTGCTGGGTACGCTCTACCGACCCGGGCCGCGTAAGAATCTCGTCTTTAGCTCCTACGGCGCCATGGCCTGTGTCGGCTTCTATATTGGCATCTTTGTTGGGGCCGTAGCCGGCCAACTCCTCACCTGGCGCTGGTTCTTTTACATTGGCACCATCATGGTGTTTGTCAACACCATTGTTGCCTTTTTGGCCATTCCGCGGCACCTGGGCGACGGGGATGCCAGCGTGTGCATGGACTGGTGGGGTCTGGCTACCATTGTGCCTGGTGTTGCCCTCGTGGTCTACGCCCTGACCGACGGCAGCCATGCGCCGCAGGGCTGGAGGACCCCCTACATAATTGTCACATTCGTCATTGGCGCCCTCCTCTTGTGCGTCGCAGTGTACATTGAAGGGTGGGTTGCCGCACAACCTCTCTTGCCCGCCGATCTGTTCCGGCCAAAGTACATGAGACGCCTGGCAACGTCCATGTTCTGCTCGTATGGCTGCTTTGGATTGTTTCTATTTTACGCTAGCTACCAGTAAGTCAGATAGGCTCTCTGCTCACTTCTCATGATGGCGTAAACTAACAGACTCCTGCCAGACTCCAGACGGTTCTCAACACGACACCCCTCCAAACCGCCGCATGGTTCACACCACTGGCAGTCGGCGGCATGTTCCTAGCCGTGGCCGGCGGTCTCGTCCTGCACCTCTTGCCTGGCCGTGTGCTCCTCATTATTTCGGGATTAGGCTACCTCATCTCGGTACTGCTCTTTGCCGTCATGCCAGCCCAATCCTCGGACGGCGAGCCTTCGCTGTCGTTCCTGTACTGGGCCTATGTCTTTCCGGCCATGTTGTGCGGCACCATTGGCGTCGATATTCTCTACAATGTGACCAACATTTTCATCACCACGGCCATGCCGGCCCGGCTTCAGGCGACCGCGGGAGCCCTCATCAACAGTCTCTTGTACCTGGGCATGGCCTTTTGGCTTGGTATCGGCGAGCTGGCCGTGTCGACAACGGTCGAGTACCGCGGTGGCGAGGACAGCGTTAGCTTGCGGGAACAATACCAGATTGGTTTCTGGCTGGGTGTCGGGCTGGCTGGCCTGGCGCTGATCCTCAACTCTACCATTAACCTTGGCGAGGCGGCGGCCGAGATGACGGCTGACGAAAAGGAGCAAGCGAGACTTGAACAGAGTCAGCAGGTTTCTTCCTAACAACTTTTGGTCATTTTTGGCATGTTTATTTGCATCTTGGAGTTGATTTGATTTTTCAGGGACCAAGCGCTTGATACCCCTAGACTAAAGGAATGACTGCATAATTTATTAATAATAATGACTCTTCTTTGCTATCTATACCGGCTGGGGCACATATCAGGCTTCAGAGCTTTGCTGTTGTTGCCCTAATGAATAATGATCATCAGATACTATACAACTTGTTGAACTATGCTTTGATGATATCTGCCGCAGTAGTGATGGCAGCAGCAGTCCTGGTAACAAAATCAGCAGCCGTTGAAAAGTTGCCCGCTTGCAAAGCCTCGGTGATTCCTGGAAAGGTCACAGCCGCATATCCTGTCATGGACCGTTAGCACTACCACCAGTAACCTGGGATGGGGCGTGTTCATCGAGGCACTCACCTGTATCGGCACCTGGAGCAAATATGAGGTGCTTGAAAAACTCTCTGCCTGGGAGTCCACCTTGTGATACAAAACCCCGCTGAAAGTCTCTGTATTTGTGGTTGATGGCAGTGATTTGTGCGGCATCATTAGCGCTCAGAGCGTCGCCGACTTGCTGCTCCAGCTGCAGCGCACTCGACGCGAAGTCATCAATGGCGGCGCGGAGCGGATCCGTGTCCAAGGTTGTCAGCGTCTCGTTGATAGTGGCCTGGAGGTCGGCGTAGTAGGAATCCATCTGCACGGCATAGTTGGTCAAGTTGAATGGAATCACGTCGGCGTCTGCGAGATTGTACGCGAGCAGGGACATGAACTGCGTCATGGACTTGTGGGCTAGGAAACCAGGGTCACCGAAATTCGTCATCCAATGGTATGAGTCGTAGTTGCTGTGATAGTGGTAAATGGGGTCTTGATCAAAGCCGCTGGCGCCAATATCAAGCTGCAGAAGAGAGGAGAAAAACCTTTGCGTCAGTTTGTAGTTCTCATGAGTATAATAGGACAAGGACTCACAGCTCCAATACCCTTGTGAACAAAAGCAGTGTAATCGCTGCCACTGCCGAGTACGCCAATATTTCCCTGGAGGTCCCCGTACCAGACATCGTACATGGTCCGGTTTCCATCCATCCAGACAATCTTCTTCATGGTGTCCTGCGTAACGTAGTGAAGTTCTGGACTAGCGTCGAAATAGACATGAGGTCCCGAGGCGCCAATATCCACATTCAAGTATGAGATGGCCGTGTCATTGAGCCAAGGAAGGTATTCTTCGACAAACTCGGTCGATCCGAGCAGACCGTACTCCTCGCCGTCCCACGATCCGAGCACAATGTTGCGCTTGGGCTTCCAGCCCGTCTTGAGCAGTTCTCCAAAGGCCTTGGCCAGCTCGACAATGATGGCCGTTCCCGAGTTGGGATCTGCCGCGCCGCCCACGATCCAGGCGTCTCGGTGGTTGCCAATGACGATGGTTTCGTCGGCGTTGGTACCATTAATGATGCCAATGGCGTCCCACAGAGGAGTGATGGTCTCGTTCATGTAGTTGCCAAGGTTTAGCTGGACTCCGGGCGCCGGGCCAGTCGAGTACGAGACATTGAGAGCTCCGACCCAACCCGAGCGGTTGACTTGAGCACCATCTGTGCCAGCGCCGTTTAGAGCAGCCAGAATGGGCTGGGCATCCAACCAGGATATGGGGACGGAAGGAATATATGGCAACACAGCCGACCCATCTGTCCTCGGCACACCCTCCTTGGACGGATAATCAGGAGTCGTGGGATCTCCGGGGTAAATGGAGAGGAATTCGACACTCCCGCGCTGCACCGATGTTGGGTTCCTCGCAGGGCCGTCGGGATATGCCGCGTAACCGTTGGCCTCGGTGATATCTCCGTCGTCTGCCGTGTCCGTGAACAGTACGACACCAATCATGCCGTGCTCCTGGGCGTTCTTGACCTTGAGGCCGCGAAAGGGGCCGCCGTAGCGCGAAATGGCAATCTTGCCTTCCAGAGGTACGCCGAGGGCTTCGAGACGGTCAAAGTCTGCTTGTTGTCCTCGACCAATGTAGACGTATTCTGCAGTCACGTTGCCACTGGCAGAATAGCCATTGAAAGTGGGAATCCTGTTGGGATAACTGGTTGTCTCGTCTGCCTCTAGCACGGCCTCTTCCAGTAATGGTTGAAACACGCTTCCATTGGCATACGTCAGGCTAAGAGACTTGTTGATGGGATAGTTGATGAATACATCGTAGGAAATCACGGTAGAGTTGAGTCCACTTTCAGCCCATCGGTCTGCCGTCCATTGAGCCATGCTCAAATTGGTCCCGGCAAGGTGTGCGCCACTATACATACACAGTTAGTCATGGGGCAGTGAGATAATCTTCAACGAGTCAAACAATGCAGATTTTCCACTTGTCATATATGACGGTTGATTCGGAAAGCTACCTACTGACTGTGAATCCAAAATCTGTTAGCATTTTCTTTTCATTCAGAAAGACTTGGACTGCGATAATGTCCGCACTACGAGAACAGAAAACATGATGCTTTTTTCTTCTTCTCGAATTCGGAGACTCACGTATAATAATAAGACCACTCATCAAGCGTCGTGGTCGACACGGCACCAACAAGCGTCTCCTCTTCTGGGCTCAAGGGAGTCGGCAGACTGCTCTGGCGCTTGACATTATGAAGGTGGCTGATGTCGTGGCGCGCATGGAGACAAGCAGCGGCGCTTGTCGCAAGAAGCGCGACGGTGCCAAGATTCTGGAGACTATGCATACTGGCGATTGGTGGGTTGGTCAATTCAGATCATTCGCAGCATGGCAATGAGAATGAACAAAAGTTGCCGCAGAGGTCATGTGGGCCAAGGGAATGGACTGGTACTGGAGATTAAAAGCGTGTATATATTGGCAGGCGCAGTCACTCACTTCACAGAGAGAGACTAGGTACCTCAACGTAATTGGTAATTGCGTAGTGTTGAGATTCCCGACTTGTCCTTGGCGATCGTCTTACCCAAAATCGACTACTCGGACACTTTCTGCCCCGGGGCGGGAGGGCAAGCGAGAGATGCCTGATGCTAAGAGAAAATATCAACATGACGTCTATCGGCAGGTGAGAAATCAATCGGGAAGGTGATGTGCGAAAAAGCTTCTCCAACGATCCTCGGATTCTTCGGCAGTGCAACGATGAACATGCATGAGGACGTCAATGAGAGCGAATCCAAGGGAGAGAATCTTCAACAGGCTGCAGTGAGATTTACCTTGCAAGATTGAAATAACTCCAGTTCGGGCGACAATAACGTGATGCATCTCGCCCGATAGCCCTGCCTAGCTACTCCTCACAGCGATGAGGGGAAACCCCAGAAAGGACGGCCGTGGGGGAAGCAATCCCCGCATGATTCATAATTCAATAGAACACAAGATTAAAAAGTAAGACGGAACAATTTGCACGCATTCATTCTATATTCGCATTGCGGCTGTGTTCTTCTCATGTGGAGGAGCGCAACTGTGTATCATCACAAGTTGAGTTGTGTATAGTCAGCACATGGATCAATCAATCACTCACAAAAAGACGAAACAAGATACGAGCAGTAATCATGGCATGATGTGATTGGTCTTATTGATGAATTCCTACAACGGTTTGGTATATCAGATAGCTCTTCAGCACCTCTCTTTTGTAGATCAGAGATCAACTCAGACATCTTTCAATGCTTCCTCGACCAATACCGCCTTCACCATCGCCTTCACGATCCCCTTCACACATTGGCCCAGGAGAGACCATGGAAATTCTGCAGCATCTGGGCCAGATTCTGACACTCCTGGGCCAACTTCTGCGAGCGGAAGCAAAATCGAAGCTGGGATCTCCAGTCTTCTTCGAACCCTGAGCTGGAGCACCCACGTGGGTGATCCGATCCGTTCCCACTTCACCATGGCGGAGCTCCGGTTCCCCTTGGCCTTGACCTTTTTTTATATATATTTTTTTTATAAGAGAGATCTGTAGGATCAACTCAGGCTTCCTCCAGCATGCTGTCGAATCGTTCGAAGCGGCGGCTGCGGTGAGAACGGAATGCGCCTCCGTTAAGGTCGTCCTGGCGGAACGCAACGCCCTTGGGCAGACCAGGGCGACAGACCAGCATGCGATCCATGTGCATGACACCACCCGGACGCTGGATAGCAGCATCTGATTCTCTGGCATCTCCGTAAGTGACGAAGACGTAGCCCTTGTTGGGCATCTCGGGCGGGCCATCCTGCTGCTGGTATTCTTCGTAGCCATAAGCTACGTTGGCATCGGCCAGGTAGCCGTGGTGGTCGACAGGTGCCCCCAAAAGACCTGCTTCAAAGATTACCAATGCCCTCGGCCCCGGTTCCCCCTTGAGGGGGGAGAGCCGTGGCCTAGAGTGGCAAAGGTTATAGGCCGTCAGCGGTGTTGTCGGATCATCATCCACCAAGTCTGGCTGCCGACGTCCTTTCCCAGAAAACGTCTGCATCGGTATTTCTTCGGATGTACGCCTGATTCTTCTTGTAGGCGCCCTCTCCTCCATGAGATTTGACCTTGTGGTTGTGGCTGTGGACATCCTTGAACTTGGGGCCAACGTCTGTGGTGCACTTGACGTTGGCACTGTCTCGGTAGTCGCAGTACCAACGGACGTTGCCGTCATGCTTCTGTAAAGATCACCAATGCCCTCGGCCCGGCTCCCCACGAGGGGGAACCGGTGCCTAGAGTGGCAAAGGTCATAGGCCGTCCGCGATGTTGTCATTCGCCATTTATCCAACACCGGTGCTTCCCACCAAAGTAAGTCTTGACTGGCATCATTCTGCCATCCATGGTGGTGGTGGCATTGCGGCTGAAGACGACAAGGTTGCCGTCGTTGCGGTGCTGGTTTTTTTTCTTTTAGATTTTTTTTTNTTTTTTTTTTTTTTTTTTGCATCAATATCTTGGTAGCATCCGGTTTTCTTGGACCGGATGCCATGACCACAACGTCCTTCAGGCTGGCGATGGCGCAAATCGAGTATCGGCGGTTGGTGGAGACGCAATTCTCCTCGTTGACTTTTTGGGCAGCCGGCACCGGGAGGGACTCGGAGGGGGAGGTGTAGCTGGCCGAAGCTTCCGGGCCGGTACCCGGAGCTGGCGCATCCCCCTTTTTGCCTTGTCACTCCAAATTCGACCTAAACTCGAATGTCGTCGAACCGCTGAAAACAGTTTGAATCAATCCATCAAGTATACACGGTACCTCACCACAGCCAGCGACTTGTGAAGATGAGGTTGGGTTTTTTTCTTGGATGGCAGTGTAGAAACCTTGGCCTGTACTGTAGCCATGAATCAGCTGGTGTCGTCTTCAACATGGGAAAAGCTCCACTTACGATTCAAAGAAAACATGTTCTGATGCTGCCCCGAAGGACTGGTTGTGAGAGATGTCGAAGATTGATTGATGTGGATGGATGTATAGTGAATGAAAATCCAAGGACTTTGGGATCGAGCGGGGCTTTGCCGACCACTACTCTATGATCGAGAGAGTGTCTACTCTGTCCATGCCTAAAAGTGAAGGAGAAGGCCACCCGCTCGTTCGAGCATCCAACAAATGAGAACTTGATTCAGCGGTGCGCAGGATGAAAATGTTGAGTGGCTTTCGACCCATCTGCTTGATGACTAAAGCTAGAGATTTCAAGCCTCGAGAGACGGAATGTGAGAAGAGGGGAAGTGAACCTTGTCGAATGCTTCTGCAGCATCATGCGCGAAGTCGTAAGCATTGCAAGAAGTTCACAAGCAGGCGACCGATGCCAATTCGAAATCAGATCATGGAAAACTGCACAAGCGCATCGAAAGCGGTAGGCTCTTGCGTGTATGGCACTTTGAATCTGTATACTGCATTGGCAGAACTCTCGGGGGTCGACATCGCGGTGTAGGTTCGGAGACTCTGGTTGTAAAGTGACTAGACTGCATACTCTAGACACGGTGGCTAGCATGACGCACAACGGGCCATCTTGAAAGGCTCGGTTCGGGTTGACGCGTGTGGTAGAGTTTCGACAGCGGCAACTTTGAGGTGTAGATGGAAACCAGTCAATGGCTATCAGTCATGCGTCCTGGCAAAGTCAATGTTAGCAACCAGAAGGAATCTCAGTAGGGCTTTATTGGTCTAGACTTACCTTTTGATGTCGTCTCTACTTGCCTTGAAGGTTGTACTAATTCTGTCGAAACGCACGGGTTGTGTCCATGTTACGTACGGGACTATCATGGTAGCTGGCGATAATCGTGTACTCGCATAATGTTGTCGTGGGTCTGTGGCATTTGTTCTGGAAGTGTCCTCGCGAGCATTGAGGTCAGCACAAGTTTTCCTTGATACTTCATACCTGTTGAAAACAAAGCTCAAAAGGTTTAGCCATACCACGAAAGCGACGATAATTGGCATTTCGGGTGTGATGGCACGTCTGTAGACCAGGCTCATAACTGTGTCTCAGATCACACCAGAATGGATTTCGCAAGCTGTGTTGAAAACAATTGCTGACAGTCTATTCATCTTGTACAGCTCCCCCAAGGGCTTTCTTCTATCTCCATGGAGCACCGAAACACTCAGAGCCATACCCATCGACTGAGGGATCGACTTGTAGCTCAAGAAGGAAGACCCAAAGGAATGAGAAGGTTTCGTTCTGGCACCTCAGTGCTCAATCTTCCAAGTAATCAAAGTCCTGTAAGAATGTCTGTCAGCATATCGATCCGAGACGGGAAAACAAGAAAAGATCGCACAAGCCTGTTCTGGTTTCCTCGAGAAAAAACCATTTCGCTCGAAGCAAATACTCCAGCTTCATTCATATGCTTGCCGTATGCAGCTCCCGCTGCCAAACTGATGAGCCATGTACCAAATGTTGCATGGAGTTGCGAGTGTCGAAGCAGAAGAATGCGCTGAGAGAGTCCTTCCATGCGAACCCAGTGCTACCAGCAATGGTATGAATAGTCTCCGAGACTCGCAAGCTGGCCCCCTATTGACCATGCGAGGATCCCCCAGCTCTATGAGTATGAGCATGAAGCTGGAGCAAAACTGGCAATGATCCTGAACTCAAAAGTCTTTTTGCTTTCTGCTCATGTTTTCTCATCTACACAGAGTTTCTGCGAGTCTTGCGAAGTCTGGCGGCTTTGCGAGCCTTGCGGTCAGGCATCTCCTGCTGGAAGGTTGTGTAACAGTTGTTACACTGGGCAAAGAACATGACCTTGTTCTTGTAGACCTCCTTCTCGATGCGGTCGAGCAGGTGGCGGTAAGCGGGATTGAGACCAAAGTCTCGCTCCATGATACCAGCAGGGTAATGAGCAGGCGAGTGCTCATAGTCGAGGTTATCCTGGCAGACCTCGGCAGACATGTCGCGCAGCTCAGTCAGAGCCTCGAGAATGGACTCGCAGCGGGCCAGGATTTGTGGAGTTAGACGTCTTCCGAGCATTTGATAGGTACGATCAAAGATTCTTGATTCGTACAGCTCGCGTTCAATACGTGCAACCTATGCAGCGTATGCGGCAGCCTCCTCGGGATCTTGAGCGTTCTCATACTCGACACTTTGCTCCTCGTCTTCATCAGATCCAAGCGAGCTATCAGAGTGGATCAGATCACCAACCGAGAGCTCAAGAATTGAGGGCCGGTGCTGAACCACATCCTCCTCCTCATCCACCGAGAGGGTGCTGCCGAGAGAATCAGTGTCATTGAGAGTTGCGTCAGGCGACGCGGCGGTGACCAGAGTTCTGGCTGGTGAACCTCGCGGACTGCCTGAGATCTGCAATAAATGAATGAATGATTAGTTGGCCGATAACGAAACCATCAAAAGAAAAGAAAACAAGCTGAAAATAAAATAAAAAGAAGAGGAACCGAAATAAATGAATGAAGAGTTGTGAAAAGAAAAAGGTGGGCGACATGAGGTGGAGGGGTAACTTACAGCATCGAACCTCTGGATAATTGTAGTAGTGGTGACGGTGATGCCGCCAAACAAGTGAGGGCGACGAGAACCGCGCTCAGAGTCATCATCCGGCTCGCGTTCTTCACGAATGCTGGCCAATTGACCATCGGCGGATGAGACATCTCTCTGAGTAAGACGCTGTCCGTGGGCGCGGAAAGTCTGGTCAATGCTTTCGTCCGATCGCAAGCGATGACGGGACGAAAACCAGCGGCGTATACCCAGAGGCATGATGGGCGGTACTGAAAGATGATGGGAAGTCTGAGCAAGAGAGAATGTGATGGGTTCAGTGATGGTGTTTGCCTCTGTGAGGATGGACAATGCCTGTGAGCAACGCCAGTGAAATTTTCACCAATGGATGGCAACAGGTGGATGGAAACGGTGAGGGTGGATCAGGCGAACGCTCGCCGATCAAGGTGTGATGCTAGGTTGACTCGGACGAATGTTCGTCGATGAGTATGTGGTGAAGGAATGGCCTGGGTATGTGTGTGATGATGGAATGGCACATGCAAATATGCGCCGTTGGAAGTGGGAGAATGGAAAAATCAAGAGAAGTGGTGATCAAGGGAGATGCAATATTGATCTAGCCCAGATGAATGAATGTTCATCAATGAACGGCTGGGTGATGGCCATGCACAAGACAAAATAATGGTGATTGTGGGATGAGGGGCAGGATTGAACGATTGTTCGTCAATGAATGTGCGGCAAGGAATTAGCCAAGGTGAACAAACGCCGGTGAAGAGTTTTCCAGGCAACAATCGAAATTGCTGGCAAAGCGAATCTGGATAGTAAGTGGTGGGGGTCGAAGCGCAGCTGCATGAAGCTTGACGCGTGAAGCTGAATATGTCAAGCTGGACGCGTAGATGTTGCTTTGTGATCTTGGGTTGGCTCCGACGAAAGCTGATGGACGGATCTGTGATGGTGTTTGCGTCTTTGCGCGGATGGTCGCCGCCAAAGACTTTTTGGGGAGTCAAGTAAGAACGATGTCAAGAAGAATCTGCGCTGGCCTGGGACAGACGTTTGCAGATGGAATGATGATAGTGATGGGCTCGGACAAGTCTCCGTAGGATGTTCGATGATGAAGATGTGTCTGAGTGACAAGCAAATCTGACTTGGAAGAGGATTGAGCTCGTGGGTTGTCTGCAGAAGCAGAGATGCCAGAAGATGAGTGCGTGAAGTATGACGGGTGATTACAGAGGCGCCGAGATGGTGAGGATGGAGTATGCAGATGGAATGTGCAAGTGAATGTTTGAAGATGGCAGAGTATGTGAAGAGGGATGTTTGACAAAGCAGTAGGGACTTGAGCAGCTGAAACTATCTACGAGAGCTCCAGGTAAGCGGGCGCGGGGAAGGAATTTTTTTTTTTTTTTTAGAATGGCGGGTGCCGCTGATTGTCGTGCCCGCCGCGTTTGTCTTTGCCGTGAGCTCAAACGACTTGGGGGTTGTTGTGGTTGGCGAGGGCGCGGTCCAGGTAAATGGGCGCGGCCAAAGAAAGAATGAGAAGATGCTGGCAAGCACAGATGATTATGTCAACTAGCAAGGGCCCGGTCCAGGTAAACGGATGCGGCCAAAGAGAGAATGAGAAGATGCTGGTGAGCACAGATGTTCAATTCAACTGAAAAGGGCGCGTTCAAGGTAAACGGGCGCGGCCAAAGAAAGAACAAGAAGATATTGGCAAGCACATATGTATAATTCAAATGGATATCGCACGTTCAAGGTAGGCGGGCGCGGGCACAGAAGGAACAGAAATAAATAGATATTGGCGAGTACAGCTGAATATGATAATTGGAAGGGACACAGTTCAGGTAAGCGGACGCGACCAAGAACAGAACAGAAACAAATGCTGGCGAGTACCGTTGAATATCATAGCTGGCAAGGACGCATTCAAGGTAGGCGGACACGGGCAAAGAACAAACAGATATTGAAAATATTAGCGAGTGCAGCTCAATATTGTATTTGGCAACGGCACAGTTCAGGTAAGCGGGCGCGGTCAAGGAAAGAACAAAAAACAAATGCTGGCGAGTACGGCTAGATATAATAGCTGGTAAAGGCTCGTTCAAGGTAGGCGGGCACGGGCAAAGAAAGAACAGATATTAAAAATATTCATAAGTCTAGCTGAATATTGTATTTGGCAGGGGCGCAGTCTAGGTAAGCGGACGCGGCCAAGGACATGAAGTAGAAGAAGAACATTAGGAAGCTGTCGAGTACGGCACATCATTGTGAATGGCAACGATTCAGGTAAGCGGGCGCGGGCACAAGCAAAAGAGGAAGCATGAAGATGAAGAAGGAGCAGAAGCTTGTCAGTATCACATATTTGTATAACGGGCAGGAGGCGTTCCGGGTAAGCGGACGCGGGCAAGAGAGAAACCAGAGAAGCTGGTGAGAACAACTACTGATTGTAAATGGCAAGTACACGTTCAAGGTAGCCGCGTGCGGCCAAGGAAGAGAAGAAGGACAAGGCCAAGCTGGCGAGTATGGCTAGATATTACAAGTGCCAAGGGCGCATTTCAGGTATTCGGGCACGGGCAAAGGCAAATCAAGAATATGAAGCATATGAGAACGACATGATATTACATCTGGTAAGCACAAGCGTTCCGGGTAGGCGGGCGCGGCGAAGGCCGAGATTTAAAAAAGCTGGCGAGTACGTCTAGGTGATGGCAGGGGCGCATTCGAGGTAAGCGGGCGCGGTCAGAGGTAGGGAAAATATCGAGAAGAAGCTGGCGAGTATGACTGGTCGTTGTTCTCGCCCTCGTTTGGATCTTGCCTGGGCCCGTGGGATACTCAATTGTTGTCAGCCGACGAGGGAGACGGCGGCTACCCGGAGCTGTGAAGAGCAGAGACATTGGCGAGAACCAATTGTTGGCCAGAGTTTGACGACAATGTCCAGAGCTGGAAACTGGCAGTAGTGGACTGTTAGCGAGGGGCACAATAATTAGAGCACATTGTGGGCAAAATGGAGGCCTTGCTCTGGCGTGAACGAATCTGGTGATGCGTTCAGAATACGTGCCAACGGCGGTTGACCCGGTGTTGAACGCGAATCAGCGTGAATTCACGCGCTCCCTCCCTCGAATTTGCACTCATCACATTAATTGCTCACATTTTCACATCAAAAAGGTGGACGAATGTGTATTCAAGGAACAATGCTTTATTATGATTAAGCCTGGACAACCCTTGGGTGCCATCAGTACTTATGCTCTGTCTGTGAAAGTGATGTGCTGCTGGCCAAGCACTCTCTGAATATTCGTGACGTCTCGAGACAGTCATGCAGAGGAACAACAAGAGGGAGATATAGCATAAAAACTCCCAAAACACAGAAAGACAAAGAAAAGAAAAAGTAGTGCAGAAACAAGAACTCTCAAAACTCCTCATTGACTTGTCTTTCAACCTCCTTGAACCTCAACTTTCACTCTCTCTCTTGCCGAAAAGGATTGACATGACTAAAGACAAGACGCCTCAAACATTTCGTGGGGCACTCCAACGCCTGCTGATGGGGGGACGGCCTCTGAATCGAAGCGATCGCGAGGGTATTCTGTGAGGACCATGGAGTATACAGTCTGCGGAGCCCAAGATGTAGTAGTATGGGACATCTGGGTGGGGCGGTCCAATCAAGCATCTGCTGCAAGTTGTGCGGTACTGAAAGAGGATGCGAGGATGCGACTCAGCTTCCTGCTGACTTGTGTCCGAGGTCTCGGACTCGGTGTCGTTGGTAGTGCTCTGCTCCTCCAGAGAGCACTCTTCGTCAGATTCTTCGTACCAAGAGAGAGGGGGGACTTGATACATGGGAGCATGATGAGCGTGGCTATTAGTCATGGCCGAGTTACTGCGCCCAGGCGTAGGGCAGGGTGAGGGAAAAGGCACACAGAGGCCATCGGGAGGACTCTGGCAACGAAAGGTTCTGAGAGCGGTTCTCGGATCCAATAGCCCAGCTTCCTCGTCCTCCGAGGTGGAGGGAGTGTCAAAATTGTTCTCGCTGGCTTGAGACTCTTCAATGGTGACGGCCTGCTCTGTGCTGTCGTGTTCCTCCGTAGCCGAAGTATGACCAGAATTGTCCCCAGTAGTCGGGGGAGAAGCCGACTCGTCATCAGCGGCGTCGTCAATAGAGTGGTTGGAAAGGCCAGATCCAGGCACGGTAGAGTTGGCTAAATGGGTAACTTTGTCAGCAAAGCCAAAATGAGACAAAAGAGCATTTGAAATAACCGAGAAAACATACCCATTGGCTGCTTCGATCCTTCCAAGATCAAGGACTCGGTGCCCTGTATATCTTCCTTGAACCGCCGCTTATAATACTTGAGTCGATCCTGCCAATCATGGCCTGGGATCGTCCAGGTATCATGTGGCGTTGCCAGCCACTGGTAATTGCGCAGATTGCGCATCGCCGAGTCGCGCAGCTCGTTGGCGGCGCGGTCACGCATGGTTCCCATGCGTGCCGAGACCTCAGCCTGGCAATGTCTGGCTACCAGTGATTGAATCTCTGATTGCTGATCGCGACTCACGCCATGGCGGCGATAAATAGCATCAATCTTGCGTTCGAGGTCGTCGTCGTGTTCCATTATGGAGCTTATGGGAGAGTGAAGTGAGCAACGAACAAGGGAGATTGGCCAAAAGATCCAAGTGACAGGCGCCGAGAAGTGTAGTGCTGTAGGAAGCGCGGATTGTTTGGTGTGTAGAACAATGTGTGGGCAACTCAATACCGCGATTGTGCTGTCGTTGAGATGGTGGCGGGGTTGATGTGTAGGAGATGCGAGAACTCGTCAATGACAATGTGACAGGTGCAAGTACTCGAAATAGAGGGGCTATCAGGTGTTGATTTGTCCAAGGCGCCGATATTACCTTGCTGGCTGTGTTGACGGGGTGATTTTCAACGTTGTGGGTTGTAGGTTTCTGTGCAAAAGGAGACTAGGGAACTCAATGGCAGTGAAGAGACAAAGCCCAAGGAATCAAGCAGCGACTCTCAGGCATCGACAATTGCCCTGGAATACAGGTCGAAACAGATTTATCAACTTGAATCTTGGGCAAGCACGTGGATTGTTGTTTTCTAACATCGAAATGTCGAGGTGCGGTGATTCACCAAAGAGGGACGGATGTGTTCTGGATTCTAGAAAATTCAACAAGAGAAGCAATTTCATTTGAGCTTTTTATCCCCCATCCTTTTTCTTCCTTAGTTACATTCTCATTTGGATATTTCCAGGCTGCTCTGTGCCAGACCTTGGGTGATAATTATACCAAGGCAAGGCAGCAATAAACCAAGCATCTACCTTTGAGTAAACTGACACATCATAGCTCTGAAATACCTACATTAGCTACAGTAGTAGCACACAATCATTGTGAAGAAATAAAGCAAGAACGAAGCAAACGGAATGATTCCAGTCATGGATTTTCTCTCGATTGCGGTGCGAAAAAGAAAAATAACTTATGCTAAATGGGAAAAATGTTTGATTATTTGCAACTTGGACATGTAAAATTAGTCTGTGAAGGAAAGATACAGCCAAGGTCCTAAGAAGTGCAAAGTTTCCTGGAAGAAGAAAAATGCAATGAAAAAAATGAAGAAAAGAAAAATAACACACACAAGCCAGGCTCGAACTCGCGACACCAAGTATAAAAATTCATCAGTGAACTGTTCCACCACCAGCCATTAACTGGGTGATGAAACCGTCCACTGTGATAGCTTCAGCCTTCAGCCAATATTATTATCAGCTGGATGCAGGCCCGTGCACGCGTCACAAGCCTCTATGTGAGCTGATACAGTACAATGGTCAACACTAATGCTTTGGACAAATATACACTTTTTTTGTAAAGCAGCTGTATGATTCAACATTTTATTCATAGTGTTTATTTGTGCTCACGGACATTTAATCATGCAAATAGCGAAACATTCTAGCCACAAGCCACCGCCGTATGCAGTTCGTGCAGTAACAACAAAGGAGACATGCGTAATTGAATATCTGTATGCGAGACTGCTCTGCAAATACACTCCTTTGTCTGTTTGCCTCGGGCAGTCAAGAAGCTGGGGTCTTGCTGTAGACTGAGTGGCTGAATGTTTCTTCCTTGAATCGCCCAGTATAATTTAGAATCGAGCTTTCTGGAGGAAAGCACTTGTCCAAAACACCACGCAGCTTGCCAAGTCCTCAGAATTGCCGCTGTAAGTCATGATGCCCGTCTATGGTCAATGCGCGACTGCCGCTGAGATTGTCCTTGAAAGCCTCAGAGCAGGAATCTAGAGAAGCTCATGGCAACAATTAGATGCAGACTTCAGTGTCTACAGAGTCTGAAGGGTATGTATTCTCGTTGTCCTGGCTACCAATGCACTCTTGAGCTTTTTATTTAATGTGTAATTCTCTGCCAAGACTGGTGTGGAGTCTGAATAGTATAAAACCTTACATGTTTACACCAAACTCAATACTATCAAGACCTCGAGCCAAGTCGCCAAGACCCCACGGATCATATTGATAGTGCTTTTTACAAGGAAAACTGTTTGGACCTCTTCAGTATAAGTCGCAAGTGACCAGAATCCTCCCTGTGTGCTTGACAGACCAGGGTAAAACAAGCTTGCGGTATGCTCCGCGCGCGCAGGGGGTGTTGGGCAGGGGTTCATTGGGCGAGGATCGCCAAGCATCCCGACTTATCCCCCGCTTCTTTTTGTAGTTGTCAGGAAAATGGAGATATCTCGGCCGAGGGCAGGTGTTCCCCGTCGGCATAGCATTGGTATCCAAACACCAGTCTTGCCAGTCCTCAAAATGCCAATTTCGTTGTCAGCTCTGGAGAAAAAGAACAACACCCAGAATCGTGCTGGCGATTCGCCGTTCTAGCCGCGTAATTTCAACCCATGAATACTCTGGCAGAGACTTGGGCGGTTTCGGAAGCTAGGAACGGTCCTGTAGTCCTCTGGACTGATCATCCCGCACTTTTTGTGCTTTCGCCAGACAGTAGAATACTCCCTCGCTTGCCCACGAACCCGGAAAATTTGTCTGCATGGAGAAGGCGCTCCGAACTGATTGGTTACAACGTCTGAAGCCATTCTCCGGGGTCGCATACATGGCGTGGAACCCGCCCGGCCGGGGGGTGCCATTCAGTATTATCAGAACTTCATTATCAATTACCTGTCAACGCAGCAACTGTGCATGTCTTGGCCCTGGCCATTGTGTGGATCGGTTACGATCTGATGCTTTGCGCACGGATGATTGGCATCTTTTATTCAGTGGAAACGGTCAAATCAGTGATCAACAGACAACTAAACTCGAAGCACTGCCGAGGTAGACTAATAGTGTGTAGAGAGAGTGGGATGAAGAATCAAAGCGCGCCTTGGCAATGCGGAGGGAACAGCAAAGAAAAGCCACCATTGCGCTACCCACACACACCCGACATGCACATCAACTCGCTGTCAAAATCGGTACTTGCACTGCAAGTGAGTCGACCATTGACTTTTTTCCCGCATCCAGCTGAAGGGCGCTCAGTCACAGTGATAACCCCAGCTTATCCCAACCCAGTTGTTACCGCCGGTAGTAGAAACGTAGGGTGCATTCTGCTTTGACGTTTCCGCCCGGGGGGTTCTTTTTTGCTCATCCAAATTGTTACGCTCGGCTGGGCTCGAGACTAAAAGGCGTCGATAAGGTTGCCGCAGACTTGTAGCTGAGCGCAAACCCTTGCTTTGACTTTTTCTGTTTCCCCCCAACCTGGTGCGGGTGGTAGTGATGAAGTTTTACGGAAATGAAATGTGAAGCGAGAAGCCGGGTCCGGCATGTAGGGACAGACGATAGCTGAGCTCATATAAGTCAGAGTGACCTGCCTGACACATGCCAATCTCGGCTCAGATCCGAATGATCACTAACCCATCGACTTGTTCTCTTGTGAAACGGCCCTTTTCCTACCATCAAACAATATTTTCTGAGGCAAATCTCGAGAGACGATGGCTTGAGATGGCCAAGCAATTCCCTTCTGATGTCGTGGGCACTGCGGTCGGGGTCTTGGTCTACTCTTTCTTGGCTTTGACTCTGAATGGACTCGTGATCTGGTTGACATGGGCTCACCGGGAGCGCGTCAGTTGTCAGTGGCCTTTTCCTGGCTAATTTGTCTTGGTTTGGGAGGCTAACAACACAATTGTAGATGTCGCATTAATATCTTACATTCTCTTCCTATCCACAGCGACATGTATTGCATCGCAGCTTCACTTCTATGTCGACTATGACGATGTTGTCACAACGCAGTGGCGCGCCTCTGTGGCTAATCCCAAGAACCCAGAGATGGCCATATCAAATGGTGCCGTTGGTGTAGACCTGGGACTCTGGTATTTCAGTATGTTGCAACCTATCTGCTTCGGCGTATTTTTCGTTCCTTACACAGCCACAGGACAGTACTCGTTCTCGGTGGCCTCGATGCTTGTTTGCTTTTGGGCCTTTGCGCTTCTCCAGTCTGTTTATGGCTGGTGGGCAAAGCCTCACCTAAAGGTGTTGTTCGATCGGGTCAATGCTGTCGGAAAGGTGGTCTCGTTCATCTTGCCAATTGTGACAATCTGCCTACTCCAGTCGAAAACTATTCAGAAATCAATTGGCGCTTTCATGTTTCTCGCTAATGTTCTTTGTAAGTCCCCCAAGCGCGCATGCGTGTCGCTGGTAGCTTGACTCACAAACCCCGACAGTAATGATAAGCCTGGCATTTGGTGTTGTCCTTTTGCTTGGAATCTTGACTCGATATCTTCAAAGTAGAAGACAATTGGTTTCCTGGAATGTCCAATATGGCAAGAGTTCATCAAACAACTCGAGCTTACCCGGCTATGCCGTGGCCAAGCAACACAATTCGGGCGGCATCTATGATCGATGGCTATTGACTCGGTTCACAATCGCATTTGTAGTGCTCGCGTGGGTGACCCAAGGCCAAATACTACCAAACTCTCCACTGACTAGTCGCAGTATCTTTGAGCTCACCAACATGCTCTTCCAGTTTACCGGAATGTCCAACAGTAATAAAGACGCGATCCGCGCGAGCCCGGACTATAGTGTTGAGAGGGCGAAAGAAACGACCATTCTCTTTCTGCCAGGGCCGGCCCCAAGTTATCTGCTCTTTATCGTTTTTGGCACCACGACTGCATTCCGCAGACACATGTACGCAACATTTGTGCCTAGACGATGGCAGAGAAGATCCGATGCTTCAGAACCCGCGCGCCCGTGGGTCATGTCGCCCAAGCGCTCGTCGCGATCGACAATTCGCCCTCGTACCATGACCGGGCCGAGCCCCTCGAGCATCCCGCATGCTGTCGCTATTCAATTAGCAGATATTGAAAAGGATGGTCGGAGTCCTCCGAGCAATGACTCGGATGATACGCTGCCAATGTTGCCTCTGAGTGAGTATAATCTAATATTCTTGTCAATTCGAATGGAGAATGATAATGCTGACGCTTGCTCTCACAGTGAAACCAACCTATCAGCGAACTCATGTGAGAAGAGCAACGAGATAATGGTTCTCGAAAAATGTAATGAAGAAATGAGATTCTAATCGAAAACTATTGAAAATTTCTACGGAGCCTGCTTAACGTTGATGATTACCGTGATCTGTGCAAGTTTGTATGGCCCCAACCTTCTTCACTATTAAACAGTTGAGCGTATCTGCGTTGCACCGACAGATGGAACCAAAGCCATACGTATGAGATTCTCGTGGACCCTGGATTACCTCAGACTCGCGGAAAATATCTTCCCTTCGAAGAATGGGCCAAGTCTGACAACGGGCTGCTCCATGCCCAACTCCTTGTTCGCAGACACGGAGGTAGGCGTCAGTCCCGTATCCATGGCAGTGGGCCGGGCATCGGCCGCGTGCCCATGCTGCTGATACTATGGTATAAGACAGTAAAAGGAGTCGTCTTGTTCGCGACTGTAGCTCAGCAATTCGGACGACGCTAATAGGTATTTACAAATGCTGTACGCGCAAACAAGATTCACCAGACAGAGACCCTGAGGACTATAAGCGGTAACCCCGCTGCCGATCACCTTATAGCTCGATCCACTACGCGGGACATTGAGTTCAAGACATTCACCAATCATGATTTGGCGCCAATACACGTTTCCTTCTGGGATCTTATTTCACCATTTCGTTCAGCCAGTAAGAATTTGGGCATTTGCATACCAGACACTGCATTGCAGCAGCTCGGTGATAACAAGCTGAACCCGGAGCGCGTTCATCAGCGACAACGCCCGAGACAGAGGGGAGAAAAAAGGTCCTCGCAGATTATTCTTTTGCCAGGTTAAAAAAAGCTTGTCCCCAAATTTCCGAATTGCAGTGCCAAGCTTATCGCTTGCGTCACGGGCGCAGATGTTGAAATACTACCCTTTTATAGGTTGATTGGAATCGCGACGTGGGTGATCCCGACCTACAATACGCCCGATGCAATCATAGATGCACGCGACACTGCCCCGCTGGCCATGGTATGCAACTATTGGTATCCATTGCGGCAAGATGCGAGGATGGGGGTGGTATGATGGCTGTCCAGGGAAACCGGAGGAGAGATAAAAAGCCATCGGTGGGCCAACCTCTGTCTCGAAAGATTGTCGGACGACTCATTCTCTTCGTCAAGTCACCATGTACGGCGTAGCGAGAGTGACTATCGCGGGAGCCTTTCTGGCGTCCCTAGTGAGCGCCTCCTTTGATGGCAATCTCAACTACGATAGTCCTTCCAAGAGACATGTCAATCTGGGTATCGATGTCCCCAAGGTCAACAGGCGTGTTTTCAAGCGTGACTCGATCGCCTACACGGCCGAGGAGCTCAACTTTACGCACGGCGTCGCGTCCGGCGATCCATGGCCCGAGAGCGTGATTCTGTGGACCCGCGTGGCGCCCAGCTTGGACTCGGACAGGAGCAACGTCACGGTCGAGGGCACCGTCGATTTGTACAACCACGAGACTGAAAAGTACATTCAGGCGAGCGCCAACCCGATTTGCGTCGAGTGGAAGGTGTTCCAGGCGAGCGACGCGCAAAACACGACGACCGGCGACAGCACCAATGTCGTGTCCCAAGGAAAGGCCTACACGACCAGCGACATTGACTACACCGTCAAGGTGAGCTTGCCGTTATTATGCCTCGGCGACTTTGGTGTCTCATGTGACTGACTTGTGACTCAGGTCGAGGCCGGTGGCTTGCAGCCCTTCACGACTTACACGTACCAATTCAACATTTGCGGCTCAAACATCACCAGCCCGCTGGGACGCACCAAGACATCGCCAGCCAAGGATGCAGACGTGTCGGAGCTCAAGTTTGCTGTCTTCTCGTGTGCCAATTACCGTAGGCCTCATCAAGACGATTTGGGCAGTCGACAATCACTAACCGAGTCACAGCAAATGGTTACTTTAATGTATATGGCAACGCTGCCCGAAAGGATGAGCATGACTATGTGGTGAGTCGGCCTCCCCATTGGTTGCATAAGTGCTTGTCTGATCTCGTTTTATAGATTCACCTCGGCGACTACATCTACGAAAACGCTGTTCAAGGAGAGCGGGCTCACTCTCCGGCAAATCTTCTCTTTACTCTGTGGGATTACAGAGAGAGAATCGGACAGGTGAGGCCTCAAAGACAGAGAAATGCAAAGGGGGGAAATTTGCTGACAGAACCATGTAGTACCGTACAGATCCTGATCTTCAGCTGTTGACACAGAACTTTGCGTGGATCCCAACTTGGGACGATCACGAGGTCGCCAACAATGGCTATAGAGACGGTTTCAGCGCATTGAACAACACTGAAGAGTCCTTCCGAAACGATGGGCCCAGTATCAGCGTAGATCAACGCAAGATGAACGCCGTCCGTGCCTATTTTGAGTGGATTCCCATTCGGTCAGTATCATCCTGCACTCTCAAATCCTCTCTTTAACCAGACAAACAGACAAATTGACATGGACGACAACTTGCGCGTCTGGAGAAGCTTCCAAATGGGCAACCTACTGGACCTTATCATCCTCGACACCCGCAATTACGATCGCAGCATCACCTCTCTTGGTAGGTTACCTCTCCATCTGGGTCATTTATAAACCCCCAAGTACTTACAAAGCTGTCCAGGCTGGAACGACGACTATATTAGCTTGATCAATGACGATGCGTCGCGATCTCTGATGGGCTCGCACCAGGAGCACTGGTTCTATAATCAGCTGACGGCGTCGTCGGAGAGAGGTGCGACCTGGCGCGTAGTTGGAGACCAGATCATCTTCTCCCGCATCAGGGAGTCATTCGGCTGGAATGGGGACAATTGGAACGTGAGTTTGTTGCACTGTCGGGAGCTGACCGACAAGCAAATGTGTTACTGACATGACGGAACAGGGCTATGCGGCGAACAGAAACCGCACGTTTAAGCATCTCTACGACAACAATATCGGAAACAACATCTTCCTCGCTGGTGACTCTCACCAAAACTGGGTAAGAAAATGGATGCGTAACCTGAGGAAAAAGGAAAATAGGTACTGACAATAGTCCCTACCAGGTATCTGATCTCGCCTGGGTCGGATCCGAGGCCTACAACAACGGTACGGGCTCGGGCGCCATTGGCGTCGAATTCGCCGGTACCTCGGTGACCTCGAGCGGCGCCTCGGGCGACATTTTGACGACCAGGGCACTGGCGCAGGCGCGCATCGACGACGAGTGGAACTCGGAGCTCCAGTGGCAGGACGGGTACTATCGAGGATATTTCCTGCTGAGCGTCGACCCTGAAAAGGCCGTTGCGCAATTCTACGGTGAGCAAAAGCCCATAATCCGTGTCACTTTTTTTTTTTTTTTTTTTTTGGGCAGAACGTCAAAGCTGACAACCAGGAATCCCAGGCTCCCCCAGTGTGGCTTCGAGAAACCCTTGGAGCATTCCTCTAGCCAATTTCACCGTCCTGGCCAACGAGAACCACTTGTCGCGGCCCGTCGCCGGCGGTTCCGTCGAGGCCGGAGCATTGCGCGGAGGACAGGTGAACCCCACCAACCTGACGCAGAACACGGAGACAGGCGAGTGGGAGGTGATTGGATTCCCGACCATGTATATATCCTCTTGATACCCCAGAAGGAAAGAGAGCGTGTTGGAATCCCATGCATACGTCAGCGTGCATATAATAATATTTACAGTGTTGTTTCTATGATTGTTCATCTCATCATGTTGATTTTCATTGCAGCACCCTGATACTGTCCAGTGTCGTATGTCCACCAGCAATGTCTGGACTCTGGCGCTTGCAAATACCGATTTCCACCGACGCCCAGGCCGACGAGGTTGGTGGGGACGATAATAAAGTTCATAAGATGCACACCTTCAACAAGCTCGGGAACCATTTCAAAAGCACATGTAAAATGTAATGCTAAAAAGTCTCAATCATGCTCGAAACGTTGAGCCGCAGTAAAAGGTGCACGGGGTCTTGTTGAGGCCAGGTCACGTGATTGACAGCTAGTTGAACCTCGGCTAAGATCCGTCTTTTTATGGAGCGCCGAATAGATCAGCCGCTATCAATGGAATGAAATGGTGGTCATCAGTGGTGTAAGCTCCAGGGAAGCTCCAGTCAAAGGTGTCCCCTACCCTCCTTATTCTGTGAGCATGGGTAGGTAACGGTAACAGACGGCTTCGCTCTCCGGCAACTCTTGTAGACCCGACGCACACTCATCAACCAAGCAACGGAGAATAATCACGGGAAACTTTGTGTGTGTGTGTAACTACTAAAATTGGCATATATTTGCCGCATCATTTAAAGATTTATTTCTTCTTAATTCATTCCCACTTTTTGTAACCTCTATTTCATTTGGCTTTTGTACGAGGCACTCTCATAATACTCCGGGAAAATGGTCGCTGTTCCTAGCAAGGCGGCGCCTCGCCAGTCGCTGACCGTGGTGGACAACCGGACGGGACAGACCTATGAGGTCCCCATCAAGCACAACTCGGTCCTGGCCACTGACATCAAGAAGATCAAGGCCAAGGGAGGACCGGCCGAGGATGAGACGGATCAGGGTCTGCGGGTGTACGATCCCGCGTACATGAACACGGCAGTCATTCAGAGCAAGATCACGTACATCAACGGCCAGGAGGGTGTTTTGCGGTACCGTGGCTACCCCATCCAGCAGCTGGTCAAGAAGAGCAACTTTCTCGAGTCGGCCTATCTGCTCATCTATGGGGAGCTGCCCACCCAGTCCCGCTATGACGACTGGCAGAACGAGGTCCTGAACCACACCTACATCCACAGCGACATTGAGGGCATGTTCAAGTCGTTCCGCTACGACTCCCACCCCATGTCCATGCTGACGTCGGCCTTTGCCACGCTGGGCTCCTTTGCCCCCGAGGCCAACCCGTCGCTCGCGGGCCAAAAGCTCTACACCAACGCCGCCTCGGGCAACCCCGCGGCTCTCGAGGTGCTGGACAAGCAGATTCTGAGAATCATTGGCAAGGCGCCCACCTTGGCCGCGGCCGCGTACCGGATGCGCCAGGGCCGCCCGTTCAACCGGCCCGCCAAGGGCTTGTCCTACACGGGCAACTTTCTGTACCTGCTCGACCACCTCTCGGGCCACGAGTACCAGCCGCACCCGGTCCTTGAAAAGGCTCTCGACGCGCTCTTCATCATCCACGCCGACCACGAGGTCAACTGCTCCACGGCCACGGTCCTCCAGGTGGGAAGCTCCCTGGTAGACCCGTACAGCATGGTGGCAGCAGGCTGCGCCGCGCTGTACGGCCCCTCGCACGGCGGCGCCTCGGAGAGCGCGATCCGCATGCTCATTGAGATTGGCTCGCCCGACAAGGTGCCCGACTTCATGGCCCAGGTGGAGCGGCGCGAGCGCGTGCTGGTCGGCTTTGGCCACCGCGTCTACAAGAACGTGGACCCCCGCTCGACGGCGATCCGGGCCCTGGCCGAGGAGGTCTTCAAGGTGACGGGGCGCAACCAGCTGCTCGACACGGCCCTGGCCCTCGCCGAGTACGCCCAAAAGAGCGAGTTCATGCGCTCCCGCAACCTGTACCCCAACGTCGACTTCTACTCGGGCCTCATTTACCAGGCCATGGGCTTCCCGCTCGACTTTTACCCCGTGCTGTTTGCCGTGCCCCGCTGCGTCGGCTGGCTGGCGCACTGGCGGCAGATGATCCTGCAGCCGACCGGCGTCAAGATTTGGCGTCCGCGCCAGCTCTACCTCGGCGAGGGCGAGCGCGACTACATCGAGACCAAGGACAGAGAGGAGAAGCCCGGCAGCGCCGCGCCCGTCCAGGTCAACCACGGAGGCGACAGCAAGAGACATGTTCTCGCCACGTACAAGGACGAGACGGGCCGTGTCTGGGGCAAGAGCAAATTGTAGTTTGCACGGAAGGATTCGGGAAAAAGAAGTGTCTTGATGTACTCAGCGTATGTTTCTACCATGTACAGTTTTTTCTTATATATATTTTATTCTTGGATGATACTTGACTTGGTCCAAAATAGGAGGTTGTGCGAGTAGATGCGTCTATCCAAAACCTTGTGGTTGTTCAAACTTGAGAGCGTAGCCAGCCCACAAGCTCTTCTCACCTCGTTAAGCATAAGCTTATTTACAAAAAAGGAAGCATCGGAGGGGGTGACAATCGGTAGGTCAAAGTTTCATTTGCTCTACATACGATTACAACCGTCCTGCGTAACAAAGGTGAGTCCTCATTCTAGGCCAGGGTATATGCACATTTGCGTTCATATAATCAGCTATTTACCACCATAAACTAAACGTCTTCGCCTCCTCCGGGGCGGTCTCGGGGGTTTCTGGTGCCAGATGATAGACTGGGGATGTGGCGGCTCGGCGCTCTTGCTCTTGGTGTTCCATTTGTCCTGCTGCAGGAGACACAATACCGGCTTCCGCGCCTCTGTCGTTGGAATCCGTCTGCGAACCTGAATTCCGGGCCCTTTCCTCTGCCTCTAATCGGGTTGCCTCTTGTCCCTTTTGGATACGCTCGGGCGCCCGCTCCGGTATAGCCGGCTCCGCTCCAAAGCTATCCTCAGCTCTTTGTCTCTGTGTTGTCGGCTCTGCTAATGGCTGTCGCGGCCGTGGGCTAACTGGTATCAACTTAGCCACTTCCTGGAGTGAACTGATCAGCGGCTCGAGTGATTCCGGGCTGTAATCCGAGGTCCCAGCACTGGTAAGATGCGAGGTTGCTCGTGTTCGTGTTGTGGCGGGACTCGGGGGCTCATTGACAGGTCGAGACAACGGCTGCGGTTGCTGCTGCTGTTGCGATGCGTGCCTCCAGTGCTCCTCCATTTTCCCCAAGGTCTCCAACAGTCCGGGCAGTGACCGAAGCCAGAGGTCGCCATTGCGTTCGATGCGACGGATCCGTCTCTCAACGTCGCGCAGCCGTCGCTCCCGTAAGTATTCATGTCGGCGCTGGAGCTGTTCTGGGTTCAGTGGTGCGCTTGTCGCCTCTGCTCTAGCTCCGGCACCGTCTAGAGCCTCGCGAGTTGTGCGTACATCACGCTCGATCCGTCTCTGTATCTGGCGCAGGCTCGACAGCCGGTCGAAGGAGTGTACGAAAGAGCTTGAGGAGGACGTCGTCGTGCTACTCCTGAATGAGCCCATTGACGCCTGCCGGCTGGGTTTGAGGATACTGACCGGGGAATTTGTGGGAGCTTCAGACTGGCCTGCTGAAGGAATCCGAGGAATTGCTGTCGATGGTCTTGATTGGTCCGCCTTTGCGGTGTGCGGGATTCTCGAGCGAATTGGTATGGGTCTGGTGTCGGTCTGGTCAGAGACAGAAGACACACGCCTCAGGTGGTGAGAGGCTGTCGAGGAAGGCGGTGCATCAGAAAAGAATACATCCTGACTCGTCTTGCCCTTCCTGTTGCTATGGAGGTCCATATGTTTTCGCTGACGAACCTTCTCTTTTCGACTGAGGGCCTTGTGAAGGTGGTGCATGGTGGTGATATCTGTCTGGGCAGAGCGGCTGACAGCTGCGGCCGAGTGCAGTGGGGAGCTGGTGGCCCCGTCTGTACTTGAGGACGGTTCAGCACTCGCTTCTGCCGAATCACCCAGCACGAGAGGAACGGCCTCGGCCCTATGCGCTGTTGCAGCCTGGGCATCCATGACCCGTGGTTCAGAGTCAATAGTGACAACACTACCAATACGTGGGCGCAGAATATTGGCCTCAGGAGAAGGAGGGTTGTTGCCATATGCACTACTGCTCTGAGCACCTGGCGAGGACTTTTGTGAAAATGATGGACTCAGCAAGCCAGGTATCGATCTTTGCCCTCCAAACGTCGATCTCTTGCTCGTTTTTCTTGGTGGCAACTTCAAGCCAATGTCGCTCGTGGCTGCAGGCGTTATGGGTGTGCCAGCCTGTGAGCTGCTGCCTTGGCTACTGAGATCTTTGCCATCGTCAGCCTGTGGTTGGTTCACCAACTCGACATTGGATTTCGGTCGCGGTGACGATGCAATCCTTCCTGTTTGCCGAGCTAGTGTAGGTGTAACATCTGGTACAATCACTATGGGCTGCGGTCTTCGCCTTGCCCCAGATTCCTCCGCTGTCGATCTTGCCTCCGACGGCCGTCGCGCTGCCGGGCCCAAGCCAGTCGCATGCGGTCGCGTCTGTTTAGGCGGAGGGGTCGCATCTAATGGCAAAGCGTTACCCGAGTCTCTAGCCGGGCGATGTACCCGACTTGATGATGGGCGCTTCATGGAGCTCGTTCGAGGAGGCCTTGGGGGGGCCTCGCGAGCGCTTATAGGTTTTGGTTCTCGGGCTTCTGCAACGGGTTGCAATACAGTGCCCGCCCCTTGGTCAGAGCTGTACGGACGGAGTGATGCCAGCCTCGTTTCGACGACACCCAGTCTCTCCTCGATATCATGCGTTGACTCCTGCTCTAACGGCTCCACTACGGTGGAACGACGTCTCGACTGTCGCCTGCCGTGAGAGGCGTAGCTATGCTCCACGGGAATAGAAATTGCAATATGCCGGTAGCCTCCCGAGGTGGTAGAAGCAACAGCCGAATCTGGTAGCTGGATGGTAATGGGACCGGGGCGCCTGCGACTCTTTCGACGAAAGGGATTGAGTGCTCTCCTCCATCTGCTGCCCTCGATGGATGCGGCGTCGTCGGGTATAGACATGTGATTCCCTGGTGGTGGTGTTCTCCGAAGGAATTCAATGAGATACCTCAAGCTCTCCTCGTCCCCGGGGTCGCCTCCATTTGAACTACTCCGCAGCTGTCGGGCTGGTTTGCCTGCAGAGTGCCATGCGGGTCGGGTGTCCGACGTTCGTGATGCCTCGCCCTGCCGTCCACCTTGAGGATCGATTTGCATCTGCTGACCTCCTCCATCTCCAGGACGCCATGCTTCTCCTTGCTCCGTCGGCTGCGGTGCAGAGGCGATCCCTTGATGCCTTGCAGTGGGTGTGTTGCGCGGCTCCGTTGCCTCTATGAACCGACCCGGCCTCCGTCTGAGCGGCATAGCTGCAAACCCGGGTCGTTTATCACTTGCAGGTCGACGACATTAGTTTCGAAAGAGAGCCCGAGCCGGCGTACAAGCACATTTTTATTCCATGCTGGCTCGCACAGGTAGCGAGACCGACCCTTTTTTTTTTCTTTTTTTTTTTTTTCGATTCATTGCCATCCCTCCCTTTGCCCAATGAACCGCGCTGAAGCGGTTTGACGGAAAGCCTACCAAGGGAGTCATGCTCTAGTCGGAAGAAGTAAAGTGGTTCGAGAAACTGGGTTTCGAACTGCGCGGATACCGATGTGCATGGGCAAATGAAGGTGTCATAAAACTTTATGGTGCTGGCACCAGCAAAGCTTAAGGAGACTTGGGAGCAAAACAGGCAAAAAAGGAGAGCAGAGCCATGCATTTAGGTATATGCGAGGTAAAGTATAGAAGTGTAAAGTGGAGTGCTGAGGACCTGCAGTGGCGGCGACGAGAGAAGGAACAAGAGAAGTTGGACAAAATGTAAAACATTTAGATTGAAAGGGAGGAATCGACTATTTCTTTTCCCGGGGTATTTCTTTTTTGAGAACACATTATTGGCTAGGGAAGAGATGCCCAGGTACCAAGCACCTATGTAAGCTAGATGAAGGTTACACGTGCAGATGTGCAGATTCCCAGGCGAGTTTGATTGAGTGATTTCACGGCTACGGTCAGTATGATTTCCATGCATCGTATCTTGTACAACATGTCCATGGTCGCCTGTCGATAATTGCCGACATGTTGAAGACACTCAAATCATACATCTACAACAAATAGCGTATATGAATGCATGATGCGCAACGCAATTCGATAATTACATTTGCATGTACCTTAGGTACGAATATCTGGGAAATATGCACTAGATATGTAAAGCCGCAGAGGGCTTGGTAGCGGATTGGCGGACATCTAGCAAGCGCTTCCGGATCTAGGTTTGGGGAACGATCCACTGAATTAGTGCCCGTCTTAAGCTTCGGCCCGCAGCGGCTGTTTTTAGTGATGGCGTTTCAGATCCATATCCACATTTTCGAATTCTCTTTGAACTGATTCTATTATACGAGGTAGTTTCCTGCAAGCCATTTATACATGAACATGAGAACATCTGATCGGTCGTCAAAGAGGACGTACAAATCTGTGGTTCGACGGGGGTGACGTAGTTTACTTCTTGGCGGGGTCGTTCGTCTCTGGTACCCCGCTTCAACTACATACTTCGCCCATTACGAGCCATCATCATCCTTGGTTCCATTGTGCTATCATTGCCATTGTAGTGTCGAGATGGATGCACCCGACTCTTGCCATTATCGCTTGATCGCCTGACGAGATGATCATATCGCTGACATATGCCAGCACATTCTCAGCCGTTTGACTCATCGCTTAGTCTGTCAAAGACGAGCCTGTTCTTGATACCAATCAGGTCTCGACAAGAGGCTAGGATCTACAAGCCTCGAGGAAACACGGCATGAGGGATTGATATTAACGACCAGTCTGCCACCACATGCCCTTTTCAAAAAGTCTGGATATGCAAGCAGCCGAACAAGATCACCTCATTACTCCGTAGATAAAGACAGCCAAGCGGGCCACAAGTCGTTAGGCACACATACTTACTTACACGTACCGCCTACCGGGGATCCGATCAAGGCCCGGGTCCACGGCAGACAGGGGACTAGGATCACCAAGCAGAAGACCAAAAGTTCCTTGCACATTTCGACGCGACTGGGACTTTTCTAGTATGGATGACCTTCCACAGTACACGTACACGAGCGGTTAGTGTAGGTCGTGTATGTACTTTACAAATGAATGACGAATCCTCAATTGCTTGCGCCATGCCAACGAATCCGCAGCAGTACGCAAAAACGCAAGCACGATTTCAAGCACATCGCCTACCTTGGCGCAGAGGCAATCGATAATCGCCCGTCATTCGAGGTTCGTCTCTAATGTAAAGTACAGAGCATCAGAAATCTACATGTGGGCTTGCTTCACGGACGGATACACAGCCCATCCCCGCGAATCCTTATTCAACAGAAGAGAGTTTGTTCGGCACTTCTCGGTCTGGACAAGCATATCTGTAGGGGGGTGGCATGCCACCACCTGCACGCCATCAATGCCCCTTGGCTACGCTGGATCTACAGTACAGACAGAGTATACCTACCCAATGGGCCACCCGGCCACGGCTCTATGTCCTTCCTCGTTTGGATTTTCTGCTCTCTAATGTCGTGATGTCTGTCCTGATTAAGCTTTCATTGATGGATTGTAACACTTCCGCTTCCTGATTGTGGTCTGGTCATTTGATCATACCAAATCAAGCTCTTGCGCCAATCTCGGTTCCTTGCGTGCTCGACACCTTTTCACCACGCAAGGAAATAGATCTTGAGACCACCACATATGATGCGTTGGAAAAGATAGTTTTAGTAAAGGTTATAATTATTCCCAAGCTCGTCGAGGTTTTAACAACTCATGTCCAGATTCTATCTCCAGACAACTGCAAATTTTCTCTACGCCCAGCATGAAGCCGTAGCGGCAGAGATATTCCACCCATAGGATCACAACAAGAGAAGATGCTCGGTCGCCTGAGTCAGAGAGAAGACGCCCAGCAACAAAGACACTCCGTACATGGCAAGTGGGACCCTAACATATACGCCCTGGGCGTTTATCTGGCTATCTACGGAAGATATTCGCCGCAACCACTGCGCCGTATTCCGCAGTTCTCGGACTGTGGATCCAAAGAAGGACGAGAAGTGCTGCGCGATCAGACGTGAAAATGATTGCAGCCCGCCCGCCATTGGTGGTTAAGCTTGATCTAGAGGACGACTCTAGCAGGTTTTTTAAGGGCCTCTTGTGTTTAGGAAGCGTCCATGTGCCATGAATAATAAAAAGAACCATGAAAAGAAAGCATGCGAGGAAGGTCGAGTATTCGTATAGCATTTGCGGGGACCGGACCATTGATAGCGTGGGCTAAATCACTGGGCGTTCCAGTTTGCCCTGGTTGCCCCTCCATGAATGTCGGGTTCGTTGCTTGTCAGTTGGCGGGGTTAGCGCTCGTAAACGTCCGTGATAAGCTTGATTCGTCATCTGGAATATCGGAGTAGCCACGTCAGAAGAGAATTCGCGGCTCAACAGCTAGCCCAGCTCGCCTAGGAGATCAATTAACTTGCTATGTCGGGTTGCAAATGGTCTTTCTTATTTTGGACTATAGGAATCCTGAAATTGAAGAGGATCCAAGAGGCGAAAACGCAGGCCTCCAATTTAAGAAACATTACCCCAGAGTGCCGAACTACCATGTAGTCGCTAATGCATGCCGACAGGGTAGGTAGATAGCTGTAGGTAGGTACGATAGTAGTAGGTACAACGGAATGTCTGGTGGGCGAACATCCGAGAGGCACTCGAAGGAGGCCCGGAGCATGTAGGTCTTGTAGGTAGTGTACGTAGTAGGTGGGCGTGCCCACTGTTGGGCAGTTCCTTGGGTCACGCAGTACGGACCAAACTGCTAATTCTACCTGGTAGTAATCCACCAGACGAAACTATTAAAAACATACCTACACATTATACCCGTTATCCCCATTCGCGACCAGGAGGCCATTTACACCACATCACTACATCTTCTTTCTTGACAATATGCTTGTCTGATGCAATAATTCTATCGTCTCGCCCCGGGACAGCTGGTTGCGCTAATATCCACCAAGCCAGACCGCTGAAAGGGGACTATCCCCTTTGAATTGGGCCTCAAAAGCATTCCCTCTACTTAACCACCATGCTTCCGCGCTTCTCCCTTCCATTTGTTCTTACCCAGACGACACCACGATCCGAGCACTCTTGCAGCGAGGGAGGCAACAACACGAAGGAAGGGCAATCTGGAATGCGTTTGCTTTCCTCCTCAATGGTTATACTGGGTTCTGATTTCTGTTTCATATCTTTCGACAACCCTTGAGTGGCCATTGCTGCCACAGTTGATTTGCCGCAAGTCTCATCTAGCCCAGCTCTACCAACACCGCCGCCGCCGCCACCTTCAACTTCCATCCACAACCTACAAACCAGATCCTCCCCTTCTCCCGTGACTGGGATTCCTATGCCGCCTGTCCTTGGTGATTAAGATGTCTGAACAACGGTCGGCTCCAGAGGACGAGTCGGCCGCCTTTTTCAGCGACTTGAAGCTTGAAGCCCCGTACCCCAGTGACACCAGCTACCCCAATTCACTGGACATTCCCGGGCAGCCCAGCGGCGGCGACCCCTGGTTTCCATCTACCCACAACCTCCCCCACAGCTGGAGTGATAACAACAGCTCTTATCCGCCCTATAACCCAGCGGGCTATGGAAGCTCCCCAGGGGTCTCAAACAGTCCATGGCCAGGTTATGAGCACAGCGTGGAGGCAAACTCTAATAACCCAACTTATTATCCAAACTCGCCGAGCTATGCTATTGCAGACCAGTTATCACCATCTGAACAGGCATTCTACAACACAAATGGTAATGCATCTGTGGTAGGAGACCCCACCCTCCCTCTCAACTACCACCGGCAGCCAGAGCTTCTTTATCCATCTGCCCCATCTGTTCCCTCTGCTCCATCGGCTACATCAGATGTATTGTCTGCTCAATCTGTTCCCTTTTCTGCCCTATTCACTAGGGCAGATGATTCCACCAATTTAAGCTCTTACCCTTTTTCAGGGACATCCTATCGGTCAAGGTATGTTTTCTTTTCTGGAAGCCCAGCCGCAACAGACAAAGGTTCTAACTAACCGTATCCAGGCCAGCCACTGAGCGATCTTTTGGAAGTTCTCCCGAAAAGCCGTTCGAATGCGATCAGTGCGGATCCCGGTTCTCGACTCGCAAGGATCTTGGTCGCCACAAGCCCACACATAAACAATGGCCCGAAGGGCAAAGAGTCAACGGATTATACCACTGTCGTTGCGGCGTACGGGGCCATCGGAAAGACAACTATAAACGCCATCAGAGATCATGCGTCCCCAAGAACTTTACACACGACATGTTTATCTGTAAATGTTCTTTCGAGACTAGTGAGCAGACCGAGCACCTGCTCCATATCGAAGTATGCCGACATGGTACAAAACCCCGAGGACGGCCCCCTCGCTCAAGGGCAGCGAGCGAGCTACTTTGACGATTGAGCAGCCTCATGCATACTTTTTATAGGGCATCTCGTCCAATACCAATAAAGCCGACACCCCAGCAAGGTTTTCTATGTATGAGAAGGACTCAAGAGGGCAGCACTTTCAATGAATATTTTATATCTTATATCATGTATGGAAGAAAGTTATCTACTTCGTTCCAATAGACATATCATGTATGTATGACCCGCTTTCATGATACCAAGCGGTGGCGCCATGAGCGCCTGAACATTATAGCCCAACATTTCGGATTAGCGTTTAAATTATATACACCGCTCGTTGTTTTCCATATCTTCCGAATCAAGGGCGTTTTCTAGTATCTTCACTTTAGACCTTGTCCCGACGATCATTGCAAACCAATGGAACCACCGGGGCTTTCGGAAGGACTGAACCGAAGTGTGTGTTTGATGCCTTGAATGGCACAGATTGAGGCCAATTCTATGGCATTCACAATCCGTGAGTGATGCAACTATTGCCCTGCTTTACCTGAGATTAGAACTTTCTTTATCCCGCAGAAAATAGCCCCCAGCCCGCAAGCCATGACGAATGTTACACGTTTACAGACGATATTGAACAAGACATCTAGTGCAGGTGTCGCAATGCAAGCACTGCAAGCCGACGCCGTTGGTTGCAGATAAATGAGCACATGATTCATATAATTGCTCATAAAAGGGCCTCAAGGTGTCGGGAGTCATGTTTCGCCCGGTCTGGATGGGAAACCATTACCGTGAGGCCAATTTCCCTCATTGGTCCGCCAAAATATGAGGACCATTTCCTCCCCCAGCGCACAGCCGCATGGCCATCGGGTGTCTACGGCTCGTTGATATTTGTGAATTGAGGCCCATTATCTCATACTTTTCGTTCACCCTTGGCTCTCTGGAAAAGGTTTTGATCGGTGAGCTTCATTCTTCTATTGTTACCATTTAGACTCCTTCTGTGGGGGGGCGGCAGCAACCCTTCCGACGACGGGCGAAACAAGGCTTCTATTTGGAATCATTCAAGGACTGAGGACAATCATACTTCCCATCCTTGATTCAGCTGAGGATTATGTAGGATGCTCAGGCAGAGATATGACAGAGGGATATAATAACCACCTCTTTGCACTTTCCTTCTCCTCTATCAATCTGACATTGCACCAGTCTTTTCTCATGCCCACTGCCAATTCCTCCATCTAGATGATGATGCCATTGTGATTCAGAACTTCTAGACCATGCCGGGGATAATAAGATCAGCAAGTCGTCCACCAAGACAATTTTCAAATCCCAAAGACCCCGGCGGTCACAATGATGATGACAATCAAAGCGACAGCAGCGGCAGCAGTCACCAAAACCACCGGTGCTGCAGCAGTAGCAGTACCCAGCAACAACATGATAGTTATTATACGTTAGACCTGCCGTACACGGCATACCGCGGAGCCTTCCTCGGAGGTCATTACCGACTACACCAACTACGCCTACAGACCGAGTTCCTCGACATCTTCTCCGTCGTGTGCCTCTGCGGGCGCGTCTTTGAGGCCCAGGCCTTTTCGCTCTCGCTGGGCGCCGACGCCCCGGAGCGCGGCCTGCCCCTGCCCAAGCAGCTCATGGACTCGCGCCGGCGCCGCATGAAGCGCATCTACCGCTCCGACAACTTTGTCGACGTCTTTGAGGACTCGGGCAAGCGCTTTCTCGTCTCCAAGGTCGACCGGACCGAGAAGGAGTGGCGCGACGTCTGTGATCAGGTCATCTGCCGCGACGTCGACTATGCCGCCGATTTGCCCGCGAGGCTCGTCGGGGGCCGACGGCTGCAGAAGCGTGGTCGCCATCATGGTGGTGGTGGTGCCTGTTGCGAAATAGACCGCCGCCTTGGGTCTACCTCCGCAGATGTGAGTATCTCTCTCTGCCTAGTTGATGATAAAGCTGACTTGTCAGATGTATACTCGTACCGATGTGTACCCATCTACAATGCGGCACGATGATGAAAAAATACCTACTAGCTATGCACACGCTTTGATGAAAGGACTGAAGCAAAAATGTTGATCGAAACCAATGGATGATGGTGAACCGCAAGATTGTGCACACTCTGTGGAAACACGCGAGGATTTCAGCAGGTTTCCCGTACAGTTCTTTCGCAATCAGAGTTGGGTCGTTGCCTATAAACTACTTCATTATCAAGTTCGAGTCTTAGTATGACCATTAGATAGCAGGAAACAGAATCTATCAAATAGCATTCATCGCCGTGGACCTTTCCAACAAAACTGTAGCCATGGCTTGAGATTTTGCCACCCTCATGTGGGCCCAACAAACCTTTTGCACCATATATCTGTCTGTGGTGCCGAATAGGGAAGCGATAGGTGACTTGGCAGGCGGCCTTCGATCCCATGCCCAACCGATTATTCCCAAGAGAGCGTCGTTTCAAATCACGTAGAATATCATGGTCATCATTATTGAGCGAGATGACTCCTGCTTGGGTGTTGATGCTACGCACATCGGAGCCCTTCCTGTGAGCTCCTCCAGCGATTCAACACATCCAGCCACTCTTGAGCACACTCGGCCGTTTCCCACTCGTCCTCGTCACCCTGCGGCGCATCAATTAGAGCCTTGACCTGGGGATATATCGACTCCCAGCTCCGCCCGACTGGAACGTGGTCCTGGACAAAACGCAAGAGATTATTAATCCAACCCCCATCGCCCCGTGACTCCTTCAAGATCTTTTGTATGGGCATGACGGCGATTTGTGGGAACCGCGCCAGCTGCTCCTCGCAGGGTTTGTAGGGCGGCCAGTTGCCGTCTTGCAGCCAAGAGAGCAGATCGTGCACGAACGGACGCATCTCCCGCGCCGTGCGCACGCGCTCGCGCAGGCTGCGCGTCCCCATGTAGTCGGCCTTGTGCTCGGAGACCCAGGCCTCGTCGCGGCGGTCCACGAAGCGCAGCAGATCCTTGGCCTGCGGCGATACCCAGCCCGTAAACAAGCGGTCGCCGCGGCCCTCGGCGTCGGGGTCCGACACGGCGACGAGGGTCTCGCGGTAGGGCAGGATTTGGTCCTCGGGAAGCTCGCAGACTACGAGGTGGAGCGCCCCGAGCACCCGATGCAGGTCGTCCTCCGAGTTGACTGGCTGCGTGATTATAGCCGCGATGGCCGAGACCACGGCCGGCTCATTTGCTCGCCTTTGGACAATATCGAGAAATTTGGTGTAAAATGGTGTCTTTGACTCGGCGGCACCCACACCTCCGCGTCTAGATAATCTCGGAATCACCTCCGTGACAAGGGTCGCGAACGTTTCCGTGTCGAGAGCCTCTAGTGAGGCAATTGGTGAGATGTCATTTAGATCCCGAGGTATCGTTTTATCAAACAAGGCCGACGGCATGGTGCTTTGTAATAATGGTTAATAGGTGTTGTTCATATTGTCCGAGTCTTGCGCAGTATTGGACGTCTTATTTATTAACCATTCGGCCGTGACTCAAGAGAATTGGCCAGTGCCGAGAGCCACATGATTTGACCCACAAATCAGCCACATTCGCAATACAAATAGTACCAATAGTAATAGTAAGACTTGGAAGTTCTTAATCATATGTCATTCAATATCATAAGCCATAGATTCTTCTTAATATAAGTTCTATTCATCCTAACTATTTACACTCCTTTATTATCAAAACAAACAAATGCTGAAGAGAAGTCTTCCCGTGAATGATTGGTCAAATAACAAATGGGCCAAAACAGAGTAAACCAGCAACCATGACAATTACATTTTAGCCAGGCATGGAGAATCCCAAACAACGTCCAACTTAGCCTGTGCTCCCAAAAGAGATTAAATCCTTTTGCCACTGCGTATACTCGTGGTCAAGCAAAAGCAGCCAAAATGTCAACAAGAACTACCTAACAGGGTTGCAGGAGGAAGCATACAAAAGAAAAGGGGAAGCCTTCAACTCAGAAAGGCAAACCCGCATATGGGGCGACGCTGACAGTAGTCGGCATTGCATAAGTGAGTGTACTGAAAGTTATGGGCATAATGGCCGACGTGAGCGACAAATCTGAGATTTGTCGTGGCTCTACATGGCCATGATCAATATCAATACCGCCAGGACCGGCAAAGCCGCCGCTGTGCCCAGGTACGGCGTCAATGAACACATTGTCCGTCTGAAGGGCCGGGAGACGATCCGGGTGTTCGTCGCGAGCCTGGACGCTGGTCGTAGTGGTGGACGTGGGCGTGGCAGTGACGGTGACGGTCACGAATGCCCTGGGGGCAATGTGAGCAGGTATCGCAATGTTGATGCTTTGAGTCTGGTCGGCGCCAGCAGTGTGGTTGGTGGCCACCTCAACCAGTGGGCCGTCGCCTTGAACCACTCTACGCCGGAGGAACGACTCCGGGATTGGGCGACTGTTGAGACAGCCAGTGAAGCATACGACGGTCTCATTTGAAGCTGAAGTAGATACATGTTAGTCCAAGTGTTGTAGAATCAGAATTGATGAAAAAGAAGGGGGAAAAGGCCCAATTCTTTTTCAACTTACCGGGAAATGTGACGTTGCCAGCCGGCACGCACTTGGACTTGCAAGATCGACAGGCCTCAACACTGGCTTTGATTCTTTCCTCGGGAAAAGATTTTGCAAGAATGTTTTCCTGAGTGCGGCGGCCTTCGTTGGTAGAAAAGGTTGCAAACATGTTGGGCGGGCCGCCGGGCATGCCGGGCAGTTGATCATTCGGGCCTATGATGCCCGCCTCTCTAGCCTTGTCCGTCAACTCTTTGACTTCCTTGTCATCCTTTGCTATCCGCTGGTGTTCACCGTAGAGCAGCAGGCCTGTGGCAATGAGGGGTTCGAGCCAAAAGGCCAATATATAGGCGGGCTTTTCCATGAAGGTGAAGTACTCGATAATGCCTAGCACTTCGGGCACTCCTCCGGCAAAACCGATGAACTCCATGCACTCCAAGAACATACGAGACAGACCAGCCATAATACCAGCCATGTTGACAAGTTTGTGCTGATAATCAGTCTATGTGAAATTGCAGAGGGGTGGACAGGACCTTTGTTAGCTTGACGGCTTTGGTTATGGTTGATTGTGAAGCGCGATGGGGACAAGAATGGGGAAAGATGCTGAGAAGTATGAGGACAGTGAGAGAAGAGTAGATGAGGTGGCAGAATCCAGATTCTTATACCAATTTTCCTGCCTGAAAGTTATTGAGGCACTGTTCTGGTGACATTTTTGCCTTTTCATTTTCTTCCGCACCCGTTGGGCCGATGTAACAAAACCTTGTGTCCTTTCTCCGAAAGAGAGCATATCACAAGGCTGGACGAATCAGTGGTGGGCCTATTTTGAGGCGGCAACAAAATTTGAAATGGCCTGCAAGGTGAATGCATTCATATATCGCTTGTTCCATTGGGTACACGGCACTGGGCGGACACGAGACCAGCTAGATGCAACGTATTGGCTCTTTACACTTACATAATCATCGCCTTCTTCCGACGGACGAGCTTTTGAAGCAGTCGCTACCTTGATGTCGATGTAACAGATTTTTGCGGCAACCGTAAGAACCTACTTCTGATTTGTAGAATAGGGTTCTGGGATTTCGCGGTTCGCCGACAGTCACTGTGTTAATGTTTAAGCTACATATAACAAATGGTTCAATCCACGAACGAATCCCACCTGCAAATTCATGACACGGAGAAACCGCGGATCGAGAACACAATACCAAGGGATACCGTTGAATGGCCAAAGAGGCTCTCTATGCACCAGCCGCTTTGGTAGCAATGATTCAAGTACAATACTTTTGCGTTATGGACAACTAGGGGGCCTCTAAATTACCACGACTAGATGCATGAGTAGTATAATATATCACTGATGCATGGGGACTCGAGGTCATTTACACTGACCAGTGGTGTACCTGATAAATCCACAAGGTCATTTGTTGTCGGTTGTTTTTAACGAAAACAGTCCTCGCTAGATGATACTTTTGCATGCCTTGACAGGCTCGTTTAGTTCAAATATCAACGCATGGTTGCCATTTTCACCATCCGCATCAATAATAATGGGTGGTAGCACACCACAGTCCCGAGCCCTAGACAATCATTAAAGAGATTTCGGACGACCAGTAGCTATTCGGTGATTATGGTTTTGTGGCTTAGGTAGAGCTCCTTGCACTGGGGGCACCGCGTGACGCAAGTTCGATATATGGTTTTGTAGCTTCCGGAGGGGATTAGAGGCTTCTTTTGTACGTACACGCTTTCTCCAGTTTGTTTCTTGTCGGTGGTGAAGAAGTTGGTGATTTCCAATTCTATATTACGATAGTTTTGAAAGTCATTATGTAAATCCAGCAATCCGACAGACCGAGCCCCGTTTCACAGGCGCAAAACAAGCCTCCCATTTCTAGTAATTTATGCCGATTCACGATGGAGCATAAATCTCAAGAGACTTGGCAACTTCCGGGTGAATTGATGGCCAGGCCGAGATGTACGAGTTGGAAAGGGAATAGTAGCGGTTCGGGCTGGGCAATAGGGAATATATTTGCATACTCGGCTCCACCAAAAAAGGCACATGGTCTAGAACCTCGATGGTATCCAACAAGCCAAGCCAATGGTAGCAGCATTCTACAGGTAAAGCCCCACACTAACCTAGCGGCGATCTTGTACGAAACCGGTGCCGTCTTAGGACAGGGTCTGTCCCTTGTTGGCATTAAACACATGTTGGTATACAATCAAGGTCTGAGGGCATTTGAGCACTATGAGGCGGCTCCTCTCTCTGTCTCTCTCTGTAAGGGCAGAAGATGCCCGTGTAGCTTCTCTGAGTTGCAAGACCTTTACACAAAAAGTCCCGTCATCTAGCTGCCGTGAGCTATATGGTGCACCCAGAACAGGATGCGTGCATCGACAATCATAGGAAAAAAGAAGCAAAGACGTGGCTGCATCTGTCATTTTTGATTTCTGATTGGACCTGGCGCTCGATGATCTTGACAGCTCTCGGTCAATGCGCCCGTGGCGTGTCTCTCCTTCCGCCCATGAGCCGGAAAGCCGATCCCCAGAGGGCGTTTGAGAAACGACCTCACTCTGGATTTTTCCCCAGTCAATTCCATCTTGGCCCCATGGACTTCTTACTCCTATGCTTCTGCTATTCGACCCTTGCACCTTGGTCGTCTCAAGAACCATCGCAAAGTCTCTCGGCGTCTTGGTATAATACATTTATAAGTCGTGGAAGGTACCTGCTCGAATTTCCGAGGGGATCATCAGGCCGGACCTCTCAGCAACAACAAAGATTCAAAGATATTCTCTATTAATTTCGACTTGTCAACCAAAATCACCTTTTCATCCTCAAGAGACTGCCACTAGTTTTCCAACTACATAATTTGTACAACCCGGCCAGTCGAAGCCACATCTACACAGTAGATCGATCCCCACCAGACAAGCTTTCTTTCCCACCTCCACTCTCACCTCCCCCAGGACCGGCGCCTGTTCTTAATTAGGAATCTACAGTTCGACAACCCTGCCTACCTAGTAGACACTTCCTATCTACCTTTTTTCACCGTCTCTGTTCGAACCTCACACCTTTTGCGACCTTTCCTTCACTTGGAAAACGATGGCACCTCACGAGACGGGCACGACCATGGCCGCCACGGATATGGACATGGACATGGACATGTCGGGAACCTCTTCATCGTCGTCGAGCATGATGACCATGATGGCCGTCTTTTCCAACTCCATGGACACGCCGCTGTACTCGACGGGCTGGACGCCGGGCAGCACGGGCGAGTACGCGGCGACGTGCATCTTCCTCATCGTCCTGGGCGGCATCCTGCGCGGGCTGCTGGCCGCCAAGTCGCTGCAGGAGGCGCGCTGGCTGGACCGCGAGCTCGACCGCCGCTACGTGGCCGTCAAGGGCAAGCTCCCCGCCGCCGAGCAGATATCCCGCGACAGCCTGGCCAAGCGCATGACCATGACGCTGTCCGAGAACGGCGCCGAGGAGGATGTCATGGTGGTCCGGCGCCAGGGTGTCCCGACTCGTCCTTGGAGGTTATCTGTTGATCCCGTACGCGCCGTGATCGATACTGTTATTGCTGGAGTTGGTTATCTTCTGTGAGTTTGTCCTCTTTTCCCTTTGAGTTTGCCGAATTATATCTTGATCCAAGTACAAGACTGACTCGGAAATTTGCAAATAGCATGTTGGCTGTTATGACCATGAATGTCGGCTACTTCCTCTCTGTTCTTGGCGGTGTTTTCGTGGGCAGTTTGCTCGTCGGCCGCTACACAATTGCAGCAGAGCACTAGATGCTAGAATTCAAAGCCATTAGGGATATTCAAATTCTTTTCCTTCCTACGATATTCACCATTACAACCACCTACGACGATGATGACGGAACTACTCCTACAGGGCCAAGGCATTTCACGAAGAATCACGATAAAATGGCAACATGGCAGCGTCGGAACAGGGTCTATTTTTGAAGAGAAATATGCATTCATGAGGGAAAGCAAGGGTATGGGATCATCTCAAGCGATAGCGTTTACAATAAGGCGTTTTGGTGTTTTGGTCAAGACAATATCTTCAGTCCTGCTGCTGCAACATGTCGTTTTCCTTGATGGAGACATTGGTGTATTTGACCTTGTATCGGATGCACCCTTTCATGACTATTCCAGAGCAACTCGACAGTCTCTCTTGGGCATTTTTTTTTTTTTTTTACTCCAGCACCCAGCGCACAAGACCTTTTTGATTTCCTCGTTGAAAAGCGCTGTCCTCGGATTACCCTCGTTCTCTTGTGTTGCTTGTTCACTTACACGCGCCGCATTTCATGTCCAAAGTGTCCTAGTACAAGCGCCAATGAACCTTCTCAAACGCACTCAAACATGCTCAGACTTGCTTGATATGGTCTAGCGAGGCTTTTTGGCTTGACTGGACGGCTGGCCGCTCGGCTTGCAAAGCTTCAAGCTGCTTTTGCTCTTGCTCCGCCTTACATAACAATTGTCCTCGGCCAGGAATCTGGCGAGAGAAGGGCACGTCCCTGTCAGAGGGGTCCAGGGGAGGAGAGGTGAGAACTTTCATTCATTTTCCCCACCAGCCACTCTCAGAAATCAAAGGCGACCTGTCAAGCCACTCTGATGGCTCCACCCTTTGCCCAGAGGGAAAATGCCACAGATTTCCCCCCCTCTCAAGCCTCTTTGTGAGCGTACGTCCAGAACGGCGCGTCTCGCGGGGTTCCGACAATAGTCCCTCCGATGTTCATGCAAGTGGGAGGGTAATGTACGGACTCTACGGACGGAGTACGGAACTCAAAATTACCGTTGCCCGTAGACTTCTCCGGTGATGTATGTGTGTGTGTGTTTGTCATAGGCTATATATTCAGCTCCAAGGACTCCCAATTGCGACAAGTGGGAAAAAAAAGAATCTTTTCGGCATTACTGATAGATTTTTTTTTTTTTTTTTTTTTTTTTTCATTTCCCTTGTTGGGTATCTGTTTGTCAGCCCTTTTACGGTTTGTTTCTTACACACTTTCAACTTTCGTCTCTTTGCGCGCGCCGCCATTCCGCATCAGCCTAGCTCATTGCCTTTCCTGGAGAATCAGAAAAGAAGTGGTCTCATTTTTCATATTTTATGTTGCGCCTATTCCCTACATAGTCATCCGCTTTCCCCTTCTTCTTTTGGGACGGGAGAGGGGATCCAAAGAATCCACCTGCATGAATTGCACTTGGACCGAAAAGAATAAGAACAGCAAGCCTGGATTGCCGGGCATCCCGTGCAATGCCCAGCGCTCTCCCTCTGCGTTGTTACGCATACTGTTAGTGGTCTAGTCAACTGGAGCCTCCCTTTTGCCCGTTTCTTATTATGTATTGCATTTGTATTTTGTAGGGCTGTCGTGTTTCGTCATCAACGTCGAATCGGGAAAGGAGCCTTTTGGTTTTTTTTCTCTCTCTCACTCTTGTACAAATGAGTAAAGAAGACCTTTTACCCCTTCCCACCCTCCTTTTCCTCAATTCCACCCCTCTCCTCTTCAACCTTTGTTTTTCCATGTTTACTTTCAACCACTTTTGACCGTACTGCAACCACATTCCGACATCGCCATTTTAATATCCCGCCCAGCCTGTCGCAATTTGTGGCTTGGGCTATTAGGCGCACTCAAATTGGGACATGAAATGTAATCTGCGAGGTGGAGGGAGAAATGAGAAAAAGAAAGAAAGAGTGAAATGGAGGGGTTCTGCAAGTTCTCGGTTGCGGCGAGGATCAAAATACAAGAGCATTAGGGGTACGGCACGTCTCGACGACACTGCACATGGGGCAAAGGACAACAAAAACTGGCCGAATCGACACTCTCGACTCTTTTCGAATCTCTACCCGTCTGAGTAATCCGGCAAACACAATCCCGTGCGGTCCTGAAGCCCTGGGAAGTACTGGCTGCCATCATTGCCGAACCTGGGTATCGTTCCACAGGATCAGGTGATGGCATCAAGACGACTTGGTTGGACCAAGGCTGGCACACCTGGGAATGACTCGCCAAACGTTTCAACCAAAAGGCCCTTGTGGTCCATCCCAGCAAAGCCTGTCTCTCCAGGTTGATCGAGGAGCATGACAAATCTGAAGCTACAACACACAATTTGTTGCGGGAAGTAAAACAGTATACAGAAGATCACGAATTGATATCACCAAAGGTAAGTGGTGATGGGTGGATGTATTGCTTATCATTTTGTTGTCCTATATCAAGGTAGGAATGCGCCGTCTTGGACCCCAATCGACCTGCGGTGAAGCTGGCCTCTCTAACCGCCAAACCCTTTTGTGGCTTCCACCAGCCAGCCAAGTGTCACGCCTCTCCATCTCATAACGGTATATGTGCAAGATCATAACAGGTAATGGAAGGACGTATCACAAACACACCAGTCGCTGATTCATGCCGAAGACGTACGCCCAGAGGATTCATTGCAGCCTATCTCAGGTGCTTCGAATAAAAAGGGAAACGTTTTCGCGCACAGGACGCTGGTGACCAGTGAGGCATCTCGTCGCAGGGAACATTGGAAATACGTGCCGCAAAATGTGTCTGGCAGAAATCAAGTTTACTGCTACAAATTTTGGACTCGCGAAGATCCGAATATGGCCGCTTGAGATAAGTCTCGAGAGGTGTCCGAGACTTTCACAAGCAGGGCCTTTTCCGAAGAAAGTCAATCCTCGTGTAGAGACCAGCCTGACAACGCTTCGGCTGCCAGCATTCTGGTCCTTATCCAGGAGAATAGGGAGAATCGAGAGTTGTCGATTTCAGGGAGGATGCGATTGCTGAGAATGCAAACGCAACTGTTCCTCGATAACCGGCGTGTGATTAGTAGTGTTGCATGTCGAATAAGTCATCAAACATAAAGACTTGTCCGTGGTATATGCCATGAAAGTAGTCGTGAAAGGGTGGAAACAAGGTGCAATGAGAGACTCGCGAAAGAGGGGGAAAAATGAAAATCCGGAACGGGCATCAACGCCAGAACCACAATGCTTGATATTATGACTGTTGATGTGCTTTAAATTGGAGGTGACTGAAAAGGAAACCTCATAAATGCATTCAAGAAGGGGTATCGTATCAGGGCGTATGAACAGGGGCCAGTCAAAAGTTCTCTGATCCTAAGACTGGTGTGATGCGTGAGATGGCATGCCCTGCTGAGGTGGCATGGCGTACTGCGACCCCTGTTGTCGCTGGACATAATTCTGGTATGCCATAGCCTGCTGAGCATCCATGGGAACGTTTGGAATTCCGTAGTTGCCAGGCATGTGAGCTGGTGGCATACCCGGTCGATTGGACTGAGGTGGGAGGTGAACATTGGAGGGCTCCTCCGGCGATTCTACCTGGTTGGAATCGTCGACGTCGCCATTCTGCGACGGCTCCGGCGCGTTCAAGCAAGCCTGTGCAAACGGTGTGAGCTACTGTCCGAGGTTTTGATGGGAATGGGGGTATGGGCCAGAATACATACCTGGATAAGGTTCTTGCCCTCGGCTTTCGTGACCAGAGGCTGCAGCTTGGGAGTAGTGAAGGTATAGACCAGACCAGTTTCAGATACAACAAGCAAGAGAACTTGGGTGCCGGTGAGAACAGATAATTCATAGGCCTATAGAGCGACGAGTTGTTAGCGTGATTTTTCACATAGACTCGCGCTCAACACCGAGTCGAATCATGGTGACGCGTCCGAGCTGCATCGGATAAAGCAACAATGAACTCAAAAATTTCAACGAGGTTAAAAAAAAAGGTTGAGGGCGAAAGACTGCGAAGGAGTGACACAGGGTGCCCATGCCAGAACGCGATGAGAAAGTCGCGACACGAACAGGGAACTGGCTCGAGTTGAGTGGGATCTTCGTACCTTCTTCATGATACCAGCCTTTCGCTTGGAAAAGGTGATGTGACGACGCGACTTGTCGGTAATGAACTTGATCTCAATCTTGCGACGCTCGCGTCCACCCTTCTCGTCATCGTCGTCGTCGTCCTCGGCAATGCTGCCGCGAGGTCGCTTTACACCACGGCTCTCAGCACCGCTGTTGCCATTGCCGACGGCGTGAGAGTCGTCGAGGTCGCCGGCGGCGGATTGGTCGTGTTGGTCGGTGATGTCGGCCATTATCTATGTTTGTGGTAGAAGGAGAGACGACGAAAGAGGATATGCGACGACGGTATCACGAAGAAAAGGCAAAAAAGGTGGTGGAGATGCTCGATTGAGTGTGGTGCCGATGACCTAGGCTCCTTCTGGCGTTGATGCGTGGAGAGGAAATTCTGTAGCAGGCTACGGGTTACTCGACTTGTCTTGTTGTAGTAGGCGGTGGCCCCAGCAAATGGCTTTGCGCTTTGCAGGAATAGGAACGCAATGTGTCAAGTCAAATGGGGAAAGACAAACTTACTGTTTTGAGTCTGGTCTGATCCTGACTTCAAGGAAGGCGCGAAAGAATCCAAATGGGATATCAAGGCGAACGGAGGGGGAGAATCGCGGCGCCTGCGTTGATTCTTATTTGCTTTGTCCAGCTGAGAAACCAGATGAACAGTAGAGAGGCCGTTAGATTTGGGATGTTGGGCTTCCTGATTAGGAATTTCGAGAGTGCAGAGGGTAGGCTTGTGCTTTTATGGGAGGGCGCGCAAACCGGTCAATGCTTTTTGGGCCTACTAGTACTTCGATACTTGACGAACCACGAGGGAGTTTGGGGGAGCTCAAGGTATGTACCTGCTCTTGCCTGTCTGCTTTGCCTACCTGCCCTGCCTGCCTGGTTGCTTGTTTGCTTGCTTGCTTGCCTGGGTGTGTGGGCTGGCAGCAGAAAAGAAGCGCCTTTTTAGAGCTGGGAGCCCTGGACAATTCTGATGAACTTCTTTTCGAGTGCGGGCACCAGACTGATGCTGGTGCTGGTTGGCTGGCTGGCGGGCTGGTCTTTTCGGGTGGACTTGGGTGGGCTGGGTGCAAGGTTCCTATGAGGTGGTAGGTCGCTCCCCTGCCTTGGCGGAGGGTTCGCAGCGGGTCGACTATTTTTTTTTCTTTGGTACCTGGGAAACAAAGTGGAAGATGGGCGATTTGGGCTGGTCCGTAGGGGAGGGCAAAGGTACACAAGAGTTCCAGGGGTGGGTAAGTCAAGTGGAAGAAGTGACTTGTTCTTAGTCCCTTAGCGGCCGGGGTTACTGACGACGATTGTCTTGGGGGGCACAATAATGTAGTAATCAACGTGGCTATTGGCAAGTGTTGTGATGCTAGAATTTCGTGAATTGAGTATATCGCGTGAATGTAGACAAGTCAAAGGAGTGAAAAGGGAAGGGTTGATTCCGAATGTGGACTGGGCAACAGTCTTCAATATGATCGGATGGGCGTTTTGGGAGGAGGGAGGGGGGTCTCGAGTGGGTGCTTTTCACTATCTTGCTCTTGGATCTGTGCTCTGTTTGGTACCCAGACGCAACGCTGATTCCCCAATTGAAGCTGCAGCTGGGAGTGTTGCAGATCTGCGAGGTTCAAACGGGGTCAAGGCCAACGAGCCTCGGGAACTGTCAAAAGACGTTTTTGGAGTAACGGCTTCCCCTGTAGAGAAGATCAGAATAACCAAGGACCGAAAACGATGACAGAGTGATTGATCAGGAAAGGTGAATGCGGGATGAATGAAAAGAGGATAGTAAGGTTGTAGCACACGCGCGGGCGATTAACGGCTGCCCGAATTCTTAAAAAAAAAAAAAAAATCTCAAAAAGAATTAAAAAGGGCGAAGGCGGGGGACTGGGATTTGGGGAGGGGTGGGAGACGCCAGCGGGCGCGCCCAATCCACATGCTCGATCGCTTGGTTATTGGTAATAGCTTTTGCATTCTCTCTGCTGTTTTTGCCCATTATTAGCCCATTTTTACTCTCAGCTCCAGCTCCCGAGTCCCCCAGCTCCAGGCTTTAATCAGCGATGGGAATCTGATGGGGGGGCCCAGACATCGACACCCCTTGTGCTGTGCCGTTGCTTCCCTCGACCTGCAGCCGGATGCGTGGAGAATTGATGCAATACCCAGGTCATCTAATCTCTTGTGCTCTCGCTCTCTCTCTTACTCTACCTAATCTCCTGCGCTTTCTCCCTCGGTCGCTCATCAACATACAAAACTTGAATATCATAACCAGCTGCAGCAAGTCTACGGAGCAGCTTCAGCTACTGTATGCACATACAATCTGCTGTGTAGCAAGGGGAACATGGGGCGGGGGCGGGCGGACATAGCACCAGCCTATAACAGTGTTAACCTCGATGTCGGGCTTAACAAACTAGGGAAGGTGCTTCCACGGCCGAGCAGCAGCAGGCTGGGGGTATTGGGAAAATGGTACGTATCGACGACTGTGCCTCCCTTGTCACGATATGAATATACATATAGTACTGTATTTTACTGTATCATTTTGCGCAAATAGTCATCATATAGGTACTTGGGTCAAAAAAGGCTGAACGGGGATTGGGATTATCAAGGATGGCAATGAGTTGATGTAAGGTTGACTCAATGCGAACCATCATAATACGTAGCCACGTTGATTGCATGACCATGTTTTCACATGCATGTAAATTAGATGACGACTGCAGCAAAAACCATAACAGTCAACAAGTCTCGTTCCAAAATGGCAGCATCAAAAGTACATTCAAATGTAGGGTACAGTCTACGCCAGCATCGGTCAGGGCAGACATCATGGTGGGCAAATCTCTCGTGGGTGTAGTAGTGCATGTACCTCTAAACCCAACCCCGTCGCCTCCTCTGCACTTGTTGCAGTGGCCGAAACACACGTCTCTAGCCTGAAGAAAAATCTGGAGCAGATTTCATCAATTCATCAACCTGCAGCTAAAATGGCCGGGCTCCATTGTGCCCACACGGCCTCATGGCATCATCTGACCAAACAAGATAACCAAGCGACTACCTATTTCGGCCACAACAGTATATTGTTGAGTATATTAATGCGGCGTAACTTGTGTTTATTTGTAACTCCACGTGGGAATAACGACAAAGCGTTACGAAACTTAAGATATGGTCAGTGGTCTGGGGTTCGCCTTTTTTTTTTTCTTCCAAACAAACTCAACAACTTTGAACCTCTTTTTCTTCGCTTTCCGTCTCCTACTGCTTTCTTTTGTTCCCCCGTTCCCGCGTCATTACAAATGAGCACCTGTGGTAGCTCGGCAGGGGGAGGGGTGGAGGAGCGGATGCCCTGTGGGCGGGGAACAGACACGGCGCGCTACATTGGCAGTGCAGCAAGTGTCGAGGACGCATCAGACTCGCCTGGGCTGGCTTTTGGCTCCCCCAGTGCTCGCCGAAATGGTGGAAGAAGAGGAAGCCGAACGAATGGGCGCTACCGGCTGAGGTCTGGCAGTAGTTTTACGCACCTTGCCTCCACTCCAAAGATATTCTAACAAGGCAGTGGATGCACCTAATGATGGCAATAGCATCATCGATCGATGGCATGAGTTTTTTTTTTCTTTTTTTTTTTTCGGTCTACTTGCAGCTTTCAATTTTTTCTCCAGATTTTGTTTTTTATGCATTTGAAAGTCAGTAGTCAAGCACCATGACGCTACTTTGAAGCTTCCATGACCACGGAGTCAGTGCAATGTAGGTCCCGGGCGAAGGAAAAAGGTGCATACATTACCATCTTCAATGGGACCCATTTGGGGACATTCAAGCCAATTCCTTTAATGTCAATAACCTCCGGACCCGTCCCTCGGATCGTCCAAACTCTATCGCCACGGATCTCCCTCCTTGCTGTCAGAGTGCTGTCAATTGTTGCTAACTTGTTTGACCGCTACGTCGAGTAATAATAAACAGCCGGAGCCTGGACTTGTCAAAAAAGTCACTGTCCAAATCACAAGCGAACCAGCAACAGTTCCAAACGTTGATTTCGTACGCCGCTTGACCCGCCACTTTATTAACGCCGGTTCCTTGGAATTAGGCACTGACTGACAGGCTAGCTGGCCACAAGCCAAGTGTGAACAATTCCACCCCAGAACGCCTCTTGCTCAAAGTCCCTACAGGAGAAAGAGAGAGAGAGAGAGAGTGGACCACCGGTAAGCCAGAGACTCGCAAGGTCATTCGCCCCATGATGCCGTTTGTCGGGGATGAGAGGAAAACGCCATGCATGGGTGCATAGACCAGATTATTGGGGTACCACTATGATAGGGCCGGGGGAGGGATTCATGGGCGTTCGCCACGGTGGATTCAGGCGGCGCTCAGTGCTATCTCTTGTGATCCTTACTTACAAGCATCAATTGTAGCGCTGACGATGGGGCCGGCCGTGAAGCTGACCCGGCTAACCCAAGCTACCTTGCCGTGGTTATCCTTCAGAACAATGAATAGATGCTTGTTTGTATTGGGCTGATAAGTATGGACTCTGTAGATAGGAACGATTTCGGGGATTGCGATCTCAGAAGACAAGGTGGGTGAAGTGAGAGTTCCAGGTATGTATGCACGGTAGGTACCTACCAATGTATTAGATGTAGGACGTCCCAGAGCACGGGTGTACACTTTCCTATACACACTATGCGCATGCGCACGCAAGCGTCGGCGTTTGACAAGCGGCCCCATGTACCAGCATTTGTTTGAATGTGATGGATGGACGTGAGAGTTCCTCCTGCGCGTATGGCTTCCGGCAGTGGGCTTCGCAGAAGGATCGTGCAATCAACGGTTGCGGTGCGCAGCCAAGGGGGAGGGGGGGCAAAGCACATGCATGCTGGAGGTAGGTGTGGGAACTGCAACTACTGTGCACCCTCGCAGGGATGCGTCGTGATCGGGCTTTTGTGAGCGAGGTCGAGTTCTACCTACCAGCTACCTACCTACCTACATTACCTACCTATTGTACTCATTGGCAACCAATCAACAAGCACTGCATGCACTATGTTGGAATCCCAAAAGTTGTCCGTCCCACTTTGAGTAGTAATCCAAGCATTTCATCTGCCTCTCCTACTAGCGTAAAAGACCAAGATCCGAGGCTCGTGAGACTACTTTACATTACCTTACCTACTACATTAGACTAGTAAGGTAGTAGGTAGATTTGCGGCAACTTTCACACATGCCGGCAGTGGGTGATGGACAGTGCTCAGAAAGTTGGGCATGTTTTGAAATGCACTTGCGGCCCTTTCAGAGAACATGTGGTTCGAATGTAGGACAAAGTTCAAATTGTTCGTACCTACTGGGTGACGGCCATGCATACAATGCATCAAAGTCTCCTTTGAACGTCTTTAAATTTTTGACGGAGTATCCAAGTACGTATCACGGTATCTGTCGGCTCTTCTCTGCCCGCAGCTGGGTCGCAGTACTAAATGACCAGAAAGCACTAACATGACATTCTGATTGGACAGGCTTCAATAGTCATAATGCGGCGCTTGAGATCGTCCACAGTTGAGTATCGAGCCCTGCAAAGACCCATGTTCGACCATGCTGTGCCGTACATACTGTATTGTCAAGCACTAGATACGAGTAGGTAGGGGCGAGAAGCAGAAGGCAGAATTCCTTTTTTGCCAGGTGGTCTGATTGAGACGACCACGATACTGCCACGCGTATGCATACAGTAGTGTCTGTTCACTTTCCACGAGATTTCCATACCCAGGCCCGGGCAGCCTCGTGACCTCTGATTAAAAGAAGAACAATTTATTGAACTGAGCGTCTTTCCCCATTAACTTACGATGCAAGCTACCAGGGTTCCCAAGATTTGGGTCCGCCGCCGTGCTGTGCGGCATGGGACAGCATGCCAGTGTTTTCCCGTTGGATCGGGCCATGGTGCGCAGTGTGCACTGGGCTGCTGAAGCGCCCCAGGTATGGTGCCTCTGTTGGACTCTCTCTAGGTGTGTAGGTCCCTGGGGGTGGTTTTTACAGCAAAAGTGGAGATTCTATCCGGCTCGCACGAGAGAAAAAAATACCTGGGTAGCGTGTGATTGAGTTTCTATCGAATGAGAGACGACCTTGTTGCCAAGAAGAGCAAGAATGCCTGGTGAGCGAGGGAAGAGTTTGCTGGGTAAGATTGACGTGGGCATCCGAGGGCCGGAATCTAGAGCAAGCCTAAACAGTAAATCTCATAACAGCAACCACCCAATTGGCGCCGCCCACCCCCCATTGCTGCTAACATCTCGGGCTAATCTCAAGATGCAGGTGGATAGGGGGATCTTCTCTTTGAAAATGCAATTCCTTTCCCTTTCCCGAACAATATCCCGTAGCCGATGGAAAGCTCTTGATAACCATCCCGATGAACTTGTTAGTCAGGTAGTACCAGGAGCTGATCTGGAATTTTAAAACGCAAACGGATTAGGGGCAGTGGAAATTGTTGTAGTAGGTAGTAGTACCTAGTCCACTTCTTCAAGTCGAGATCTATCTTGTCACAATTACTTTAAATAGAATTTCTCCAGGTTTTGTTTGTTGGACAAACGGCCGCGACCAGTACATACCATGACCGATTGGGATTGATCAAGCCTGGCTTGGTAATCTCGAGCAGCGTTGCAGCCGGCTGATGTCGTTGCATTCACAATGCGCAGCGAGCCGTCCCCGGGAACCAAAAGAAAAACCTCCTCACCTTTAATATACATCCTACCCTTGCTTCCCCCCCAAATCCTACCAACAAAGCTACGCGAACAAGCGACCAAAAGGACTGACTGGGCCATGGTACCACGTACCTCGGACGCGATTTCAGGGCAATGTCAGGTTCGCGTATAATGAAAGCCATACTGATTCATTGTTCAGTCTAAAGTGCGCTCCTAAGAGCCAGGTTCCCATGGCTCGCAAGCACAAGGTTGCATGGTCTAGATGACTCTGTCCCCAATGACTGGGCTTCACCGATTCCAAGCAGATCACTTGAAATGTAATGTCGGTAATCAAGGAAACTTTTATCGGGAGGAGTCAACCCGACTTGACGGATCCTTAAAATGCGACACCGGCGTCATGATAGCCGTTGAACGGCTCCAAAGACAGCTTCCACCAGTCAGGCTCGGCTCAACGCCATAGTTGGAGAAAGTGGGTGCACAAATCGACCGTAGAAAGACCCTGAATTCTCCAAGATTTGCTTAGCACTGTTCGCTTGTATAGCTTGGAATTATAATTCCAAGCCCAATTTCGGCATTGAATCGTCCTTGATCGTGCCAGTCTACGGTAGCATATGTCAGTAATGACTAAGCCACGCCTCAAGCCTGGCGCCTCGTGTTGACTAGTTCAATGTCACTTCTGCTTTGGATGGACTTCTGGAACTTTCATTCGGTTCATGTACGACGGGCGCTAGATTCATTATACAGAACGGGCTTGCAGCATTTATTCCAACATCAACTTGGATCTCCATGCCAAGAATCTATCACAAACCTCTGGCAGAATAGGGGTTTATCAATCATGACTTGCGCTACCACATAGAAGATATCAGTAATCTGCGACTGGCCGGTCAAGTTGAGTAGCATACACATGTGCAGTCTTCCAGACTTTAAGGACTGTTTAACTCGGAGCATTCAGGCGTGCAGGATACCCGTTCAATCTCTGGCATGACCCGAGGTTGAGAAGTACGATGCCTTGTCGAAAGTGACTCTCTATACCCAAGGATTATCCCTATAACATTGTGTGTTGCTCCAGCTCTGACCCAGCAATGAAGTGCTTCATGTGCATATCCAATGCATCTCGAATGCATAGAAAATACTGCAACGATATATTTGTCCGAGCTCTGTTTGTAAGACTTTCATCGAACCCAAAGAAATGACCTGGACTTTCCACTCTGGTCATTATGCAGGACCCGGGCACCCGGGAGCGAGTCACTGGATGCTGCCATGTCGTGTCGCCAAACGAATTGCCATTTCTTCACAGCGGTACGGTCGACTATCCGATCTATGGGGAGCTTCTTTCTGCTGCCAGCCGAAGGTTCGTCGGTTCTTGGAGACACCATTTTGCATGTGCAGCCAATGCATGAAGCCGACGGCAGTCCGGGGAGCGACAGCAGCGTGGGAAATGCCAAGGCAATCTCAAGAAATGAGTGCGTTCAACGGGGAGCAATCAACTGCTTGATGAGGCAGGCGATGGGCTTCCAGCTCATTATGTATCATCTGTCACCTAGTGCCCTCTGAGTTCAGACATGGAGTTCAGGACTATGATTGTGGCGATGATGGCCATTTGTCCAACATTATTCCATGCACGTGAGACAGCTTGCCCACCCGGCATAATCGAGATACCCATTGAAGGTCCATGAAATTTGCGGATCACTTATCAAACCTGCTATGTCCAAGGATGTAAAATACAAGTTGCAGACCGCGTTGCTATTTTCGCCCGTTATCCTTGCTGCACATTGGGGGGGATCTCCGACAAAGTCATCGTGGTCTCGCGGGAGATGCACGGCGAACAGACGCAGGCTTTCAGCAAGCACTGGAGAGAAGTTTCGACATACGTAAGTCCCCAATGCCCATTCCCCCGTGTGAGCGAACCCAAGAAGAGATCGACCTGCAGTGGCTAGGACAGGACGCATGTTGCAGCAGAAGCCATCGATTCATGTTGCAAAAAATAGCTGTCGACTTGCTTTGACAGCTTTACCCACAGCTTGCCGTGAACCGATCTTAGTGTCCAACATTCTAGGTAAAGCCTATGTAGGTGAGTACCCAGCTTGGCAACCCTTTTAACCGGGTCAATTGAGGCTCAAGTGATTTAAAGACAGAAGCTTGAATCGATCGGGACATTGTCTCCCCCCCCCCTCCAGGGCGCAAGTGCAGTGTTCACATCCAGATCCTGACCATTCACACGCCCCCCCAGGCGCCGAGCTGCAATGTAAGAGCCTCAAACTGGAATCAGTCGATTTTCGCGACGCCTTCCAGGGTTGGTTTGGAACCTCGCAACGATTGGTCGTCCGATGTCGAGGGCCCCCTGTACCAGATGCGAGGCACGGCTCCATAAGTGGCACGTGCCAGCCATTGCCGCAGCACAGGGAGCTGGGCGCTTGCTGACCCCTTACAAGCGCTGAAACGCCAAATGTCTGGCTTGTGCCATATCGTCACCCAAAATCGACGACCAACTGAGGGCGTCTCGCATTGCTGGGTAGGTGGAGTTGGGCTGTCGTTTCTATTGCGTTTCTGCTCGTCAACTCAGCCCACTGTGCCTGGTTCGCAAAGCCCACCTACCTTCCTCTGCTCTTCCTCCTGGCTTCTGCGGCCTGGACCTTGTTCCCTGTTTGGCAGACTCCCCCGTGGACGGTACATGCGTGGGCGACTCGTGCGTAGGTAGTATGTGTAACATTCATCTGGTCGTGGTTGCATAGAATCTGGCGCTTGAAGGCCAGTCGTGGGTCCATTCTCGTTCTACTCGTGCTTCGTCTTGAAATCTTCACCTACTGCCTTTCGTAATCACTAACCTTTTCGTTTCACCTATTCTACTTCTCTTTTTCCTCTTCCGTTTTCCGGTCGAGCTGCCGGCTGTCTGTTCATCTGTGTCTTTGACAGGTCGGATAGACTTTCGACATTACATTCATTTCTTGCTTCGCGCCTCGGGCATCAGGCCGCTTTTTTTTTCCACACACATTCTCTCTTTCTCCTTCGACAAGTGTTCACCTTTACTTCGAGACGCCGGTCGTCATTTGCTCTTCAGATTTTCAATTGCGCAGTGGAGGATTAGGAAAGGGTTAAAAAGGTCCAAGGACCAAGGAGGCGGGATTCGAGATTTATCCTCATCATAGGCACCGAGCCACTAGGAAGCAACTTTGGATACGACGGGCTGCTTTCTCAGATTCGCAAAAATGGTCAATAAAGTGCTGGCAGCCTTTGTGGCTGTCGACGGGTTGTTTGCGATCATGGGCGCCATCATGATGGGATTTTCCGTTATTGTTCTCAACACTTGCTTCAACCCACCGACGGAAGGCAACGAGGCGGCGCGCGATCTGCTGTATCAAAGATTCCCATTGACAGGTACTTGTTGCTCCTCGTCGACTTTTGCAGTCGATACTCGGTTCGCAGGCACAGTTGGCAAACTAACAATCAATAGCTGGTATCGCAAACGCTGCCTTCACCTTGTTCATCTTCTTGGTGACCCTTCCCGCCCTGTCTACTCCTGCTCGAGGATGGTTAAAATTCGCCGGCTATCTGGTGGTCATTGATGCTGTATTTACCATGATCATTGGTCTGGACCTTTGGATCATTACTCTCAAGACGCGCCAGGAGTTCTTCGACATCTGGGTTTCCCAGAATGCCGACGTCCAATCACTTCTCCAGACAGAGGTACGTTTGGGACCTTGACTGACGATCGATCATCATTTACTCATGCAAGGAATAGTTCCAATGCTGCGGATACTTTAACAGCACTTCTCCAGCTTTCGTTACCGATGTTACCTGCCCGAGTCCTGCCGCGGCTGCTCTGATCAAGGGATGTGCCTCACCACTCACCTCGTTCACGAATGTCTTTGTCGACAATATCTTCACGGCCGTGTTTGGTATGGTTGGAATCGACGTTGCCATGGTCATGGCCATCGCCTGCCTCGTCAAGGACCGCAAGGAGCGCGAGAGATTCCGCTACATCGATGAGAAGAATGGTGTTAAGGGTGGCTTTTAAAAGAGCCAAGCCTCAGTTTTTATCACGCTTCACTTCTTCGAATCGCCCAATTGCGACTTCTTATTCCCGCATACGGTGACGCCTCGCTACTTACATTGGCATAATAACCCCCCTCATGGCGACTACCTTGAACCGACTTTTGAACTATGGAGCTGGAAACTCCTGATCTTTGTGCTGGGAGAACCGAGGTGGCCTTGACAGATTTCGTGGAATTTGGAACCGAGTGCGCAACTTTGAGCTCAGAGTCTCAAATTCCAGGAATCTATGCGATCCGACAAATTCCAATCTCCCCCAATGGACGCATCTGCAGCAAGGTCCCTTTAATCTGGTGTTGATAATACTACCGACCAATGTCCCCTTTCTTTTGCTTCAAGACATACCCCAATTCAACAACTGATGGCAGATTTGTGGAGGGCATTTGTGTTAGTACGTATGAGATAGAGATGAAATGATAGAAAATGAAAACAATAACGAACAGCCGATGAATATATGGTGCTAAAGGCGAACTTTTCATTTGGAGCCTGAGACTCATGTAAGAAAGAATACTGAGGTCCTTCGATTGCATCAAAGATGGTAAACAGGCCCGCTCCTTGTACTCCATGTTCCCATCACAATTCTTTTCACCCTTGAGGCAATCTTGGTATTTTGCACCCTTCTAGTATTTGGCCTATACACTCTCTATAAGATGACCTTGACAAGCTCCCATTTCTATACATTTAGGTAAGCCAACGCTATTCCCCTCCCTCCTGGACTGGTCGTCTCAAAGTTTCCACACATCGATACACTACTGACTTTGCAGTCATGCCATCTACCATTTTTTTTCTACGTATTTGTACAAGTTGTTCCCCTTCACAGTCCCCGTCCAAATTTTCTTCATGGCACAATCTCCTTGCCATCCCAGTCCCAGACGCGCCCACGATGATGCTCGCCTGTGCTACTCCTCGACGCCGCCACGGCGCACAGCCGCTCGGCCGCGAACTCGGGACTGAACAGCTTGTCCTCGGGGACCCCGGCCCAGAACTCGCGGCTGAGGCCCGTCTTGACCGTGCCCGGGTGGTAGGCGAAGGCGAGGGCGCGGTCGCCGCTGCGCTGCCGCAGGTGCAGGTCAAACGTCTTGGTGAGCGAGTTGACGGCCGCCTTGCTCGCCCGGTAGCTGTACCACCCGCCCAGCCGGTTGTCCGACACGGAGCCCACGCGCGCCGACATGGTGAGCCACGTGGCGTGCCGGGGAAGGCGGAGCTGGTCCTTTTCCATGGTTTGGCCGTCGACGGCGCCTTGAAGGAGCAGCTCTGTTCGTTTCCGGGGCAGGAACTCTCCAAAATGCTTCATCAAGAGCAGCGGGCCCAGGGTGTTGACCCGGAATGTTTCCTCGGCCTTGCTATAGTCTACCTGTAACGGGCTCTTTTCCGGGTGGAGGATGCCTGGGATAGCGACGCCGAGGTGTAGGTGATGCGAGTCCCGGGGGAACAGCTCTGCGGCCTGTTCTGCGGCGTCCCGGACTGATGGCTCATCCGTCACGTCAAGCCGCAACACCACGAGACGCGAGGCGTGGTCTTCTTTTTCGTGCTGGTTTTGTACTGTCGATGCCGGGAGCTTGTCTAGTAGCGACGCCTTGGTTGCGGCCGTGTCACGGGATCGGCATGTTGCAACAATGGGCAGGCTGGTATTTTGTAATAGGTGTCGTGTCACGGCGTGGCCGATGCCGCGGCTCGAGGGCGATACAAAGATCCAGGGTTTAGACATTGGTGATTGATGAAGTGAATAATAAAATGCTCGAACAAAGATGTCGTGTTACACACCCTGGGGAAAAGGCCTGAGTGAACTATAACAAGGGTCCCGATTGAAGTTGACGTTGATTGGCCAGTGGACAGGTTTGGATGTATGCAGCAGAAGGCGTCCGTTAGATCATCCAAGCATTTCTTTCTCGGGATATGTGTCAGCTCAGAGGCCAAAAGATGTTGGGTTGTTTGGTCGATGTTGACTATAAGTGTTTGGAATAGTGCGTGGTGGAGAGTGATGATTCATGAATACGCTAACAACGGTTCGCACCTTGATTAGTGACTACAAGGCTCTTCCTGGCCAGCCTTGTTATAGATCAAGAGAAAGTAAAGCTTGTTCTTGGCGATCGTCAACTCGGAAGCAATAAAACAAAATCGTGAAAAATGGGCCTCCAAATTTCCAATCTCATCATGGCGATTGATTTGTGACGGTCATCGGCAGCGAATTGAAAAATGTACAACGCTTAGAGTTCATCTTCCATGTTTGGCAAGTTGACTCTTGTCGCATGCAGATTTGTATCTCTTATATAAGCAAGTAAATTTTCTGCACAGTCAGTTACATGGCTCTGTTGGATTTATTGCTTCTTACAATTAGGTTGTTTAGTTGGAGAGACCAGCTTCCAAGAAACCATGGGCGATTCTGATAGGACACATCTCGGCGAGAAGCATAGCTAACTTACGGAAATAGACGATGAGGTTATGGCAGTCCCAAGTATTTATCAATTTAGATGACTGCAGAGCATTGGATATTTACCAGGTTTACAAATTGAAAGATGCAAGAGGCCATCAGGTTTCAGTGGGGGAGCAAAAAATTGCGATAAGTGAAGCAACATGGGTGAGGTGCTCATTGTATTGGACACGCCCGCATTATACACATCTCTGAGAGATTTGAGTTGTTTAACATTGCTTCCTGGCGGCTTAAAATAATGCTTGAAATATCTCGTCGCCAATCTACGGGCCTCCTGGGCAGAGCAGCCAGAAAAGGTCCTTTAGGGACATGTTTTTCTTGTAGGCACCAAAATTTCATGAGTTACCTGCTGAGCTTTGCTACCTATCATTCATCTTGCTACAAAAATAGCTTGAGTTCTGGAATGAGACACGTTGCACCATTGTGATTTGTGATTTGTGATTGTCTCCCAGAATAAATCATCTCCATGCCAACGGTGCTGCGCTGGTCATGGCACATTCTGCCCGTGTGCGCCTTTGAGGGAAACGTCCACCAAGACTCCTTTTCGGTTGATCTGGCCGTACCCAGGCATCTCTGCGTTGAGCAGGGAGACAGAAAGAGAAAGTAAAAGGTAACTAGATCAAAGGCAGAAAAATATGAGACAGGGTTAGGGGAAAAAAAAAAAGGAAAAAAAAAGGGTAACCTGACTGTGATTTGAACACAGAACTTCTCCTACACGGCCCTCGGATGGGTAGTAGTTTGATTCGCCCTAATCGTCGTTATGACTTTTCGGAGACGTGCCTACCATTGCACTACCAGGTTGAAAGAAAGGAAGATTATTTTCGTTCAAAGGGGGGTGGGCAGTGGTGAGGACTGCAAACGACCCTCTGGTGGTTGCCCAGTCAGCCATTCATTCATTCATTCATCTAACCTATGCAGCATAGGATCAGCTCACACAATCACTTTCAATGATGCCTAGCTAGTTGCTCGAATATTGAACTCGCAAGGCTGAAGAGTTACCTTTGGTAGCTGATAGCCCGGTCAGAATCCCCTACCTACCCGACACGAGCCTCCTTTTTCCCTTTCCCCCCACCTTCAAACGTTACATGCCAATCATTCAAGGAACCATTTCACAGCAGTTCTCGAGAAATGTGTGTGTGCAGAAGGGAAGACTTGCCATAAGGATACACCATCAAATCTATATGGCCCTGTGGATGGTATCACGGCAAGGCAAGACAACGTGGCGCTTGTTTCAAAACATGATTCCAGTTTGACTAATGTATATATATCTCTATCAATCTTCATCATTATGGGGAAGGCTTTTTCTGGGGTTGCTTTTCAAAACAATGCAAAGTCCTGTTTCTGAACTCCGTGCTCAAAAAGACAACCTTTTTCTTTGCCGTCATTATCATAGAAAGTTAAAGCAATCATCCTACCAGGGATGGGGTTTTATAATGCCACGTCCTGGAAGCTTGCCCCGTCACCAGGACTGGGTGCTGGTTTATCGTCATCGTCATCATTGTCGTCATCTTCGGCATCGTCGCCGTTTTCGTCGCCCTGACCTGCCTTTTCAGCATCCTTGGGCCGCAGGGCAATCTTCTGGTCCTCCTTGTCTTCAAGTCTCATCTTCTGTTCTGCCTCTGCCTTTGCCTTGTCCTCGCCCTTCTCGTCGCTGTCATCCTTTTCCTCATCGTCGTCACTGCTTTCCTCCTCCTCCTTGTCCTTGCCGGCTTCCTTGGACTCGCCATTCTCAGCTGCGGGCTCCGGAGGCAGGGCCTTTTCTTGTTGCGACGATTGCGACTGCGGCGGCTGTTCCGGCTGCGACGACCTCGAAGCTAGAGTATCGGTGTCCGGTGGGCCCGGCCGAAGCGCATCGAGGTAGAACTTTGTGACTCCCAGAATCCTGCCGTTCTTCTCGCAAGCCTCAACCCACTCGGGACGGACCACGGGGATGTTCATCTCCACGGCCTTTTCCCAAGCCATACCGCGGCCCTCGGTAGTGACAAAGTGCGTCGTGTCGATCCTAACGCCATCGACGATCTTGGCGCCAATGCGCTCGACTGCACTGTTGAGCGACTCCTTCATGGCGCCAGGCAGGATACCAGTAGTGATGGTGATTCCGGACAGGTCCGTCATCTTGTGCGTGTTGACGACAACCTCTTCGGAGCGGTAGGTGCCGGCGCTCGTGCGCAGCACCAGGTAGAATGAGTACTCGGTATCAACGGCGAGACCGCTGATCTTGGTGCTGTGCATGTGCAGCGGCCTGGGGATGTTGCCGGCCTTTTGCCCATTGCGGTAGAGGCTCAGCGAGATCAGGTCGGCCGTTGCCAGCTCAATCGGGTCCCATTCGAGCACGACCGAAGTCTGGGTGGCATTGCGACAGCGCAGGACGGGGACGGACGGCTGTGAGGCGCCAAAGGCATTGAAGATTTGGTCCTGAAGTGCCGAGAAGCGTGACTCGGCCGCCGATTCGGACTTGGTATTGCGCGCAACCGTGATATCAACAATGGAACCCGAGGCAATATTAGGCGGGAGGAGGATTGAGGGAAACTCGATCTGGTTCAAGTCTTGATATCAGCAAGGGAGGACTGAAGCGAGCGATCCCAGAAGGACTGGGGCAATGTATGACCCATTTGCGGGTGGTTGGAAGCTATCTCAGCGAAGCTCCAAGAGGCCACCTACCAGTCGTTTATCAGGCGTCAAGAGCACAGTGACGCCGGCGTCGACCTTGCCGACGGTCAACGAAACCAACATATTGAGCGGTATATCAGTCTAGAGATTGCGGAACTGGAATCTCATCAATTGGCGCGGGTGCACTGATTGATCGTGTGTGTGTCTCTCTCTCTCGCGGACGGTGGTCGGTTTTTTGTGCAAGTTGGATTTCTTGGAGATTGCCAATTCACAACAGTTGCAGGGGATTCACTAGCTGGAGTAATGTGTCTTGCCGATCGTTTTTTGGGAGCTTGGGCTATTACCTGGGTACCCCCGAACCCCTGATCAGCCCGCGTCAGCGTCAACTCTATTCGTCAGCCTTGCCGGTGATAAAGACATCGCCTTTTTTAAGACAAACCAGACCCTATCATCACTTCGCTACAAATGAAACAAACTGGAGATCCCATGGATTTCTCTTCTTATCAAATATAATTATATTCAATGTGCTTCAACAATTCGAGTTGGGTATCTCACATTTTTGGTGTTACAGCTAATAGTTTAACTCGTTACAGCACCATCTCAGAGAAAAATATATCACTTTCAGGAGAGATATGATACGGCCGTGTATAGAGCACCATGATTCTTCCAGCTTTTCCAGTCCTCCCATAGTATATAACTCAGCGAGCTTTCTCATTCGGCGTTTATGACGACCTCGGTTGAAGAGATGCTCTTTATGGCCTTGAGAGATACGTCCCAGCTTCTGATGGTGTATGAATGTTGCTTCTGCTTTGGGTTTCCCTTCTCGAGACATGGGCAGAAGCCCGCCTAATTTTCGAAAACTCCTTCTCTGGAAGTCTAGCAGGGCGCGTGAATCTGTCACTCTTCACTTCTTGTCTATTATCTAAAGGTTGATTTCCGAGAAGAGGCCTGAGCTCTACGCTTCGTGGCAAAGTTTCCTCCCTTTGAGTCTTGCTTATAATTTGAGGATTGATTCAGCGAAGAGAAGCTGATGCGATAAAAAGCTTGCTTCATTGCCAAGGAATCCTTAGGCGCAAGTTTGGCAACACTCGCTGGCTTGCCGTTTTGGACAATAGCAAGGTGAGGTAGTGCTGCGGTAACAATACTCCGCCCAATGTCTAGTATGTCTGTCGAAAATTTGAGTTGACATAATACTTTTGGTGAAGTACATAGTATACGCAGAGTCCCGTAAAGATCATGCTTTTGGGGCCGGGGGCCGGCAACGGCAATTGCCCGCCCGTATCGATCGTATCCGTTCTCTTCCAGCGCAAGACGAATTGCACGATTGATCAGGCGCTGCGCCGTCGTGCAGATGAATGGCGCTGCATTGCCATAAGCAGCAGCAGACCACCAAAGTGGCTGGCTGCCGTCAGACCAGCTGACGTATCGATCCAGCACACAGCCTGCGTTTGGATGCTCAGGCTTTTCAAACCATCTCATCTCGTGTTGACTGAAAACATGATTTTGACTCGTAAATACCTGGATATTGCTCTGGTTGGAGGATATGTAATGAACCTTCAGAGAGCGTAAAGCGGAGGGGAATTTGATGTTGTGTTCCTTCGCTACCTTATGGACGCGCTCGTGGGATTTCGAGGTGCCTGCGCGCGTCGGTACTATATTGAATTGAGGGTTCTGAGTAGCAAATAGTGACTCTAGTAGCGCTTGCTGTTCTTGCTGCGTTATCTCTTGCTGATTCTGCTTCTTGTGATGGCTGTGGCCTGCCATGGGCGCTCTGGAGCGAGTGGTTGTGACATGGCGTTTCGGCAGAATAATTCGCGTCGTCGTGGGAGGGCGACAGACGGGGCGACCGAGCAACGCTCTCATCATGATCCCAACTGAGTGCTTCGCTGGTCAACTGAATCGCGAGCACACATTGCTGCTGCTGCTGCCACCTATCTCGGTACTTTGTACTGGCAGGACGTGTAGGGTGGGTTGCTAACGATGGATATGGTGTTGAAGCAGTTTGAGGAAATCTTAACAGGCTTGAAGATGCGCCAAGGCCAATCAATTGTACTAGACCAAAAAGTATGAGCAGCCTACGCGGCTACCTTGACCTAAAGATGTGTACTCCGGTTTATATGGTGGACTATGTGCTAGCTGATGTATCTCCATGTGACGTCGGCTTTGTTTAAATTCTTTTCTAGTTTCCCAGGTACCTGCCCAATGTACATCAAATATGCAACTACTGACGGCGCTCCCGCTTGGTGACTCAGGAGCCGAGACTTTCCTGTGGCAGCAAAAGAATCCTTTGGAAAAGCCTGAAAGCATTGTACCTATCTCCGGCACCCTCCTGGATCCCAATTGCCCCGCGGGATTCAGCGCTTCTGTGGCAACCGGAAGCGCCTGAGCAAAAAGCACGGCTGCGCACCAGACAGACCAGCGTTGTAGTAGCCTGAGTAGTATTTAATTCCCACACTGCGACAAAGCCGTGCCCCTCCACTTTTTTTCGCCTTCCTTGCTGCCCGTCGACCCATTTCGTCCTTAAAGCCCCTCCATCGTCACCACAGGTTTTTGTAGTCCTTCACAAACCATCAACACACCAACTCCACAAACCATCGTCGACTTTACATCCACTTTGTTCATTACCCTCAAGAACAAGTCAAACAAGTCGCCAACATGCCTAAGAACAAGGGAAAGGGAGGAAAGAACCGAGTACGTTTTATCGACACTTGCACCCCGTCGCAGCCTCCTCCCTGTCGCTGCTCCCCCACCCCACACGTCTCTCCCAATGTGTCCATTATCCGGCTGCTGACACCAAAAAACAGCGTAGAGGAAAGAACGAGAACGACAACGAGAAGCGTGAGCTCATCTTCAAGGAGGATGGTCAGGAGTACGCCCGTGAGTTTTCCAGCGACTGTTTCCGCCATCTTTTGCATCTCATTCCCACCCGCACCCAGCCTGACCGCCGTGTATTGGGCATACCGTTGCGCGTCCGCCACCTGCGCCAAAGATTACTGCACAAGTCGTGAGCGCATTGATCACAAGCTGACAAGAACATTTCAGAGGTCACCAAGATGCTTGGTAACGGAAGACTCGAGACTCTGTGCTTTGATGGCACCAAGAGACTGGTATGACTCTCGCTTATCGCCCCCAAACCCTAGTTTCCCACGACTAACCGCCGCTTTCACAGGGTCACATTCGTGGCAAGCTGAGGAAGAAGGTCTGGATCAACCAGGGAGATATTATCCTGCTGTCGCTTCGTGACTACCAAGACGAGAAGGGTGATGTCATCATGAAGTGTAAGTATCCATTTTTTCTCTCTTTCGTCTTTGTCCACGCGCCAAAATCTTACCATGGCACTTGTTCTAACATGAATAATAACAGACACCGCCGACGAGGCCCGTTCGCTCAAGGCCTACGGCGAGCTGCCCGAGTCCGCCAAGATCAACGAGACTGACACTTACGGCCCTAACGAGGATGGCGAGTGCAACTTCGAGTTCGACGAGGACCGCTCCGACTCGGAGGAGGAGGGTGCCGGTGGCAAGGAGATCGAGATCGACGACATCTAAAGAAAAGCAGGTGCTTTGCTGGAGATGCTGCTGCTCAAAGCACTGTCCGCCTGGTCCTCCGCTTCCTACACGCGAAGCCCTCAGGTAGCCAAGATGTTCCGGGCAAAGCTGTCTTCTCTCTCAAACCTGTCATGTTTCTCTGTCATGATCGTGCCCGACAACTACATCGGCATGATTGCGACTTTGGGCAAGGCTGGTTCCTCGACAGTTGGACATGTGACAAGTTGGAGGATGGAAAACCATGGTGGGAGAGACGTCATGGTTCTTTGGATGTGTTTACTCATAACCCTTTTTCGCACTACTACTTGACTTCCGAATGGACCCCCTTCTTTGATAGGGATGAGTTGAATGATGATGGCAATGACTTTTGCACTACATTAGACTCAATACATTCATGCATATATCTTCCCTTACCCAAGGACTTAATCAAATGTCAGTCTGTGTACTCTATGGTCCAGACAACAATACCACTCTCGCCAAATCCGAATGTCCTATTATGCGAGGAATGACAAGAAACGTGCAATTATTTGCAGCACAAACCAGGTGATTCTTTTTTGATGCTATTTCAATTCTTTTTATGCAAACTATTCTTGATTTGTGGCCTCTTCTCAACACCATGCAAGACTCTGTTGGTCTTATCAGCGCCATACTCTGGCTGAAGTCATACCTAGAGTTTTTCGAAAACTCAGCCGGTCTTCATTGGCCCTTTGCGCAGTGGTTTACTAGATATATTTCATCTTGCTCTCGAGAATCCCTTTTGAGCAAGGATAAGAATGTGTAACAGACACACGTGAACGCCACACTCCCCTTACCGACTCACGTGTCTGGCCCGGGTCTACCGCGTTGCAATCGATCAGGCCAGCGCAGAAAGATATCGATTCCGTCTCCAAATTTGTGACGTTGTTTTCGCCGGTTGCCCTACAATCTTCGTAATTTGAGACCTCTCCTTTGAGATTTGCTATCATCCCCCGTTTGAATTGTAATAAGAGCTTGGCCATCGAGAAATGAACAGCCATAAACACCAATCCGGATTCATGGTGAGCTTCAAAAACAATGTAGAATAGTTACCAATCATCATCGTCGCCCTCGTCGTCTGCCACAGTATTAGCTTGGTCATTTCATTCCATAAATCGAAATTTTCAAAGAACTTACCACTATCGCCGACCTTTTGCTTCCGTTTCTGCAGTGCCGCAGCCAATGCGTCTGCCATGTTCGGTGCGCCGCCAGGAGCAACACCAGCAGGCGGCAATCCACTACCATGCGGCCCAGTATCGCTACCCGAGGGAAGAGCTGCACTTCTGTCCCTGATCTGAGTCCTGTCTACCTTCTTGAGGCCACCTACACCTCCAGCCTTCTGGATACTATCGAGCATGGCTGAACGTCCTGAGTTGGCTGCAGGCAGCGCTGGCGCAGGCACTCCCGAGGCATAGCCAGAGTCGCGGTTCGGCGGCGGAGGTGGTGGAGGCGGAGGTAAGCCACCAGCACCACCTGGAGGAGGAGGAGGCGGTGGAGGAGGAGGCATGCCGCCAGCACCTCCAGGGAGCGGTGGTGGGCCAGGAGGTGGTGGAGGGGGAGGTGCTGCCGCATTCGACGGTGGCAGCGGCGGTGCTGGGACTGCTCTGGGAGGCGGAGGTGGAGCGGAAGCAGCTGGTGCTGCCGGCACCGGTCTCGACGTCGGAGGAGGTAGCGGAGGCGCATTCGAGGTTGGGGCCTTGGGTGGTAGTGATGGAGGCAGGGGTGGCGCCGGTACGTCCCTGGGCGGCGGTGGTGGTACTGGGCCTCTGGATGGTGGTGCTGGAGGAGCAGTGGTGCGTGGTCCAGCAAACGGAGGAGGCACGCCGAATCTTTGCCCGGATGTGTCTTCAGAATCAAGCGGCGTCTTAGATGGTCTTGGAGGGGGAGGAGGCCCGGGCGCCGGAGCAGCTGGCACTGGTCGTGCAGGTTCTTGGTGCGCGTACTTGCCAGCATCAGCCAAAGGCGGCGGAGCATTAAATCGCGGCCTTGGAGGAGGCGGAGGAGTCGCGTCCTGCGGAGGTGTTGGCTCACGATGAACATCTGCTTTTGCGGTTCCTCTCTTCGTTCCTCTGGAAGGAGGCGGAGGAGGAGGAGCGCCACGACGAGAACCAGATGTTGTAAGCTCCGAAGTTGGCCTAATTCCTGGTGGTGGCGGCGGAGGAGCTCGGCCATGTCCACTATTACCATTGACCGGAGGCGGCGGAGGCGGCGGCGGTGCTGTAGACCTTGGCATAGCATCAGGGGGCTGCTGCTTCAAGAATTCCACGATAAAGTCCTGGTTGTCTTTGATGAAGTCGTCGGTCAAGCCCTGTTCTGTGAGGAAATTTCCAAAGTTGTCTCGCCAATTAGGGTCATAAGCTTCCAGTGTAGCAAACTCGGAGCCTGGTTTATGGAAGCCGTTCATGCCGGCAGAAGGCGACCTGGTATGCGAAGGCGGAGGCGGCGGGATGCTGCTCTGAGGAGACTCGGGCGGCGTGGGAGTGGAGGCATGTTTATGTCCTCCAAAGATGCTGCCGAATAGGCCGCCTGACTTGACAGGTTGGCCATGTCCACCAAAGGGAGTGTTCTTGGTTGCTTTGCTGGCATTCTTTTCCCGCTCGTCCATCTTCTTCTTAAACTGCTTAGCCTCCTTCTCGTCCACGAAAGACAGTCCTGCTAGACATTCCTCGAGCTCGAAAGTGTGGAAAAAGGTGCGGTCCTGGTTGTACTGCCAGGTGTCGTAGATCTCGTGATCCCAAATGACTCCTCGGCCAGCCGGCTAGATATTCTGTGTGAGCAACTACGGGCGCCTGCGAGGAAGAAGAAGGCGACCATGACTTACTGATACATCAACCATCTTGAGCCAGTAGGTGTGTCCTACGAGATCGTCGGCGAGTACGATGGCGCCTTGCAATCCAGTGTAGGTCCATTTCGACTTGTTGGGGTATGCGACGTATAATCTGGCGACGGCGACGGCATGGATCTTGTTGGTCTGCTTGGGAATGACCCTCTTGACCGTCTCCTTGTCCTCGTCGCTGAGAATGGACGGCATGGCGGGCGGATTTTCGAGCGTCTTTCTCAGACGAGGAGTTATGGGGGTTGGTAGGTGGAGGGTCCTCGATATCTTGTGCCTCTCTATCTCCAGCTACCAGTAGTCGGTGGCAATCCTAAGTGATCATGGACACGAATTGAGAGGTACACAACAGAGTAGAGGCGAGAATGCGCCCAGCGACTTCGGAAACGAATGCTGCCTTGAGAATTGTGCGAAGGTACGCGCGGTTGTGGTGGCGGGCGCTTACTACTAGTAAGGATGAGGCTCGTAAAGTGGTGTTGGTGGTTGTGTGCTGAGCAGTGCAGTGCAGTGCAGTGCAAGAGTGTTGTACTTGGTCTTGTGCCCCCCTACCTGTCTTTACCTAAAGAGTGGAAGGACAGCAGTTGGACGGGTTTGACCAAGAAGTGGAGGCTCCCGCACTCAGCCCAGCCCAGTAGGTAACAAGTACGTAGTACCAAGTACAGACAATCAATGGACAAGACGAGTTCAAGAATGTGTGTACCTAACCATGGATCTAGTCAGGAGACTAGGCACCTGTTTAATCACTGGAAGTGCGCTCGCTTCGGGCGTCAATGGTGTTAATTTTGTGATTTGTACCTAGATGCCAAAGCTTTTATGATTCGAGGTTCATGGCACTGTTGCCCAATTTCAGACACAAGTCCGAGAGCAAACGTGCAATGTTTTTCATTCAGAGATGTCGTAGGGCAGTGCAAAGTACCTAGGCTAGAAGAGTGAATTGGATGAATCTGCGACCCAAATGGATGTACTGGATCGTCTAGAACCGGTTCTTCCGTCACTGTGCAGTGTTTCTAGCGGGTGGATTGCTGCTGAGCAGCGGATCCTCATTGCATCAGCTAGCAACGTGTGGACAGGGGCCTGAGGAGTGGCCGGGGGTTCTCGCTCAACTGAGAATGCGGCAGCGCCAGCCCACTTTGGGCATCCTCACTTGCAAATCCCCAACTGCCATTTGCTGCTCACATCTGTCTGGGCACATGGATGTATTGAGTGTTTATGTTTATTTGTTTTTCCTTTCGCGTGTGCGTGAGCTTTTTTATTAAATTATATACATTTTTAGTGTAATGACTTGCATTTATGATTTTATTCCTTACCTATGATTGTTTGAATTCCATTTGCCACTTGGGTTCTCCTTTAAGCGATGTCCTATTTTATAATGCCAATCTCCCTCCATCTCTGGAACAATGTTGGATATTGAAATATGATAAATAGTTAGACGTAGGCCCCAGAAGCCAAAATCTCGAGATCGTATCATGAAAGATCAATGTGCACGCGTTCGCAATAAAAAAAAATTTATATCAGCATTGGCGGTATATAATCATATTATCCGTCTTCATTATCTCATTTCGAATCATACAGAGTCAGCCATAGAAGGACCACCTGCTGCGCCCAATAAGGTTTTTTGAAATCTTTCATTAGAACATTTCCAATTAGCAGTAATTAGCCCTCCCGTCAGCACGAATCTTTATTTGTTCAACTCCTTTGCCTTGGCTTGTCGTTCTTCCTTGCTACCCTCTTGCTCAGGCATGCTCTGCGGCACGGCCGGGCCTGGGTGGGCCTGGTGAGCAGCGAACGCCTTGGCCCCTTCAGTTGCCGAAGTAGGATCATGAGGTTTGAACTCAGCATCAATCTTGCCAGTCTGTTATTCATACAAAGGATCATGATCAGCAACCATATACGTAGGCAAGGTGAACACTGATGTGTGGAGTTTGCAGGGTGGTTATGACCCCCCGGATGCCTAGTGTAATCTGTACGGAATACGGAATACTAACCTGGGCGGCGGGGTAGCTGTCTTTCCTGCCAGTCATCTTGTCGGAGTTAAGAGATGGTCTGTCTTGTTTGGTAACCACGTATCGTTTGAAGAGTGCTTGGAGTGTTGTTGTTGTTGGCAGTCAAAATTTCATGTATTCTTTTAGAATTTTGTTGAAAGATCAAGTCTGAGTTTCTGATTGTTCTTATATTCCCCAAAGCTGGCTTTTGCTCGCAACTTACAGCTGACCTCTTGATGACGTACCTTGCGCGCCCTTGGGAAGCTTGTGATTGGACCTTCTCCATGGCGGCGGTCCTAAGGTGTGTAGAGCCGATGATTTGCGGCAAACCCCAGGTTTTAATGGCTGTTGTAACTTGCAAGCAGCAGCAGGCTCCCAGATTTGTACGTGAGCCACACTACGTATCGCCAAGTCACACGCCAAAACTCGAAAGCTCATATCGATTTGCTGCATAGCATTCCTGGCAGACAACCAAACCTACCTATTGTGGGCACCTTCATGACGCGTGTCGAGAACCTTAGGCCATCTCCAATTGTACCTTGGTGACTCCGAACTGTTCCCGACTTTGCAGGAGAACCAATCATTACTCAACCACACGGCTGATCCGGCGCAGTATGCACATGAAAAGGCATATACTGATGCGGTAGAGCAACTAGAAATCGGTCCTCCTAAAACGACGTCTGCCTGCGATCTCATATGAGCTGTAGCGACTGGAGTCGAGATTGCTGGTGCCCCGCATGTCTGCCGCCCCTCAACCAGTGAAGCTTTCGCTGCCTCTTGTATGCAATTCACTTTCTCTGTTCCTGCCTACCCACATGGCTCACACACCTTAGGAGTACCAACAGCACCTCTTTCAGGAGCTCCGCAGCGAGGATGAGCTGGTGGTTCTTGCTCGGGGTCTCGGCCTTATGAGGCTGGTCACCAACCTGTTGCATAGTTATGATGCTGCGGGCAACAACCTGATCATCATTATTGGTGCCGAGGACCGTGAGAATGCATGGATTGGCGAAGCTCTTGCTGAACATGCCGCCATCAGCATGGCTCCCAAAGCGAGGGGGTTGACGGTGGTCAATACTGACTTCACGAGCGTCGCAGCGAGAGAGAGAATGTACGCTCAGGGGGGCATCTACAGCATCACCTCTCGAATTCTGGTTGTGGACCTCCTCACGAGTCTGCTCAACCCGGAGACCATTACTGGTGTCATTGTCCTACATGCTGAAAAGGTAATTGCTACGTCTCTTGAAGCCTTCATTCTGCGAATCTTCAAGCAGAAGAACAAGGTTGGTTTCCTCAAGGCCTTTTCCGATAATCCAGATCCCTTCACCATTGGTTTCTCCCCATTGGCGACCATGATGCGAAATTTGTTTCTCAGAAAAACCTCTTTGTGGCCGCGATTTCATGTCACCGTGGCAAGCTCGTTGGAAGGCAAGAAGAAAGCAGAAGTTATTGAGCTCGAAGTACCCATGACAGACGCCATGAAGGAGATTCAGACGGCCATCATGGAGTGCGTCGAAGTCAGCATACACGAGTTGAAGAAGAACAATACCGGATTGGATATGGAAGACTGGAACCTCGACAGCGCCTTGTTGAAGAATTTTGATGTCATGGTACGTCGTCAGCTCGATCCCAACTGGCACAGGGTCAGCTGGAAGACGAAGCAAATCGTGAGCGATCTCACCGTCCTTCGGAGTATGCTCCAGTCTGTTCTCACCTATGATTCGGTGGCCTTTCTTCAGCATCTAGACACCATTCATGCGGCTCACTCGCCGCAGCCTGGCTCGACAAGACAGAGTCAATCTCCGTGGATGTTCCTCGATGCAGCCCACACAATATTTAGTGGCGCAAAGCAAAGAGTATACTCAAGTACCGCCAAGGCAACCGAACAAACTCCGATCGATTCGCTGCAACCAGTACTGGAGGAACAGCCCAAGTGGGCTGTACTAGCAGAAATTCTGGAAGAAATAGATCGCGATTTATATTTTGAGCCTGCTCTAAGGGATGATTCGAATGGCACTATCCTAATCATGTGCTCGGACGCCTCTACTTGCCGTCAACTCCGGCAATACTTGGAATGGATGCACGTCAAGCCAAGAGCTGATGACCCAACAAGCAAGAAGAACAGGGACGAAGAAGGCAAGCCATCTGCGGCTTATATGATGAGAAGAAAGCTACGGGAATACCTGAAATGGAAGAGAGAATTTGCGCAGATCAGTAACGCATTATTCTCGGAAAACCAGGAAGCAATCAAGGGCGCCGCAGATCCTCGACTCGGCCAAGCAAAAGGTCGTGCCCCAGCCAACAAACGTAGACGGCAGAGAGGCGGTGGTGCTGCGGGTACAGTCACCGGGCGTGCTGCCAATGGCAGCGTGATTCAGTACTTCGAGAAGCCGTCCGAGGTCGACGGACTTATTGCCGGAGTGCAACCGACCGAGGAGGAAGCAGCGCAAAAGCCCGATATTATCGCCGATCCACTGGACGACATGGATGAATACTACCAACTATATGAGATGCAGGACTTGGTTGTCATTCATGCGTTCGAGGGAGATCAAGACGAACATGTTCTCGAGGAGATTAAACCACGATACATAATCATGTACGAACCGGATGCTAGCTTCATCCGCCGCGTGGAGGTTTATCGGTCCTCCCACAGCGACCGAAATGTTCGCGTCTATTTCATGTTCTATGGTGGTTCCGTCGAGGAACAGCGTTATCTTGCGTCTGTCCGTCGAGAAAAGGATGCATTCACGAAGCTCATCAAGGAGCGTGCCAGCATGACCATTGTTGATACGGGAGCTGAGAATGCCGTGGAGGATCAACAGGAGGCTTTCCTCCGAACCGTAAACACTCGAATCGCGGGTGGTGGCCGACTTGCCGCTACAGCACAACCACCACGAGTTGTGGTCGACGTGCGAGAATTTCGCTCCTCTCTGCCGTCCCTTTTACATGGGCGAAACATGGTCATAGTTCCATGCATGTTGACAGTGGGCGACTACATCCTCTCCCCGACAATATGTATCGAACGCAAATCGGTCAGCGATTTGATAAGCTCCTTCAAGGATGGTCGCCTCTACAACCAAGCCGAAACCATGTTCCTCCACTACAAGAACCCCATGCTTTTGATCGAATTTGATCAAAACAAGTCATTCACACTTGAGCCTTTTGCCGATCTGTCGGGCAACCTGTCTGCGATCAACCCTGCAAACGTGCCATCAGATCTACAGTCGAAGCTTGTTCTGTTGACTCTTGCATTCCCACGCTTAAAAATCATTTGGAGCAGCAGCCCCTACCAGACAGCCGAGATATTTGAGAATCTCAAGACCCATGAGGAAGAGCCGGACCCAATCGCGGCGGTACGAGCTGGATTGGATAAAGACGTCAGAGCCGAAGATCAGACATTCAACCTGGAACCACAGGAAATGCTGGGCGTAGTTCCGGGGGTGACACCCAAGAACATCATGAACTTGACCCTGAAATGTGAAAACGTCCGTGAAATTGCAAACATGACCGTAGAGGAGCTCAATCCCTTGGTTGGCCGTGAGGCTGGACGGCAGATTGAGAGGTTCTTTGCGAGGGATCTGATTGATACTGATTAAATAGACATCTAGATTTGTTGTTGGCAAATCTTGGCTAGTGTAGAAGACAGGTATTCCAGTGCCATGGCAATCAAGTAGATTCATTTGGTAGAAAACGTCAGATTAGCTTGGCCAATGTTCAGTTTCAACAGTTTCCAGTTCCGAGAAATGCGTATCTTAATTTACGATCATGTATCTTGCGACATGGTTCACGGTAGATGCCAGAACATGATTGCTTATGCAAATAAAATTGGTATTATCGATACGGAAATGAAAGCCTGAATAGCGTCATGCCAATCGTCGTAACGTTCATGCAGGGGTATCATGACTTCCTCTCGCCCTTCTCAAAAAAATCCACTCGTTCTCGAGGTATCATCTCCTTTATCCATCGCTCTCTCCTCCTCAACACTGTGTCAAACAAACAAGAAAAAGAACTCCAAGCGCTTTCATCCCTTCATCCCTTCTTCATCAAGAGGTCTTCACACGGTGCTTTTGGTGTGGTGTCGGACCTTGTCTTGTGGTTGTTGAAGAAGGTTCCTCTCCTTTTAGATACGACTCGTCGTATGATGTCCCCTAGTCCTCGTGGTACCACCGCGCTTGCGACCGCAGTAGCCGCAGGTGAGGAAGGAGATGAGGATGTTGAAGAAGGAGGCGATGCCGTGGATGATGGCGGTCAGGATGCTGGCGATACCGTTGACAATGGCCATGAGGACGTTGCCAATGGTTCGGAAGAGGTTTTGAATCTAGATACGACTGTTAGCTACAATGCTTTTTTTTTCCCCTAGTGGTGGGTTTGATGTGTCGTGTTTAGGCGGGATGAACTTACGCAAGAGACGACGGCACCCATTTTGAATGATTTGTGATGGTTTGTTTGTAGATGTTTGTTTTGGTATGTGTGTGTATGTGTGTAAGGTTGTAGGACTTCTTAGGTCAAGGCGAAGTGTTGGTTTGTATTTGTTGATGTTCAAGTAACGAAAAGGAAGTTACAAGACAGGACGGAGGTTGTTGGTTCTTTATATCTAGCAGTGGGCTGTTTTCGTCGCACGACTTCCCGCCTGGGTAGAAGGACCCAAAAAAGGTTCGAGTCACAAAGGGCCACCAATAATCAAGGCACCTATCCCTGGTCTCTTTTTCGTCCTCACTGCAGTGTACATAGTATGTCTTCATACCACCCGAGGGAAGGGGGAAAAAAAGATTGATCTTCCCGGGTTCAAGGATTGAGGGTGGGTCGAGCTTGGCTTGTCTGGTCCCTTGTGGCTGCTTCTAGCACAAATTATCACGGCAGCAAAAAGGCATGGCATCATCATCATCACGGGCCCTGACTGGGGGAGATGCTTTTCGGCTGCGACCTACCTCAGCAGACGTGCAGACGACGAAAATGACATAGGGATTACGGAGTAGGGCAACGTGCAGGCTTGCCAGTCGAGGCTGGGATGACCAGATTGGGGATATGGAACACTATGAAACGACCAATCACCTCGGGCGCATGTGGCTGTCTGTCGCCCATTTGAGAAAGGATAAGATATTGAAACCACGCTTCTAGGCCAATCTCGTGATAGCTTGTAAAAGAACACGATTCGGGGCATTTTTTCTTCTCCATGGTTGTTCGCATTTTTTTCTGATGGATCTACAGAGTACAGCTTTTGCATGCGGGATTGACGTCATGGGTCTAGATGCAGTCGCCCAAGCAAAAGACAAACCCCACCAACGCTTGTTCTGACAGACGAAGCTACGCCAATTAGACACCCCTGGCTCCTCCCAAGAACCCCAAATTAACCATTCCAGCACTGGCACTAGATCACGATCTGGCTCTACCAAACCCGATGCGTGGTGACATGGTTGCAAACGAGACCCTCATTCGTGCTGCCGATTATCCCGTCGCGTGCCAGCAAGAAAAAAAAAGGTTAATATCCGCAAACTTGGCTTTCCATGACCTGTTTCGGGAACTGGCATTGGGTGGGAAAGGGTCTGGCTCGTACATCAGACCAGGGCCGTGCCGGCGCAAAAGGTCCGTCTAAGCAGCATTCCAACCATCCCCTGCTAACCGCCAACCTGGGGCATTCAACAGGGCTGATAGTCGCTTATACCATTTGCAAGGTAGAATAGCGGCCTTCTAGTCTATACAGGGCAGATGAGGCCGGTCCGGTTCCTACGCTGGCAGTTTCATATTGACCTTTGCGAGATGGTTTCCAGCCAAGTTCATGTCGGCTCATTTGCGCTGGGAAATTTGAGGTTTGTCGCAAAAAAGGCTGGAAGCGATAAAACCCCAGGTGATGTGAGATGTCAGAAACCAGCTCATGACGTCAGCGGAGTCACTCTATACAAACAACCCGCCAAACTTGAAGTCTCTTCAACGGCCAACCGCTCGACCCACGACAAAACGAAATTTGCAAAAAGGTCTCGGCTTTTTTGCGTGAACCTTGCGAAACATCAAAAGGTAAAAGACCAGGTGTCTAGGTAATTAAGCGGGTAATTGGAAGAATGTATGCGCTAGGAGCAATGCTGGATGAAAATCATTGTAGCGATCTTGTATACATACGGAACAGTCCCACACAAAGAAGCATCACGACACATGCTAAGTAACCGATGGCATCATGAATGCATGCAAAAACCGTCCCCTCCTCGCCGATTATGGTAACAAGACCCAAGAAGCATCAGAAATCCTGATTCAGTCGCATCTGTGGCTGAATCTGGCAATTCGCCCATCAACTTGAAGTCTAGAACTCCCCCATCGTGATGCCCCGCGCCACAAATCCCAATCCAGAATCCGGTTTTCTGTCCAAGTCTGACGTATTTCCCCCCTTCCCCATCCCTCCCACTTTGCCTGGTGCGCCACAACCCTCGATCATAAGCCTACCCGTTCAAGTCCGCTTTTTTGCTTCTAATTTCTCTTTTTCTCTTCACCCCATGTGTGCTGACTGTGATGTCTTGACAATTTGTACTCTTCCTATGAAGATGGCTGTCAAACATTCCCACCTCGTGTTGGGATGAAGGGCTTGAATGATGCTCTTTTGCTTGATTCTCCCCCCCTTCGCTCAGTCTAGCATGGCCTCCCACTTGGCCGTGGTAAAAAGGTCTATTCTGGAGATGTAGTCTGAGTTTCCTCGACACTCTTCCGATTCTCGACTTGTGTTGAAGGTTTTTCGATTGACCGAGTCCTAGACTTGTGTCTCGAGACTTTCATCACGCAGTCAACCCTTCTCGTTCTTCCCCCGTTTCCTCGACAAGCCGGCCACCTTTGACCGCCACTGACGCCTCCACCAGCGATCGGAACATCGTAGGTTCGTGTCGCGCTAGACTTGGTTTTCTCGATTCCTGCGACTACCGGGCATGGGATAGAGTCCTCGTGTTTTCCCCAGTTGTAGTTGCCTTTAGTGCCTCCTGGGCCATGGACCGTTGTGTACCGTCCTCAACCCCGTACGAGCGGTCGAGACCTCGTTGAACCCCGAGCTTCTTATGTATACATTGCTACCGGAGTTGATTGTCGTCGCCGTCGATAACTGCTGCTTTCGGAAATGGAAAGGGCACCACTCTCCCAGGACGTCGAATGACTTGACTACCCCCTCTTCGATGATGCCTGGGACGATCGGTTGCTGGGCCTTGGGATATTACTATTTTGCTTTTCCCCTTTGCTCCGATCAACGCCAATCGAGATACTCGCGGTGCTGTGCCAATGTATCGCACTGACGATCATGTCTCCTACAACTAAATAACTGCCGCTTCGGATTACCACGTCTTGCACTGGTGTTCGATGAGGTCCACCTACTACAAGGGAATTGGAACGCACCAGAATCCGAATCTCTGCATTCACCAATCGACAATACAACTAGCACCTCAAGGCACTCCATGCTTGTGGACCAGCTATTTCGACAACCCGCGAATACCTCTCGAAGAACATGTCGACAATTTCACCCTCGTTCATACGTGGGAGACCATGCATACATGCATGCGTGTTTCTGGCAGAGTTTGGATGGATATTCGTCAAATAACTTGGGGATGTATGTACTGAGGTGGCTTTAACACTTGAGATCAATACAATCTCTTGAAAACATAACTTTGAAGGCTATATCTGCCATTCCCGTCACTCGCTTGAAAACTTTCGTTCCTGTCCATCAAATTATGACCCATAAACGTATCGTAGTTTAGTGTAAAAGATGCCCTGTGTACATAAACCCCGTGGCTGCTGGCCACTGAGGTGCTGCACGAATGGAGTACCACACGTTCTATCGACATATATCACTGATTCTAAATACATGCATACCTAATATCATCGCACAACATTTTTATTCGCAAATCACGCCCCTTCCGCAAACACATTTGATCTTTGCAGTTTCAGTGCCGCAGTAGAGGGTACCATTGCTGTACACCCAGACAGAACTATACGAATCCCACACCGATTCTGTCAATTAATCTGTCATGTAGTCATCTTTGCATATGCAAAACATGTGTTTGCACGTCGCAAGCCCATGCATTTGACTGCAACCATCTGGAGGCCTATTGCATATCATTTCAATCATGGCTGAACAAGAGCACAATAAAACCCCCACCCCAATCTTTACCAAAACACCATATTTGAGACGAGTGCAACAGCTCAACGCGAGAAGAAGAAAGCAAAAACCGCATTTCAAGAGAATCCCGGCCCAATCGCGCTACGGGCCCGGGATTTGAAACTAGGGCAAAGGCCGTTCGGGAGTGCACGGGGATGCGGAGCGTCCGGCAAGCGGCCTTGCATGATCGTGCCATCCGGGATTTGATCAATGGTTCGAGAGGCGTCAGACGGATGCGACCGTCCCTGAGCCTCGGATTCTGTCTTGAAACGGTAGTGTCTGTTGAAGAATTCCCCAATGATCTTTCTGTCTTCACGGTCCATTGGCTTGTGGTCTTCTAGGAGCCGCCCGGTCCGTTGCTCTTTGCCTTAGGAAACGTCTTACAAAATACCTCTTCTTACCGCTACAGTGGAACCATGACTAATAGTCGAATCACGTCGACTTTGTGAGGCTGCAACTCGTACTCCTCAAAGACAATCTGGCAATTTGCGTGACTAGAAGGTAACTCGGTTGAAATTCGCACAGGCTCGGTCTTTCCGAGGATCCCCCCTCACATACTGCCAACTGCTCGGGAGATGGTGATGAGTTGTTCTGGGTCCCTTGCGCCGGCGCCCGTCCCTTACTCACTCCCACATTGGTCATGCGTATACATCTGTACAATCGGCCTTTGCCATTGGTGGTGCGTATAGGGATGCCTTTTTGCTAACTCGGAATAAGAAAACTGGGCTGTTAATCATGCATCACGCCTTGGACGTAGCACAGGCATGCAGTAGCTATGTGATATGTGGTTCGAGTTGACGTTCGCAAATGCCGATTCGTCTTGAGCAAGTTCCGGCCGAGATGAATATATAAGTGGTGAATGTTTCGTTTCTTCTTGTCTGAATATACACCAGAACATCATTCACACTTTCAAGACATCAACTTATCAAGTACACATCTTATCAACAATCCTTCAAAATGCCCATCACCAAGTACAAGGCCGCCGCTGTAAGTGATTCCATATTTGTGACTCCAATATCAAGGTTGACTGACTTGAACAGGTCACCTCCGAGCCTAGCTGGTTCGACCTCGAGGGCGGTGTTCGCAAGACCATTGACTTTATCAACGAAGCCGGACAAGCAGGATGCAAACTCGTTGCCTTTCCAGAAGTCTGTGAGTAGAAACAGCATCGCCTTGAATGAGTTTCTATGTTGTACATCACGACTGACATCCTTTTCCTCAGGGATTCCCGGATACCCCTACTGGATGTGGAAGGTCACCTACCTGCAGAGCCTCCCAATGCTCAAAAAGTACCGCGAGAACTCCATGGCTGTAGACTCTGAGGAGATGCGCCGCATCCGCCGGGCGGCGCGCGACAACCAAATCTTTGTCTCGCTGGGCTTCTCCGAGATTGACCACGCCACGCTGTACCTGGCCCAGGTGCTCATCAGCCCGACGGGCGAGGTCATCAACCACCGCCGCAAGATCAAGCCCACCCACGTCGAGAAGCTCGTCTACGGCGACGGCGCCGGCGACACCTTCAAGTCCGTCACCGAGACCGAGATTGGCCGCGTCGGTCAGCTCAACTGCTGGGAGAACATGAACCCCTTCCTCAAGTCCCTCAACGTCTCCGAGGGCGAACAAGTACACATTGCCGCTTGGCCCGTCTACCCCGGCAAGGAGAGACAAGTCTCGCCTGACCCTGCCACCAACTGTAAGTACTACAAGCCTTGCTCTCGTCATGAAGACACTTGTCAAGTATGAGAGACGAGAAGATAACCTCTATACCCATCAGACGCCGACCCTGCCTCGGACCTGGTCACCCCCGAGTACGCCATCGAGACGGGCACCTGGACCCTGGCGCCCTTCCAGCGCCTCTCGGTCGAGGGCCTCAAGAAGAACACCCCCGAGGGCGTCGAGCCCGAGACGGACCCGTCCGTGTACAACGGCCACGCCCGCATCTACCGCCCCGACGGCAGCCTGCACACCAAGCCCAGCAAGGACTTTGACGGCCTGCTGTTTGTCGACATTGACCTCAACGAGACCCACCTGACCAAGGTCCTGGCCGACTTTGCCGGTCACTACATGCGCCCTGATCTCATCCGTCTCCTCGTCGACACGAGGCGCAAGGAGCTGATTACCGAGGCTGACCCGGCTGGTGGTATCGCTACCTACAGCACCCGTACCCGTCTGGGCTTGGACAAGCCCCTGGATGGAGAGCCTGCGTCTATCAAGGTTCCCCAGGACAAGACGGAGGACCCTTCCAAGATCTAGAGACACTTGATAACACTCAGCTCTGAATAACAGATGAGCCTTATGTATATAGTAAAAACAATTCTTCTCCATCTTTATGTTTTACTTGGGTGTGTGATTAAATATGCGTTTCATTTGCCGCCATCCCATGATTCCGTATCTTATTCTGTGCAGTGACTGAACACGATTATGATCATGTTCCAATGGATTGGAACGCTGGGTATCAGTGATTAAAGCCATGTACTCATCACTCCTCTCGTAACTCGACAGTGTTGCTAGTATAAATATCCTAACAAAAGTGCTACAACATACTCGGGTCTACTACCACAAAACACCACAAACCACAAGCTACACTGACAGACTTTTACACATCACGGGATCACAAGAAGCCCAACATCGTTTCATACTTAGAGTTACCTGCATACTTCTTGCCACCATGTGCACCCACGTCATGAACCACTGGCAGGGATGCCACCACAAGGCATATCTCTACACCGAAACCTGCGCCGCAGCCCAACGCCGGGGCGGCCGCGAAGTCACGGGACGCTTCATCTGTTCACGAGGCGACGCCAACAGGACAGCCGTCCAGTTCGGCGACCGCCATATACCAACCTGGATGAGGGGATGCCGGCACCGGGTGGAGATGCAGCCCGCTGGTGGACTCCCGGATTGCTGCGAGGATTGTACGAGGATTCACGAGCTTTATGCCTCGATCGATGCGGATATGGCGGCGGATTTTGCAGATATGGAGAGTTAGATAGACTTTCTCTTAATGACAATTGAGGCTGCCAAGTTGTTGCTCATATCCTACCATGATTTCTCTGTGTTTCATATAAAACAATTGTCATGTTCCTAGACTTATCCTCTTCGACTACAGGTTGTTGATCAAGTCGTCAAGCGAGTGATGTTCAAGATTTCTCTATGCGTTTTGCAAGGAATTGTCCTATTTCCAATGATCTTGGTGGCAATGATGGTCTCGCAAGTTTTTGACGCTTAATGCTGAGCGCTTTGAGCTGTATCTTTGGTGGAAATGACCTCAGTATGGGTCTCCTTGACATCTCCAGAGGGTCTAAGAGCCAATGCAAAGGAGAATCAGATGCATTTGGCAAATAGCCACTAAAACATACGTACAATCATGTCTCGGGCAGTGGACTGATGATGGCTCGGGGAGTGATTCGGAGGCGTCATCAGTTCATGGCAGGTTGGCTGCGTATCATGGCCAACTACAATCTTGATAGTGTCCTATCTGGTCATTTAAATGATGATCACCGAAGGCTACTAACCATTGCCAAAACTAAATCGGATAATTTTGGATCAAAGACTGCAATGCTAAAATAACCGTAGAGACCAGCTATGCTTGAGATGTCCATATGAAAGATGACGAGTGATTTGAAGGTGTACAAACGCTTCGAAACTCTTGAGAATCTGAACTTGAGTCAAACTCAGGACGGTGCTGGTGTTGGTAACAAAGCACGATACAAGGCTTTCGTTTCCCACCCGTATTCCGCGAATTCCTCTAACCGACGTCTTATCTCGCGCTCCGAGGCCTTCCGTGTTATGCCGCCCTTTGATACCAACAGAGAAATCAATTTGTAGAGTCCTTCATAGATAAGCTTTCTCTTGCGGATGAATTCTGAACCCTCTTTGTAAATGTCCAGGCTGGTTCGCCCAATGCGTGCTTGTCCGGTATTTATCCCCTTTCCAAACTTATAATCCAGCGGCGTTTGACCAATAGAGTCCAAAGCGTTCACATTTGCCCCATACTCGAGGAGGAGTTCTGCTAGTGGCGATGGGGCTATGTGCAACGGCTTGCCCTTTAGTCTCTGGCGCTTGTCGTCACCCAATTGAATGTCGACGTCCGAGGACTGGCCATGCTCTAACAAAATCCTTGCCGCATCAAGATACTGATCTTGCTCATCTGGCGGCCCGTCAAATATTCTTGTAAATCGAAAGACACGGTCAAAATAGTCTACGAAACAGCTGAAGGCTTTTGGATCTTGGTCCATCCTATAGCCTGAATGTAATAGAAGTCGAGTCATTGATGCCACCCACGGTCGGGGCCACGAACTCATTAACTTGGTAATAAGCGGCTCCGTCGACTTTTTCAGCACTTCCGGATCCTCTGCCAGTTTTTCAGATATGAGCAGTTGTAAGCCGGCTTCAACAGCGAATTTGAATAAGCTTTTTGTCTCGGAACGGCCATAGTATGAGGCAGGAACACTTCCCCAAAAGTCTTTCATGCTGCGCCCGGTTGTTATTTCAGCTGCTCGGGCGTAGTATTTGAGGCCGGAGTAGGGATATTGTGCAGAGAGACTTAGCGGCGTATACTTTGTGATCATATGTTCGATGACCGTCGGTATACTAGGCGGCTGATTCTTGAAATAGAGCTTGGCCAAGTAGGAGTTACCATTCTCGGTTGTGACTTTTGCCAAATTCCCCAATATAAGGGCCTTGAATCTTGGACTCATCACGAAGTCTTCCACGGTCTGATGAAAAACCTGGACACCTTCTTGATCTTTTCTAGCGACAGAGGTCCCTGTCTTGACGACCTCAATCAGACCACCACAGTACTTACTGGAGTATTGTCTCGCTAAATCTGGATAGTATCCCCGTTTCAGCTTAGTAAACCTTTGACGCCGGAGCGTTGTATATGCTGCCATGTACTCCGCGTGCGACTGTGACCTGGAGGTACTCAGTGCGCAGACGAAAGCTTTTGGTGAAATAGGTTCTCTCGAGCGTACAGTGATTTCCAACATTACATATACCATCAACCTGTGAGCATGAGGAATGCGGTCTATGAGTTCGGCATAATACTCATCGAGCTCCGAGGGAAGTGCTTTGAGTCGCTTTTCCAAGTCTTGTCCGTTGGTCTCAGCCCTGAAAGCTTGAGCAAGATTTTTGACCACAAGCTTCACCCAAAGGAACACACCTTTGGATCGTTCCACGAGAACTGGGACCAGATCTTCCAGTACGGTAGCAGTGAGGTCTTCGTTTCTGATGGATCCCAAGCAATAGTCTCTGATATCGTCTCTCGTGTAGTCTTGGATACTGAAACCAGGACAGTCCTTGAACTCCCTGATGAAGATGTCCCATGGACGACTTGAGAAACAGATCTGAATCCGCTTGGTTGTTGTTTGTGGTATCCGACTGAGGTCGCAGAGAAATTTGCAAATAGGCTCAAGTCGTCCATCATATTCGTCCAAGGCATCCAAGAACAGGCAAAGATGCAATGGTACCTGGTCTTGTTCCAGAATCTGAAAGAGCGCTCTTTGCAACCGTGATAAAGTCCAATCATGAGACTTCATAGGTTCGTCGTTGGTTGACTGCCACAAGTAGGAAGACAAGCTATTGCATTGCTTTATGATTTGCGTGAGGACGCTTCTCAAGAGTCCTTCGAACGACTTTTGCATTGTATTCCCACGATAATGGAAGAAGAATGCCGCGCGAATCTGAACAGCTGACGTTCTCCAGTCAGACAGCAAGTCGTCAGTCCGAGAATCTTGAACAATGAACTTCATCAACGTAGACTTCCCCGATCCCGGTTTTCCGTTGATCCAGAATAGTCCAGTCCCTTTCTGAAGCCATTGGTTGAGACCTGGTTTCTGTTGATCGTATGCCCAGTCAAAGGTGTTCTTGAAGTTTTTCTCAATTTGTTCCAGACGATAATCTTGCTTCGGGGCATCAAGGAACCGTTCAACGACTGTGCATTGTACAAGTCAGAGTGATATACGAAACTAAATGATCAAAAACTTACCGGAAGCTTTGGTCTCTGTGTTGGACGTATCATTCTGTGCTGTGGAAAGAGCCGACTCTCTTTCAATAGCTGGCTCGATTTTCACTTGTGCTACAATCTGCACCAACTTGTCGACCACTATGCTGTAATTCGGGTCATTCTCAGCAAACTTGACCATGTTGGAATGGTTCTCATTGATTGGAAAGATCAGATGGGACCTCGAATGTAGTTGGTATAGTCCACGGGCTGCAGACTGCTGAGTGACCAATATCTCTTCTGGGCCTGATCTTTCCCAGACGCCCTCAGAGTTTTTCTGTATAACGTAAGTTTCAAGGCATTCTATGGAATTGGGAGTGATATACACATACGCTTACGGTCGGAGATTTCCGAGTTTCGTACGCCCAATAAAGATGAATGCCTTGGAGGTAAGTAATTCCAGCAAACTGCTCGTCGAGTTGGCACAGATACTCGGAATTGACGGATAGGTCATCTACGATGGCTTCATTAGGCTGGCCATCAACCATGGCCATAAGATGCGATTGCTCCATGCCTAGGTTCGGTACACCAAAGAATATGGCTCCTCTGATAGCCTTCCGGAGTAGGTCATCGCGCCGCATATGATTTGCAAGGGAGACGAGGGCTTGTTTGAGGACGATGCCACCCAAGCTGTGTGCAAGGAACACGAGCGGTTTCGACGTTGGTGAGTTCCAGCCATTTGCCTTCAAAAGGCTCAAGAGATTCAGTGCTAAGTCCAGGATTGACTGGAAAGAATTGCTGTTGACAAGAGTGGTGTCATAGCCGTATATAATTGGCCGGATACTCGGCAGTGACTTTGGCAACGCATCACGAATCCACATGAATGTCTTGGATGCACCTTTGGGTTGCCATGATCCAAAGGGGTGGCTCGAGAGTCCCGAGATTGCTATACAACTGCGATATCGCTTAGTCAAGAGCCATGATAACATGTGAGGCTTCTTACTCTGCGTCGTGAACCTTTGGATCAGACAAAGGTGTCAATCCACGAAAATGCGAATCCAAGACCAGAGAATCTTTTAGATTCTCAACCCGCACTTTCCACTCGTCTCCAGACTTGGTGATATTTCCCTTTTTGTTCTCTTTGAGGACTTCTTGAATTGTTAATGTCTCATTGAACTGGAGTGTAGCGGTCTTGCTTAGAACCCATGGATCGGTGCTGCGAGCCAAGGACTGGACGTCTATGGCTGATGACTCGACGCCCAGCGATTTGCTGAGGAGCTGGACCACTTTCAGCCGGTCAGCGTCTTCGGGCAGCTGCCGCAGCCGAAACACTACGCGGTCCATCGATATCAACGCCTCAGCATAGCGATGCCCGATGTCCAGGTAATCATGCTTGCGGGACGGCCGCTCTGTGAGGGAGGATCGAATGATGATGCTGATTGGCAATTTTTGGATCACATTTTCCAGAGCCTCGCGTCATCTTCAGAAGTTCTTGAGGTGGTCTGTGCTGTGGTAATCAATCGATGTATACATTTCAATACAGGCTGGGCGAAGTGAGGGGTTGCGACATTGATTTGGTGTAACCAATGAAATTGACATCCGTATTGGGCGAAGTGTCAGCGGCTCAGCCACACTTTGGCACTGAAGCCTGGATGGTCAGGATCCTACGGGACTTTTCCTGATCATAAAAGTTCATGAAAATAACCTTGCTTGCGAACAGAAGTTTTTGACCTCCATGTTTTGATATGACGATGAAAATAATTGGTCATACATTGTTGAGGTATCGACCGACGGCTTGTTGCGAAACAACATTTTCTCGGTAGATTCAATCGTAGCTGAAAACAATCAGTCTCAAGTGATTGACATCCTTGAGGAAAATGCCATGACCATCTCTCAGTTGCTCATATAGTGTTTTATGCGATATCTTGCCCGCTTGTGAAAGCTTTTATACCTTCTATGCCATGAGCCGATGAATACGATATCATCATCACGCAAACTCTTTGGATGCCGTCCTGCATGGCTTTTCCATACTCACATACAAAGATCCATTCAATCTTCCTTCAAGCAGATTAGTCACTCCTTTCCTGACGGCAAAGACATATCGGTCAGTGAACGGCATGGTAGTTGGTGTGCAACCACTCGTGAATGGACTAAATTTAGAGAAAGGCGCAGAAGAGTCTTGAAATAATCACAGACTATAAATGAAATACCTTTGCCGTGAATTGGTTCATCATTGTCATGCGATATATCATGCTAGGAGTATAAATATCGCTTGAACGCTCGAAGATTGCTTTTGCCCTTTCCTTTTACATTCTGCCACCACCTTTACTACACACTTAAACAAGAGTCTTGCTTTGCTCAATCGGGCTTCGTCAATTATCACAATCCTCATCTCTAAATACCAACTCTTGAGCCGATACTCAACACCGTTCGACTACCTCTCCACCTAGCTACTCACCTACTTACACGTCTAGACTGTTTGTGCCGTACAGGACAACATTCCTTGTATCACCGCCAACATGTGTACTCACGGCTATGTCTTCTACAGTGTATGTCGACATCGCTGCTATGCTCACTCGGCGCTATGCCAAGTAGCAATTGGCCATGCCGGTCGTTTGGAGAGCAATACCATAATCTTGCCAGATGCAGAAACCCTACCACCTTATATGCAATACTGCGAAAAGTTGGAATGCCAAGAGGAAAGGCAAAGTAAGTGCCATAACTGCAAAGCCCGGGCCAGACGTGGAAGAAACAGTTGAATCAAGTCAAGCTGTCGCCATTGCTGTGCATGTCGATATAGGTCGAGACTTGCTTCACCGTGTCATGCTTGACGGCGCAAAGATACAATTCGGCAGCCAAATGGCCTGGAAGGAGCCCACGGAACTTGTAGAGGGTCATAGTATTTAAGGAAATAAAAGTACCTGATTGACCAGAAACTTTCAGTAAAGTGACGGAGTGATCCACCACTAAAATACAACATTAGCTAATGGCAATACATAAAGCTGTTGTTCTTTGAATTTAATGTCTTCCTCCACCACCACATTCATTTATTTGACAGGGCAGGACAAACTTATTTGTTTCTTATGATTATTCTTCGCACATTATCAGTATCCCTAGCTCTTAATACTTGACATACCATTTGAAAAGAGCATGATCATATTGCAGAACACATCATACTACCCGAATTCTACAACAGGACAAAACAACCCGCCACAACCATGTGCATCAATTACCACGCGTTCTTCCCAGCACTGGAAACGTAAGCATATATTCTACCTAGGAGCGGAATTTTGCGCCAAGGTACGAAGAATGGGTGGCCATGATGTAGCAGAATATTTTCACTATTCTTGGCTCCCAACACTTGCCGTGGTACATGACGTACTATTCTAAGAAACTCGCCTACGCCAAGAACTATCTGAGCAATTGTGATGCCTACGAAGATTTAGACAATGAAAGAGTCCGTCAAGCCGCTCAGTCATCCGGATCTCTCAAGTCTTTGAGGCCATATATTGCTTTCCTAGGACAACTGGAGAAGTGACAGGTAGAAGGGAGAACCTCAGAACCTGGTTATTGAGCGAGGCATAATGCTTATCTTGCATATGTAGTATACACCGGCTGGTGCTAAATAGCTGCGCGCCCAGAAATGCTATACTTGCTCAATCTGTTCTTCCCCATCGTGCAGAGTCTTCTTTGCGTCCATATTGCGGTTAAGTGCATGCTGGCCCGGCGTCACCGTCTTTCCGCGAGAAGTGAACACTCCGCCTGTAAAGCCACCTTTGTTGAAGAGTAATGGAATCTGGAAGTAGGCATTGTGTCAGCTTTCAAGCACTTGAATTATGTCTGAATACTTCTCATTTATAGCTGCGACCCTCAACATGGAGACGTAGTTGTGAACATTACTCACTGTACGAATAGTCAGCATCTTGATTACTTTCAGGTGATAGACTCAGTTGGGGCTTACCATCTTCCAATTCGAGATTCTTCGTTTCAGGGTAAAAGAAATACACCATTGGAATGAATACGGCGTTGAGTACTGCAAAGATGATAAACGTTCGCCAACCAATGTTCTCTGGACTCAGGTCAGTATATTTGCAGTATCGACAAGGACGAAATCACTTAGTGTGTCATAGTAGAACGTACGAAAAGCGATAGGAGTGATCTTGACAACAGCAAATACTGCCATCCAATTCCATCCCGAAGCAATGGACTGCATCCGAGCTCTGACTCGAGTGGTGTTGATCTCACTCGGATAGAACCATGGGACCTATCCAGTGTTTAGTACAACAGACCCAGCCTTGGGGCGCGATGACCGGGACTTACTGGCAACCAGCCGACACCATAAAAGAGTTGAAACAGAAAGATAAAGGCAGTAGCACCGTACGCCGGACCCGTCGTCCCTAGCGACAGTAATATGGCCACCATGACGAAGCAAAAACACAAACCGGCAGAGCAGAACATGAGCAGGTTCCGCCGACCGTAGCGATCCATGAGGAACACTGGGATAGCGGAACCAACCAGGTATGTAATCTGCGCACAGCCGCCAAGGATCAGAGACAGATTTCTGCTGAGCCCCATACTCCCTTGAAATATGGTTGGCGCATAGTAGTTGATCATGTTGGATCCGCTGAACTGCTGGCCCAGCTGTACCGAGATGGTCAGAAGCATTCGTCGGAGGTTCTGTTCTGGACCCCATGAAATCAACTCCTTGAACTTGAACGGACCACCCTTGTGCTCCTCTTCGAGTCCCGTCTGGATGTCGAGCAGGATGCGGGTGACCTGTGCATCATCCTCCGGGACTGCCGCGATGGCAGCAATGACTGATCTCGCTTCCTCGTGTCTATCATGTGCCACAAGCCAACGCGGCGTTTCGGGGAGACCGACGATCTGCAAAATTAAAAAGATCGCAAACACAGCCTGGAAAGCAAGAGGAAACCGCCACTGAAATCCTGTATCATATGCCGCCGTGCCGTAATCGGTCCAGTAGGCGATCACGACACCAAGGATTGTGACGGTACCCTGCAATGTCAAAAGGGCACCGCGAATCCGGGCTGGAGAGCACTCGGACTGGTACACAGGCGCCGTCGACGAGTTCATGCCGTTTCCAACACCAGTAATAATGCGACCGGCGATGAGCTGTGCGATTGTATAGGAGGAGCCGAGAATGGCCGAGCCGATGATCATGATGAAACCACCAAGCATGAGCATCGTTCGCCGTCCAAGACGCTCGCCCACAAAGTAACAGATAATGGACCCGAATACACAGCCAATGTCATAGAGGGCAGTGATATTACCCTGCATGTCCGCGTCTGGGTGGCCGAAATCTCGTCCGAAGCGATTGTCTGCGCCAATGATACCTGCCATCACGCCTGCATCCTGTTAGCTGCACTTTCTGAACCATGTTCTCGATAGTGAAACTGTGGATACGCTTATGAACACTTACCTTGATCATATCCCAGTAGCAAGAACGCTTGACAAGAAGCTGCTGTAATGGCAAAGACCAGGGCTTTGCCCTGGAGACTATGTTTCCAGAGCCCCATGTTGGCCACGATATTGAGAAGATGTTGCAAGAAATTATCTATTAGTTTTCTCGAAGCGCATTTGCAACTACGACTTCATTCTATATTCAGTGGCAGATATCATACGCAAGACGGGAACACGGACTGCTCAGCTTGTATAAGCAATCAGATACGCCAAGAACCTCGCAACAACGACGGCCGAGCGAGGCCTATGCTCATCTTGGCAGACCCATCGACCTGGATCTAAACTAGACGCGAACTTGGAGACATGCTGACGATCTTGTGCCTTCTCCGTCAAGCGCACCGGGTTCCCCGGATGTGAGCGGCAGTCAGTCCCGGTATCTGGGTTTGGGGAAGAGGCTACAGAGAACTCGCCACCTCCACATGTGCGGAGCCGCATTTCGGGTCTCACTTGACCGAGATGCGACACTGTCATTGACCTGCGCTCATCAAAACGAGAACTATATCGGCTTACATCATAGCTTATGTTATCTGATATCTAGTTCAGCATCATTTTGCTATTGGAAGACACCAACTCAATCTCGGCGTTAGCCATCATGTCGCCATGTCATTGAGTTTACCCAGCGGAAAGCTTGGCTGCCGTTCATCACCTGCTCTCAACTGCCGCGAGGTCCTGGAATCATCGACAGCGCACAAAAGAAAAGAAAAGTCCCGCCTTGGCAAAGACAGAATCATCATTTCTGAAGATGCCTGCACCACAACACCAAACCAGTTGACAAGAAATTGTCCATCCATCCTTTCAAGATTTGAACAGCTTTGTGGACAATTTGCACATGAACCAATAAGATATATCATCAAGGATGACAAGTTGGGACAGTAAATGCCGGCGAGGGGTATGAGGACGGAGCAGGTAATTTATCCCTTTATACGCTATCACTATACAAATTAGCCGGTATATGGAGCCAGCTCTCTCAACAGCTCCCGCATGCTCTCATTGGTCAGTGGTATTTTTAGATAGACCTAAACCATCAAATGTTATTGAACGCCTGTAATATCAATCTACTGGCGACCTGTGAGGTTACTGCCGATTTGGCTCGCGGGCACTCGGCTCATTGGAACTGACGGCCTCCAAGGCATCCCTCCACATGTATAAGCATCGGGTGACCCTGTGTGGCTCATCGTACTGGAGTTGTGTGTACTGAAGAGTGAAAATTCTTTCGAGTGACCCCGATCATCACAACACCAAAAATGTTCACCAAAGCCCTCTTCCTCCTCGCGCTCGGCGCAACGAGCTTTGCCCAGACGATTCCCGCCGGCTATAGCAAAGTCTACATCACGTCTGCCGTCGACGCCAAGTTCGTCATCGTACCAAAATCCGCCGCCAATGGAAGTACCGTCGTCGTGTAAGTCTGCCTCCTTTAGCGCTTCGATCGTAGATGGTCGACATTTCTCTTGGGGTCTGCTCATGCTGACTTAACCTTTTCTCAACCTTGACAGTCAGACCTTGACCAACAAGCCGGAACAGCAGTGGTACATTCAGAAGGGCAACACCAGCATCCAGTTGGCTGATACCGCACTATGTCTTGATGCTGGAACCAAGAGTCAGTGAAGCATATTCACCAACCATTAAGATAATTTATGCATCTTGACTGATCCTTGACATAAAGGCAATTGGAAGGACATGGCCAACATCTACCTCCAGCCGTGTTCCAACACTGAGGCCGGACAGCAGTGGGTTGCCATGACCGATGGCCGGATCGCGCTCGCGGCCTCTAGTCCACGTGAGCATAACCTATATTCCTGACATCTGTCCTTGAATCATTATGTATCCAACGCTAATCTATCCCTAAACCAAATAGAGGAATGTGTTGATCTTCAGTACATGCGAGCTACGGCCAATAATCCTGTTGGTCTCTATAGTTGCGCCGGACTTGGTAACACAGGAGCAGCAGACAAAGGAATTAATTGGCCATTGGTTAATGTCACTGCTTGACTTCCGAACAAACATAGTGACACAGGACTCCCATCGCAGAGATGATACGATTCATTAAGCTATATGGGAAGCTCGGCGATGTGGGAAGTGCTATATACCAGCAGAAACATCATTCAAAGGATACACTTTTCCATTCTGCCGACGGATGTAATACATGCTGCTGTCTTTTGATAACTCACAATGCCAGTTTGGTTGTGCTTCGCCTCCTTGGATCTTGCTTCTGGTTATGAGAACATTTATCGAAAGTCCTCCCATGCTTGTTCTGATTGCCAAACCTCCCTATCTAGCATCGAGTCATACGGGGGGAACTCTGTTTTGGCCCACCTAGATTGCACATGTCCGTTGACAATCTCCTGCTCTTCCTTGAAATAATTCCATGTCGTCGGAGAATGAGATTTTCGAGGACGCCATCCTAGTTGCATGATCCTGGGGAAACCTTGTGCATTCCAAATAGGGCTCACCTCGTAGTTTCTACCTAATGGAAAGTCACGGTCGAAGTGGCCTTGTGTAAAAGCCTTCTCAACTTCCACCCAAGGTTGCAAAACCTGGCTATATTGTGATCTTGCTGAGTGATTGAGCCGAACGAAGGCGTCAGTAGTGTGCCCAATTCGCGAGCTGAAATGCGATTTCAGATATATGTGCTGCAGTCTCTTGTGAGCCATAATATGTTAGTCCTTTGAAGCAATGACATCAATCGATGAATGTCTTCAGGACTTACATGACATTGAAGGAAAAAGTCCTCCGCAATGCACTTCTTTTTTTGGAGGCGAGAAAAATCCTCAATGGACTCGGGGTTCTCTGGATCAATGCAAAGGGCCAAGAATTCCAGGTCAGTCAGCAGGGATAGGATTGGTATGAGCGACTTGGGTGACCGAGTTTCCAGAGGTTCTGGGAGATCAAGACGCTGCAATCGAGGAAATGCCTCAACAATGGCTTGGCCTTGTGTTAGTAACGCGATTGTGACAACTTGAGTATATGTTGGTACTTACTTAGAATATTTGCGTTTGACAAAGGGAATGCGCCCCTTTTAAATCTAACCTCTACCAGTTTTGGCAAGTCGCCAAATCCAGAAAGACCAGGCACTTGACGAGTTTTAAAAACTTCTTCGAAGTCCAGTGATGCTCTCTCAACATTGGGACCCATGCTCGCTAGTGCGTAGAAAAGGGGGAAAGTTGATACGCAGCTGTCATCCACGCCCAAATTGTCACAACTGCAATTTCTCGAAATACGAAGTCCCGTAAGCAATGGAAGACGCAACTCCGAGTCACGTACAAGGTTACTGATCTCTGCCAGTAAATTATCCTCCAAATCTTCAATGTACAATGCGAATTCTCTGAGACCACTCATAGCCTTTAGAGCAGAGATCAGGGATATCGCACTTCGTTCGTCATCGGATCTTTCTGCCGCACTTATAGAGCGGGGTGGTTCTTCTAACTCACAAACCACCAAACCGAACATGCTGTTGTATCATAAGTTTATGCATTCATCTCTACACAATATTATTTTAAATTACTTACCGCACATGTGGTAGAAACTTCTCGAGCTCAAGAAGGCTCCCAAGGCACTGGGCAAGATCTATCCGGAAACACGACAGTTCAACCCGCGAGAACATCAGGGGAACTACCAGGGACCTGACGAATTTGCTCACTTGGGAGAGTCGATCGAGTCCACCTCCAATGGGTATTTGCAACTCTTGTGGGTTGTTTGAGATATGCGAGTCCGGATTTGTGGTACGACGAGGCTGGTAATGACACCAGTGCGCAATACACATGATGATCTCTTGGGGCAAATCGAGGAGATGAATTTTCTGACCAGGTTTTGCATCCAGGCTTTTGATGTATTTCTGTTCCTCAAGCTCAGGGAGGAAACGACGCTGAAGTTTCCGCAGAGTCTGCCAGTAGTCGAAGCCGCCGGACTCATCACCCTGATACTTGTCCATATCGTGAGATCGTAAACTTCCAATTACTTTGTTGCTTCGGAAGCCCAGACTTGCGTAGAAATATTCAAGTTGATCCTGACAGCTTCCGATCGAAACACTATCATGATCAAGCTTCTCACGCATTTCGGTGATCCATCTCAAGAGATCCAGCTCTGGAGCCAGTAGTGGCTTTGGGTGGGGCAGTCGCTGTTCTTCAATACTGCTTGATTCGCTGTCGCTGGGATTATTGTCTCCCTCTTGTTGCTGAGGGTTCTTGTGGATGTCCGTTGCGAGCCGGGACGCCTGGCTACGTGTAGTAACCATGATTGGGAGGCAAGCCCAGAAGCCAATCGCTTGTCAAATCACAAAGCTTGGGGGAAAGTAAGGGTAATCGCCTACTTGCAGTCTTCGTGATGATTTGTGATCTGACAGGCACACGGCCGCTTCTGATGCCCAACTGCTGGTCAACCAGCTGATGTATGGCAGTTGCTGGTGTGGGTTTCTCAATGGGTCAGTGGCGAGTAGGGGGTTCGAAAGGAGTCTTCTTGCGGCCACGGGGCGCTCGCATGGAGGATTCTGGGATCCAAACGCAATGCCAGAGGCTGACAGAGAACAAGGTGGATAAATTTGAGAGGGAGAAAGAGGTCCAAACCCTGATTTCAAGTTGATTTCAGAGCTAGGGTTTACGTTTGTCGTGGTTTCCCTACGTAGCAGTACTACGCCCAATAGCAAGGCAGCACTCGCAGAGTCAACCAGGGAAAGAGCGAAACATGAAACAACTACCACTCAGTTATTGTAAACAACAAGTTGAGAGGGAATGCTGAACTGGGTAAGAAGGGCATGGGGTCGAGAAGAGTTGAATAATTGCAAAGTGTTTGCTTCTGGCTTAAGCTCTGGATCTCGAGCGAGACACGCACTTGAGTTCTTGCAAAAGGTCGGATCAAGCCCGATAAAGATGGTACATTTCTCGATTGATAGTAATTAATGCCTCCACGTTCTCATAGTCACTGCGATTTGCATTTCGTTGCTGCCCGCGACAGCTGGAGACCAAGTATCATCTCCCAGGCCCTGGGTCACGCTGTTTCCAGACCGAGTACCAAGGTGTGCGCGAGGAGGCTTTTTGCCTGGGTATTACTGACAATCATGGTGAAAGCTTGTGTCACTACATATTACCACTGGTTGTAAGAATCTCTCCCGTCACTACTAGAAAAGGCTCAATGGTCAAAATAAATGGATTCATCTGCCAGCAACGGCGCGACTGTCTGGCATCCAGGAAATCCAAGGCCCGGTTGACCGCGCAGACTATCCAGACAAATTTCCAATTATTTAATCTTGAAAAGAAACACGCTGAGAAGCTTCGATATCGGATGGGGGCTGGTGACGACATTCATCTACAGGACATTGATAATAGACATTTTAGGTGCACCACGGCTCACAGATATTAGATCCCTTGAGACTTTCAAGGCTGATAATGTCGACGGAATCTTTCTTGGTGGTACGGATCACAAGTACTTGTCTCTGGATAGACATACTGCCGCGAGGTTCTTTCTGCTGTACTATCTACATACGTGCAAGATCAATGCCAATACATATACGCATAATCTATAATGACCAGGTGGATTACCAAATCTTTACAATCACTTTGTTCTATTGACGACCGCACAGACGGGGATCAGAATGTTTCTATTCATTATATGCTGATACCTAGTCGATCTTGAACTGGTGCCGAGGCAGGTGGCGGAGCGGCAGTCAGTACGAATGACAGGTGTGGAATGGTAACATCCTCGAGAGTGAATATATACCTATGTGCCAATACGGAAAATTGGGACCCTCCACAGCAATAAATCAAAATTGACAAGCATAGCAAATATAAATACGGCGGACATGTCAACATGTGGACTGTCACTTGAGGAAGCACTTAATTCTTAGCGAGATCGAGAGAACACATTGGACAACGGGTATGAAGATGTATCACGAGTATGAGGATGACAACATTGAAATTGAATTATGAGCCTCAAGAAACCAAAAACCAAGTATTCAGGCGCCCTGTGCGCTGCGACGTAAACCTCGCGAAAATCCCTTCCGACACCAGTTTTGACGGGCCAATCATGGCCAAGAAAACGAATAGACCATAGAAACGACAAGAAAGAAATAATAGAAATCCTCCACGGTCAGCACAATGGGTCGTCGAGTACGACCAGTGCGAATAATGCTACCTCAACTTCCGAGGCGACCAGGCCACCAAGCCTGTCCCTCCAGTACTTAGGCATGCAAAACATTCCTGGAATGATCAGAAAAGAAAACGGTTCATGAGCTGCCAGACCGGCCCAAGGCGACTCGCTTCCAGTGGTCACGCTCAGCCTCGAGCTTCTTGATTTGAGCCTCGAGGTCGTCCAACCGTTGAGCCTTGCGTTCACGTGACTTCCGAGCAGCAAGCGTGTTGCGGGCTCGCTTCATGGCAGTGGTGTCGGCAGGGTCATCAACAATGATTGGAGGCAAGGGCTTGTCACGTCGACGAGCGTTGACGCCGGAAACAGAAGAGTGACGACCGTGGCTGGCGGACGGAGAGTTTGAAGACTTCCGGCGGGGTTCAGGCTGGGAAGTCGGTTCGACCACATCCAAATCCTCCGACAACGTTGGGGAGTTGTCGAGGATGGCGGGCACCTGAATCTGCTGGTCCTTGATCGTTGTGGCTTCCGGGAACAGTGGGAACCAAGGATCGCTGAGATCCGAGACGAAGTCGGCGTTCCCAAAGTGCGGAGACACATCGAAGTCATTGAATTCAGGAGACTCTTCGTAGAGGGAAGGCGAGGTCAAGTTGGTGAAAGCAGCAGAGTTTGGCGCAGAAAAGGTCTCCCGGATCTGCAGGTCCTGAGGGGAGACTGTGCCAATGTTTGTGGTGGAGCTCGCAGCAGAGTGCATGTCGCTGTAGGTGACAGCGGGGGAAGAGAAGCCCGAAGAGCCGGAGGCGCCAGCCTCGAGGGCGGCGTAATCCTCAAAGTTGCTCAGAGCGTCTGGGTGATGTGAGCTAGAGTCGCGAGAAGCGAGCGCGGAAAGTGAATTACCTTGAAGATCCATCTTGCCCGAGATGTTGTTACTCTGAGTAAACAATGGGACAGGCGGACGGGTAGGTCTGTTCTGCTGTGGAGAATTCAGAGCGACAGTGGTAGGCGGGGCAGATAACGATGCGAAAAACTGTTGCTGACTCTGTTGCTGGTTTTGCGCGGGAGAGTTGAACCGGTTTGAGAAGGCCGAAGTATTAGTTTTGTGCCCTGTCGCTTGGATGATTTGAGCCACTCGTTGATTCTGGAGAGCTGGAGAACCGATGTTCTGAGTAGACGAGTGACGTCGGTTGTTGCTATTCAAAGATCCAAATGAAGATGTAACTGCGGAGTTTGCAGAAGCGGGGACAGCGCTATTAGCGTTCGTTCTTTCGGGTTGATCGAACAAGACAAAGTCCTGTTGAGGCGGGTGCAGGAAGTTCTGTTGCGCGGATGATGCCGGCTGGCTCGGAGCACTGGAGGGAGGCCATGTTGACGTTGGGGAATCCGTGGTGAAGACTGAAAAGTCTTGAGGGGGAATGGTGACGGTGGTGAGAGAACTGTCGTGAGAGCTGGGAATAGCTTCAAAAAAGTTCAGATCGACCTGGGAAGGAAGAGCTGAAGTGAAGGGTTGAGTGGAGAAAATGGTTTTTTTGTTTATGGACGAAATTTTGACTGAGGCTACGGAAGCACTGGGGAACGCGGGTTCTGGGGCGTGATTAACGCATCTTGGATGTGATGCTGAATACTTGTATAACTGTTCTGATGTGAATCTGGGTTGGAGGAGAGAAAACGAAAAGCGCCTCAGCACGCCAGGCAGAAATTTTGTCCTTCTTATGGTTTCTGGACGGGCAGTAGGACTGGGTCCGACTCAAACCAATCAGGGCAAGCAAAAAGTGTGAGTCACACTGGATCCCTGCCCTGCGCCCTTAGCGTGCCTCAAGGACCCAATCAGTTCCCATCCGCATCCCCATTTGATTGATTTAATCCTTTCGCGCAGCCAAAGGCCTAAAAAGCCCCCCCAAAACCCAGCCGTATTTACGGTGGTACTTTTTCCTACATCCCTATCTCTGCGCCGCACAGTCCATTGGCACTTTTGATTCCTGCTTGCCTGCTGGCCCTTCCTTCCAGCCTACCATGCTCCTTGTAAGTCCTGCTGCAGCAGGTGCACAGCCCGCAACCCGTTGTCCCAGATCGCGGGGATCGTGAGATGTGCAGAGTGGACCTACGGAGTGCCTACTAGTTGCGCATTCGAGGTTTTTCAAACAAAACGTTGCAGTAGAGTTCATCAATCGGCGCATTACAAATCCAACTCGAAAACAAGGTGCGAACCACATGCAGGGCAAGTCTCCCATTTAGTGTAGGTACAGAGAAAGCATCTCCAGGCTGCTACGTCTTATCTCGTAGCGCATCGCAAAGAGATGCCTACCATGGCCAGCAGCGGAATACTGGCGCATTAGAGGGACGCCTAGGGACGCCGTTTCGTCGGCCATCGCTCGCTAGCTCCAACTTTTGACCCCAGTTTTGATTGGATCTCTCTTTCGGCGAAGCGTTTTTGGACCGGGCAGATGGCTTGAAGGGCGCATTGGACATGCAACATTGAGCAACCAAGCCCCAACATGTCCGCCCCTCCATTGGATTGCTGCTGCTGCTGCTCTCCGAACTTCAGAGCACATGTGTGATGGAAGGCAATAATAATAATACTATGTGCATATTTGCCTTCATTTTACCTGCGTCTCGAAAAAGAATACAATAGATTATTCGAGATGCGTCGACACCATTGTTCTTGCAACACAATTATACAGCATCAGGCAGCTATTTTACTGGTCTTGGTAGGTTGGCTAAACGTGGCATGGTTGAAACTAACAACCCAAAGTAACGGGTCCATAGCAATTGTGGCATACCATTTTGGACGTCTTAGCTGCCGGCCAACTGGAGATAGTGGTCAAATCTAATAACCTACTGTGGAATTTGACAGGTCTTGCTCAATCTGGTTCTGCTGCAGGTGTGCTGATGTTCTCTTCTGCATCTCTCCCGCATACCATGAGGGCTGTGTTTGTCAGCAATACGCGCACTGCCTCTGCGCCATATCTAACCATAATTTGGCCAATAGAGTTTCAACACAAGAGGACACAATTGTTGCAGCCCTTTACCTGTCCAAGAATCCAGGCAATCGAATAACTCGCAATACAAACTACTATCCGGATATGGTCTACGTATTGGCATACGTGTTGAATTGAAGATTGCCTAGAACCATCTTTCCCAGGCAGGCATATACGCAAGCAGAGAGCAAGCTCTGGGGCCCGTTCCGTCGCTTAATTTCCATTTCCAACGTACTGTACCCCACAAACTCGGGAACCGATCTTGTCGCACCTTTTTCTGAAGATTACGATACTGCGGGCGTAACACACTCCCCTGAGACAATTGCTCCTCTATCGAATCAGAAAGCTCAATTCATGGACCTTGACCATATATGAAATTTAACTCAATTCGCAAAATAAGAAAGATGAGTCATTTCTACGGATTGGCCCGTATCCCTGGAACCTTTTCTTCAACCCCCCAGCCAGCCCGCCTGTTGGTCGGTCGTGTTGCTGATTCCGGCGTTGCATACTTCAGGTAGGACAAGGGG